AGATTTTGACTCTGGCGACAACTCAGCTAAGACTGATGAAGATAAGTGTCTGAGATACTGTCTATGATTCAATATTCAAGGCATTTTTTTATAGAAAAAAATGTAATGTTTCACTGGTTTCAAACCTGTTGCACTCCAATAGAAACAGATTTTGATTCTGTTTTGACAACCACTTGGCTAAACACTAGTCTCAGCGGCTTTAAAGCAAACTGACCATGAGCATATGTCAAGGTGTGTTTTCATAGAAAATGAATTTTATCATTGGCAGGTTTCAAACCTGCACGGTCCAAGAGAAACAGATTTTAGCTCTGGTGATCACTTGAAAATTTCATCTTTGGCGGGTTTCAAACCCATGCAGACAGATTTAGATTCTGTTGCATTAACCGCTTGGCTGAGAGCAGTTGTGTTCAATTCCAATGAACCCATTCAGAAGTGAGTCCTCAAGGCACATTTATCTGCATTTTGTCAGTTCTTTCAACAGCATGGTCACCCTTGATTCTTGTATACTGCTTTTATTGCAAAAGACACAGACTTCTGCTGGGGCTCTTAACTTCAAGACCTGTTTACCTAAGAATCTCCTTGAAAAAGTGCTGATGACAGACCATCATGGTGGGCCAATGATGTTTGTGATGTCTTGGGATTAACAACTGGGTCACGAGTGACAACTGACAATGGAAGGATCGCATATGGTTGAGCTCAAGGGTGATGTTAGAAATTAATGTTAGAACTGACAAAATGCAGGATAAATGTACCTTGGGGATTCACTTCTGAATGGATTCAATGGGAGTGCATCTAACTGGTCTTAGCCAAGCAGTTAATACGACAGAATCCAAATCTGTCTGTGACAGGTTCAAAACCTGTCAAAGATGAAAATACAAGTGATCATCAGAGTCAAAATCTGTTTCTCTTGGACTGCGCAGGTTTGAAACCTGCCAATGATGACATTTTTATTTTATGAAATCACATCCTGTCCCATACCAAGCACTGCATTTCTGTGCGCGCCCTACATTACACGTCCATCTGTTGTCCAATCCAACACACTGCTGGTATATTTTCATTATTTTATTTTTATGTCATGCTGAAGGATACTCCCAGCTACAGACCACAATGTATAGATGCAACAGAAGCATTCTCGCTACATTCTGCTGCAAAACTAGTACAAAGCAGTCCCACCTGGGTTGCATTGAAAAAGATAAAACTGACACGAATGACATCACTTTGATGAATACTCCAAAATGTCTAACTGTCCCTATTTGCTTGCACTTGGAACTTGGGTCTCTGAGAATCTATACGCTGCAAAATATTTTGCAAGCAGGTTTTGAACCTGCATGGTTTGAAAGAAACAGATTTTGACTCTGTTGCAACATCTACTTGGCTAGGACCAGTGATATGAAGCTCTCAGGAAAGTACACATGGGTCGATGTCAAGGTGTGTTCTAACAGGGGAAAAAAACAAACATATATCAATCATGAGGAAATGTCAAGGTGCGATTTCATGGAATAAAAATGTTATCATTGGCAGGTTTTAAACCCGCACATTCCAAGAGAAACAGATTTTGACTCTGGCAATCACTTGATAATTTGATCTTTGGTAGGTTTTGAACCCACACAGACAGATTTAGATTCTGTCGTATCGACTGCTTGGCTAAGACCAGTGAGATGCACTTCTAATGAACTCATTCAGAAGTGAATCCTCAAGACATGTTCATCTGCATTTTGTCAGTTCTTTCAATAGGCATGGTCACTGTTGATTCTTTTATCCTTGACGCAAAGTTCAATATATGACCAAAGTCTTGATGCAAACTCGGAATGATGAGTACAAGAGCAATTTAATTCTCTCCAAAGGTCTTGACTTTGTTGAAGAAGAAGAGCAGATTACACATCAAACTTTCAAGTTTGATCCTAATGACCTGGGGAATGAGGAATAATACACATCTGTCAAGGCTGAGATTCAAGGCAAAGATTCAAAAGAGCCATCTGGCCACTATTTGCTTATGTATAAGGTTGAGGTGCACTATATTTGAGACCTGCTCTTCTCTTGCTTTTTGAAAGTGTTGTATTGCAGTCTGTTTTCAATTCATCTGTTCAGCTGAGGGAAAACATTGCGAGTGACTGAACCAGACACTTAGTCAAGCCTGGTTAGGCGCGCGATGATGTGCGGAGCACAGTTAAGCGGAAGTGCTACTATGCGTTGGCACGCACTAAGCAGATGTGAGGCGCGCATGCAGGTGGTTGGAGCATAGCGACTCTAGATGAGTTGAAGGGGGACCTAATAGGGGCTAAAAAGCACGTACCACAAAGGACTACTTTGAAGGTAAACCTATAGGGAGAGGTATGGAAGCAATGTAGTAGTAGTCCCAAGTATAGTCAACTTATACTGTCTAGTGCGCAGGAAAGTGCGGGTTCAGGTTTGCACAGGAGTTAATTGTTGGACAAATGATGAACAAGGATAGGGAAACTGATAGTGCTCTATACTCCTCGATGCATATATAAAAATTGGCTCATTCCTGCCCAGCGCGGTTCTGAGCATCACAGCAAGATGATGGTGGTTAATTTGTCAAGAGAGAAAAACATACATGAACTATGTAAGTAATGTTAAGTGCTAAAGCAAACTGAGAAGCGATGCGAGTGCGTGATAATATGTAATATAAGGGTCCATGACATAGCATTATGGAATGTGTGCATATAGCGCCAGCAATGCTGTCAGAATTCACAGAAATAGAATAGAAATATGCACCGATGAACCGAATGGACAAAGGACAAGCATGACTCTGTTATGACAGTCACATGGCTAAACCCAACTTTGATCAGCTTGCAAGCAAAGTGACCATGAGCAAATTTCAAGGTGTGTTTTCATGGAAAAAAAATGAATTTTATCATTGGCAGGTTTCAAACCTGCAGAGTCCAAGAGAAACAGATTTTGACTCTGACGATCACTTGACAATTTAATCTTTAGCGGGTTTTGAACCCACACGGACAGATTTGGATTCTGTTGTATTAACTGCTCGGCTAAGACTAGTTGAATGCACTTCCAATGAACTCATTCAAAAGTGGATCCTCAAGGCACAATCTCAGCCTTGATATATTTGTATTTTTCCTCATTCCCTAGGTCATTAGGATGAAACTTGCAAGTTTGATGTGTAATCTGCTCTTCTTCTTCTTCAACAGAGTCAAGACCTTTAGAAAGAATTAAATTGTTCTTATGCTTATCCTTCCGAGTTTGCATCGAGATTTTGGTCATATATTGAACTCTGTGTCAAAAATACTCGCATTCACCTAGCAAAAAAGGATGCATGAAACCAACAGCGATGTCAATCAAGCTTGAGATCATCAGTGTTTGCTTGCTATACATTTGTGTGGAAATGTGAAGGTGTGATTTCATTATTCATACAATAAAAATAAAAATGTTATTGTCAAGGTGTGTTTTTATAGAAAATAAAATTCATCATCGGCAGGTTTCAAACCTGCACATTCCAAGAGAAACAGATTTTGACTCTGGCGATCACTTGATAATTCGATCTTTAGCAGGTTTTGAACCCACACAGACAGATTTAGACTCTGTTGTATCGACTGCTCGGCTAAGACCAGTGAGATGCAGTTCCAATAAACTCATTCTTTACAACTGGGTCATGAGTGACAACCGACAATGGAAGGATCACATATGATTGGACTTGAGGGGGATGTTGGAAATTAATATTAGAACTGACAAAATGCAGATAAATGTACCTTGAGTATTCACTTCTGAATGGGCACATTTGGAGTGCATCTCACTGGTCTTAGCCAAGCAGTTGATATGACAGAATCCAAATCTGTCTGCGTGGGTTCAAAACCTGCTAAAGATGAAATTGTCGAGTGATTATCAGAGTCAAAATCTGTTTCTCTTGGACTGTGCAGGTTTGAAACCCGCCAATGATACTATTTTTGTTTTATGAAATCACACCACCAGCAAGATGGTGCTCTAAAGCACAATATTCAAGGCATGTTCTAATAGAACAAAAAAATGTGAGATTCAACAGGTTTCAAACCTGTTGCACTTCAATGAAAACAGATTTTGATTCTGTTATGACAACCACTTGGCTAGACACAACTCTGATGAGCTTGTAAGCAAACCGACCATGAGCATATGTCAAGGTGCATTTTTATAGAAAATGAAAATTATCCTTGGCAGGTTTTAAACCCGCACATTCCAAGAGAAACAGATTTTGACTCTGGCGATCACTTGATAATTTGATCTTTGGTAGGTTTTGAACCCACACAGACAGATTTAGATTCTGTTGTATCGACTGCTTGGCTAAGAACAGTTAGATTCACTTCCAATGAACTCATTCAGAAGTGAACCCTCAAGGCACATTCATCTGCATTTTGTCAGTTCTTTCAATAGCATGGTCGCTGTTGATTCTTTTATTATATTTGTATTTTGCCTGATTCCCCAGGTTATTAGGATCAAACTTGAAAGTTTGATGCGCAATCTGCTCTTTTTCTTCTTCAACCAAGTCAAGACCTTTAGAAAGAATGATATTGTTATTGTACTTGTCCTTCCGAGTTTGCATCGAGATTTTGGTCATATATCGAACTCTGCATCAAAAATACACTGTGTGATCCTTTCATTGTGAGTTTTCACTCATGGACCCACCGTGGTGGTCTTCCATCAGCACTTTTTCAGGGAAATCATTAGATAAACAGGTCTTGAAGTCAAGAAGCCCCAGCAGGAAGTCTGTGTCTTTTGCAATAAGAGTAGGATAAAAAAAATCAACAGTGACCATGCTATTAAAAGAGATGACAAAATGCAGATAAATGCACCTTGAGGACTCGCTTCTGAATGGGTTCATTGGAGGTGAATCTAACTGGTCTTAGCCAAGCAGTTGATACAACAGAATTCAAATCTGTCTGCATAGGTTCAAAACCTGCTAAAGATGAAATTGTCGAGTGATCACCAGAGTCAAAATCTGTTTCTCTTGAACTGTGCAGGTTTGAAACCTGCCAATGATGTGTGTGTTTGGGATGTCGAGAGTGGGTGTGCATTGTACAAGGTTGGTGTTATCCCATTCAACTTCTTGCGTGTGACTTACCATCTTTTTAGCTGCCAGTATCAGAACACAGGAACAAGCCGTCAGACATTTTCGAAATTGTGAGTGTACTGTACTGTGTGAACTTCCCTGCTCATTCTATGTAGGGTTCACATCAAAGGTCGCATCAAAGCTATCCAAGAACACTTGACTCGCTTCAACCCTATCAGCGAGCCAGCTTTAGCTCCATCCATATCTATTCTTGTGCCGTCTGTGCCTACCGAGTTCAAGGGTCTCCTCGGACCAGAAGATATCGAAACCCCTTACTATGCTGAGGTAGTTTCAGTTTTGAAGAGCATATTTGGGCTGACTTCCTTCAGGCAAAACCAACTTGAAGCTATCAATGCCACACTGGACGGAAAGGATGTCTTCGTCCTAATGCCCACCAGTGGTGGGAAAGTCTTTGTTATCAACTTCTGGCAGTCTGTAAGACTGGTAGGACCCAGTGAGTAACATTTGTCATATCACCACTTGTTGCACTCATCGCCGATTAAGTGGCATCCTTGCGAGAGAAGCACGTTAATGTCGACTGTCTAAGAACTGTAGACGACTCGCGGGATGTCATGTGTCGCCTTCGAAGCCAGCAAAAACACGACATTTGCTATATCACTCCTGAAAAGCTACGCAAGAGCAATGCCATGCAAGATATCCAAGCTCATTGCCACCACCTCGGACGATGGAACTGTATGTGTGTGGGAGGGTGGCAAAGATGGTTCAAAGAGCAGCGTTGTAGTGTTTGAACTCGGATGTCCAGCAACAAGTGTCGCGTGGAGTGCAGATGGGCAGAACCTCTATATTGGTGCGCTAGACAACGAAATTCATGTATATGACTTACGCAAGGGCGAGCAGGTTTATGCCCTGACTGGTCATACAGATGCTTGCATTATCACCCAATGGTGCCTACCTCTTGTCGAGCTTATGCTACAATGTTCAACACGTCAGTGGAGCAGAGATGCGCTGTGTTTTTTTGCAGAGACAAACAAAGAATAGGACAGCAAATATCGTGTTTCCTCACTTGCTATGTAAATACAATTTGTTGTCGAAGAGCAGACCAAAGGCATGTCCTTGTTATAAATTAATGGGCCAAAGGGGACCCGGGCACTTGTAATTTGTAAATATTATATTTAAATATGGCCGGAGCTGGCTTGAGCTGGCTTGAAGGCCATAAACACAGCTCCATAGACTGGACCAGACCATAAATGATGTAAGCCATAACTAGGTACATAGCTCCGCTAACTACAGCTCCGCTCACGGCTAGAGCCGGACATAAGCCGGAACTGTGGCAACACTAACAGTAGCACTATGTAGGCACACCTTACACTACAGTGACCTATATAGTGCTATATAGTCTTAAGCCATGCTACAAGCGGCTATATGGTTGGGGGGTGCTACAGGTAGCTACAGGAGCTACCACTGTGGCTACAGGCAGCTACAGGTGCAACCATAGTACATACGTGACATGTCATTGTATATAATTACTTTATAACACATGCGCAAAACATTTTGCCATCAATGAACTCATTGAAATAAAAATCGTTTGCCACCTCATATGCATTTCCGCTTCTCAACCTCAGATCTACTGATTGTCCCATCCTCAGTATTAAATGGCACGGCCGCACAATTTCGTCAACGTGGATTACAGCAGCATTGCGGCGAAGTTGGCGGGTTGAGCGCGAGACCTGTCGCATTCGAGAGGAAGGGTCGGGTGGTTTGAAAGGTGTGAACCACTCGACATAAGCGAGGGCTCTGGAATATGCGTCGAACTGGTGAGGTAGGGTGAAAATAGCACGAACTTGGGCTACTCGTACACCTGCAACCAGACTATTATCAAAATTGACCGCTGAGAAACTCGGCAAAAAAATACCCTCAAGAGTATGCAAATGCGAAGAGCGAGGCCTGTCTGCTATCAATGCCATGTCAAACTGGGCTGGGGTACCAGGCTTCCGGCCTGACAGCAACTTTTCTGGAGTTGCTCTGATGCGCCTTCGCTTTGGCACATCGCTAACTCATAAATCTGGTGGCGTCACAATCACCACTTGACGATAAAGATCGAATCGGTCTTGAAGACCAGGGACTATGGTGTTGTGTGGGAGATTCTTGAGTAAGAACGATTGGAGAGCAGGGAGGAACTCGGTAGCACCGTGTGCTGTTATGATGGTTTGAACAGATTGGTGAGGATGTGCAGGGACTTTTGCAAGGACATGGGTTGCTTGAAGTGGTTCAGCGGCGGGAAGATTTGGTGTTTCCGACTCTGAGTCCATGTCTGAATCTGCGTCGAAGTCATGTGGGTTTGAGTGAGGCTGTTGTGACAACCAATCCAGGTATGCGCTACATATAAACACGGCTTCCTGGTGTTGGAGCCACAAAGCCATTTGTTCCTCATAGTCCCGTTTATTGCTAGCACGGTATGAATCCTTTGCGAAATCAATGTGCAAGCGCTCAGGAAGTTCTGTGTTAAAGCCGTCAGCTGCGCCAAACAATGTGATGGACTGCACATAATGAGAGAGCTGGTGTAATTTCGGTATGTTGAAATGCTCTCGAACAGCGAGCTCCTTGAGGATGTCTTTATTTGTGTGAAATACAGTCAGGGCGGTTTGTAGGGCTTCGAGGAACTCAGTCATCTGAATGTGCAGCTGGGCATAATACGAGAAGTCGAGAATAGATCGTGCAACCACCAAAACACGACTGCCAGGCATGACATCAAAACATCATCTTAACAACTCGATAAACACACACCTAGGTACTGCCCCGCTCAATAAGCCAACAAATACTCGCTGCATCTCTTTATGTTTGCGTCCTGTCCACTGCTTCACACTCGATATCCCTTTCTTGAAGTGTCGAAGGCCGGGATAATTCGGGATCGCCTTGAAATGTGCGTCCATTTCGTCCTCCCCAATAATATTGATGCACCACTTCACAAGGTGGTCTTTGAACACACATTTGTGAAGTTGATGCAGAAGGTCGGGTGTGAAAGCTAGAAAAATGTCCATGTGAGGCAGATCAGCCCAGAAAGGCTTGTAAACGGCGCGTAGACCATTGGCCTCGAATTCTGGAGGATGCTGACCAATCTTGCGCTTGTGCAAGATTTCTTTTGTTGACTCTGGATCACGCATTGCCGAGTTGAGTGCATCCCCTCGCTCATTTGCTGCTACAAGGCACTTCGGACATCGGTTCTCTTTGCAACAACTGACCAAACACTGTTCCGGGAAATCGGCGACATACGCTGCAAGAATTGGGTAGACACGACGAACCCACAAGTCCGCACACACCATTTCAACACCGTCGTTTCCAGCACCGATGAGAGGTTGGAGCAGTAGAGCCATGCAATGGTGGAAGAGGCGGTATCCAGCCAAGGAGCGTGCATCGGGGGTGAAACAGTCAAGTTTGCTAGCTGGTAAGTAACCAATGAGGACGGTTGCTCGTGCTGATGCTTGGCGCCTTTTTGCTTTAGCAATGTTTCCAATGGACATGTACACTGGCCATGCCAACTTATCCCCTCAGAACTGCGACAACGATGTTTTGTCTGAAGATAGAATGATTGGTGCTATCATTGCACGCTCTGGCAAGGTGTTCTGTGTGCGAGGTCAGTCTGTTACTTTGTCGCTCCCTCTCAAATAGTCTTACCTGTTTCTTGCCCCACCAGTCTGCTGTCCACATCTTGTCGATGACTCTATGTTGCCCTGCACGGTGTAGAAACAACAATACTGAGTGGGGCTATACAAAGATGGCTCCAAACTGATATATTTGTTTTGTGGTCTTTGCACTGCCTAGTCTGCTATACTTGCCTGACAAGTGCGTTCGACCCAGGGGTCTGTGGTCTGGGAATAGTCTTGGGGGTAAGTGAGTGATGTGCGATCAATAGTCCGAGCACGGGAAACAATGTCCGAAGGTATATTTATGATGTCCAATGCAAAAGTGTCGGGTTTGTCGGGTCGGGTATTTGGAAACTAATAGTGACGCGTTATGCGAGCATCGGAAAAGCGAGCGGTATGCGTGATAACAACGATGATTGATTACGGATAATGAAAGAGCGACGATATTTGCAATATCAACTAAGAACTACGAAATATCGGGTTTGACCACTAAGCGTCGGGGAACTGCTCCCCTCTACTTGGATAATCAATAATGCTCGAGGTCAGTCCAATATATATGTAAGTACGTAGAAATGCGGAACCCATAGGCAAAGGTAGCGGCCGATGATTTCGGATCCGAAGTACATGTAAATAAACATGAGGCGCTGCGGACTATGGGAAAACATGTAATAGCGCTTGCTATGACGTGAGTAATGTGTGAAATAATGAACTACACACCTAGTGGGGCTAGCAAGACAGGACAAGACACGGGAAGGACAAGTGTGCGGGAATTTGCATCGGCCGATGCGGCCTAAACGTCGGGTTGGCGGGTTAGCGTCGGATAACATCAGGAAGTGATTAGCATGTGATGGGTATTTGACGTGTACTGTGAAATAGCTCGATACAAGCCCAGCGCCAGCTCATGTCCTACACCGGTGAGAGTTTCTACATGTGTCCAGGTTCCTATCTAGCAGACCATTTTTGCAGAATGATGCAACGACTCGCCAAAAGCCATGACGACTTTGACGTCACAATACATTGGATACCCGGACACTCTGATGTCCATGGCAATGAAGAAGTGGACAAACACGCCAAGCTGGCGGCGGAAGGCCACCACAATGACAGCCCTGTTGAACGCCTACCCCGCTACCTTCGTCAACGAACACTCCCCCTTAGCATATTGGCTCTGAGGGAACACCAGAGCAAAGACACCGCCGAGCGGTGGAAACGCTTATGGCATAACTCCCCCCGCTACTATCATCTGAACTGAATCGACCCTTGTTAAACTTACCACCACATTCCCTAAGAAACTTACCAGTCTTTACATCTTCTTGCGCACTGGTCACGCCCCACTCAACAAACATCTGCATCGTATTCGCAAATCAGACAGCCCATCATGCCCCCATTGCCACGAAATGGAGGAGTCAGTGCACCACTTCCTCCACATATGCCTGCATTACCGGCGAGAGTGCCACTCCCTTGTCACTGCCCTAGGCAGAAGAGCCTCGTCCACCCAATTCCTTCTCACTGACCCCCTTGCCACCCTGGTCAAATTTGTCAACGCAACCGGTAGACTGAGAGCCGTACTCGGTGAAATCCCCACTCCTCCCCCATCCCCAAACTGATTACCTCCCAGGTTAGTTAACGCATGTCACCGGCAGGCACCCAATGCCCCGCAAGCTCCAAATCCTCCCTCTTCTCCCACCCCCCCACAATCCTACACCCCCTCGCTCACCTACATGGAGCCAGCAACGCTTAACCAGCCTTCACAGGTTCAATTCAGAATCCTCTCCCATCCGTCAACTATGGGCCGTGTCCTTCTCATTCCAATCATTACCTACTGACTCCTGTACCCACCCGCGCCAGCGGCTGAGTACGTGTTACTATTTTGATACTCGTTAGCACAGAACATCGGTATTGTATACTCAAAGTCATCTCATCTTCGCAAGGCGGCCCGTCTAAAATGGCCGGCGGGAACAGCGGACTGGTGGGAGTACGCTTCACACCAGGGCATTCGCGTGCCTAGAGATGCGATGGGGACACTGGGGGTCCCCAAGACTAGATAGTATTGTCCTCCTTAGAGTTTCACTCTCCATAGGACATAAATTGGAATTAAAAAAAAAAAAAAAACATGGCATGTATATGCATCTTGAGGTGCAGTTTGAGTTCTAACGCGAGCTTGTGAGCATAGAGCTCAAACTAGTGCTTACTAAGCGAGTGAGCGCCATAAGCTGTGACGCGTTGTAGAGACTCATGCCTCGCATTGCGTGATATGGCACTTTCCACTAGGGAGTACACAGCACGACTTGCAGCATCACTCTGTGTACTATCCACAGCTATTCCCTTACGAGGCGCAGCTTTCCCGCGCAAGGCGCAGCATGCGCGCACGACTTCCTGCGCTTTACGATGTATACGCGCGCGCGCTTTCCTGTGCTTGAGTGCCCTATAGCGCCAGCCATCCAGAAGCATCCATCCACTGTCCACCAAGTTCTCTAGTGCGTGTATTTCCGTTTCCCTTATTTACATATCATTCCACCTTTATTTTTATCATGGACCCTTACCTACATATATCTTTACATACCTACTCGGTAGCGCTTTGGCTCCGCATGACAGCGCTTAGGCGCCATATAAGCGCCAGCAGTACATATTATTAGACACTTTACTTACCTCCCACTTACCACCCACTTACTACCTAGCAGAGTATAGTTGCAATCTATTCCTTGGCACCTCGCACTCACATCTCTTGTCTAGTATCTAATCACCACTTAAGCAAACTCACACTTACTCTCACTTGTTTCCGCTCACGTGCGCGCGCGCTTCCCGCGCGTACCTTCGCTTTCCCGCGCCTCGCGCGCACCTGCGCGCTTTCTCGCGCTTCGCATCAGCCGACCAGTAGCGCCTTCGGTGCGCACTACTAGATCCTTGCTGCACTCACTTCCCCTTTAGGGTCGAACGCACTTGTCGTCTCAGGTATAGCAGACTAGGCAACGCACGACCTTACAACATTCACAGATACAGTCTGGAGCATTCATTTGTTCCTCTCGGTATTGTTGTTTCTACAGCGTAATCATACGCATACCTTGTCTTTATCCTTATCGTGCTCTCACTCGCTCACTTTACTCAATTTGAGGATTCGGCCACATACATATTTTTCGTATTATCACTGTTGTTTCCATGTCTTCGACAGAATCGCCGAACCCTGGGTATCCCGAAGGAGCTGGAGGGAAAGACACAAGAACCTTCACTCGACAGGGCGAAGGTCTGTTATCAGATGAGTATGCGTCTAGATTAGCGTCGTCCCTCGCGAAGAACAGCAATAAACGCATAAATCTTTACGATCAAGAAGCTGTAGAAGCAGAAAACATTGCACATGCTGAGCACAATCTGAAGAGAGCAAAGCTAAGGATAGACGACGATCACATCGAAGAAGTTTCAGACGACGAACTTTTCCTCGACGAAGTGTATTCTCCAGAGAAGAATGATACTGCTAAGCCCACTATCCCCAGTTATATTCTTGACGCAGTAGACTTCATAGGATCGTTAACGCCTACCACGAAGAGTATTCTAGCCATGTTGACGGCTAAAGGGCTGACCCCAGCCGCGACCAGCCAAACAGAGGCTTCCAGTTCTGGGGTCGCTTCTGATGCACCAGTCTTCACAGAGGTGAACACACGCATCGTTGATGGCGAAGTGACGGCGTTCGAAATACCTCGCGTTCTCCTGAACCTCGCAAGGTCCAAAGTACACATTCCACTCACGTTGCTCACCCTGTCATCTCTCTGCAAAATTCACGAAGACCCAGCTAGCGTGAAGATGAAGAAAGGTTTGGTGACAGACGACCCAAAGCTGTTCGTCATGGACACTTCGTCTGGATTCCCTCCGGAGTCGAGCCTACCACCTCACCTTTTCTATGAGGCGGCTTCTAACTTCATCAGATTACTCGGATTAGTCGCTGATGACGCGACAGTAAAGCATTTCACGGATCACCGTGACTTCTGCCTCTCGAGGGACGAATTTGGAGACAACTTTGATTCGATTCTCGCCTTCGACGTGGAAATCCGTAGGCGTTTCTTTAACATGCATACATTCCCGTCACGGGTAGCGTACCTGGACAGATGGAAGAATGTATTAATTAGAACGTCCCTCGCTCAGCAAGGCTCGAGCTCGAGCAGCAATCATTACCAACCTTACCCGCCCCGTAAGCCCGAGTACTCGTCATTGACTGGGACGTCGAACGACGGAAAGCCCTTTTGGAGAAGCAAAGGAGATCAATCGTCCGAGCACCTCCTTTGTGTCATTTGCGGCAGACTCGGGCACAGGGCCAGCAGTTGCACACACACCCACACGACGAAAAACACCCCCGTCGTCAGTATGTGGACAGACAAACTTATCCTTAAGTCTTCCTCAGCGCCAATCTGTATCTCCTTCAACATTGGAAAATGCTCACCAACCAAGCACTCAAGCGACATCGTCCACGTATGCTCTATCTGCGGAAGCAAGAGTCACAGAGCCAACTCCAAGTCGTTCATCTGAGGTCTTCAGTAGAATCATAATGCCCTATGTTCCCAATGCCTTCGATACCTTCTTGAAACGTTTCAACCTATCTGAAAAATATCCAGACCTTGTCTTCAACATGCAGCATGGCTTTCCCATTGGAGACATCCCACCTCCGACTCACACTTACACTCCTAAAAACCACAAATCAGCTCTAGAACACATCGACGTCATCCGCACCTACTGTCAGGAGGAAGTAGCGCTGGAGAGGATGTCGGGCCCATTTTCAAAGGACAAAGTCTTCAAAATTCTTGGTGGACACTTCATGTCTTCTCCGCTGGGTGTTGTAGAGAAAGCTGGGGAACCGGGAAAGTTCCGAGTCGTCAGAGACTTATCATTCCAAAATTCAGACGGCTACTCAGTTAACGGCTTCTTGGACTCAGACAACTTCCCCACCGAATGGGGAACAGCAGCGCAAATTGCTGAAATTGTTAGTACCCTTTCTGTCGCATTTACACGCTCAGACGTCATAGTTCCTTGCACGTCTCGGCGTCTTGCCACTTGTACACTTCGGTGTTTTGCACTTTGCACACTTCAGTGTCTTATAACTTTGCATGCTTTGGTGTCTTGCCCTTGCATGCTTTGGCGTCTTGTTCTTTGCACGACTCAGCGCCCTGAAAGCTTCGGTGTTGGTCCTTCCCACACTTTGACCACATATATGCGCCCTTCTCTTGCTTGTTCTAACTTTGCATGGTACATAGGTTGCATCAGCTCCTCCAGGAACACAAGCTGCCACGCTAGACATTGAGGCGGCTTACTGTACCATTCCAGTCTGGCCGCAACACAAGCGTTTTCTCGTCGTCGAAATCGACGGAGAATTCTTCATAGATCATGTTTTCCCATTTGGACTAGCAACAGCAGGAGGCGTACAAGGCCATGTAGCCGACGCCACCGTAGACATCCTTCACTTGTTAGAACTCGGACCCATCAAAAAATGGGTCGATGATCACACCTTTTTCAGATTCGCCATCAGCGGCGGCTTACTGCTGTCAGATGGTTCTTTGTCCCTGTTCGTGTACAAACACAGCCTCGCAGACATTTACACGCGTTCGAAGCCCTTAGGAATCCCATGGCACCCAAAGAAGTGTCGTGATTTCACCTTTATCTTCATCTATTTGGGATTTCTTTGGGACCTAATTCAAAGGTCCGTTGCACTTCCGGACGAGAAACGAGTCAAATACCGCAACAAGTTGATATCTCTACTTGACTTGTTGAACAAAGGATTCAGCATTTCGTTCAAGGATGCAATGAGTCTCAATGGTACCCTGTCTCACGTCGCCTTTGTCATTCCGCACAGTTGTGCTTACTTAGCCAACCTTTGTACCTTCATAGTGTCATTCCCATCAGGCGCGAGGTTCACTAAACGTCATCCACCCCCATCAGTCAAGAATGACCTTAAATGGTGGTTCAACACACTCTCTCTCCCGTCCAGCGCTCGTAGCTTGTCTCCACGAGGAGCACCAAAGGACCTAGACCTCTGGGTCGACGCATCGACGGACTGGGGCATAGGTATTGTCTTAGAAGGCAGATGGAACGCCTGGACTCTCGTCAAGGGCTGGAATGGAAGCGGCAGAGATATAGGATGGCTCGAAGCCATTGCAGTCGAGCTCGCAGTGAGAACCTTGTTCGACCAAGGGCTGACGGACTCAACAATAATTATTCACTCGGACAACCAAGGCGTCATTGGAGCCTTCAAACACGGATGGAGTAGAAACTTTCACGTGAACCTCTGCATACGCCGTGTCGAGGCACTGGCGATGGCCTCCAACGTGCTTCACTTGCTTATATACACAGAATCGGCTCAGAATAAAGCAGACCCCATCTCACGCGGCGAGATTGGATCTCTTTCTTCTTGTTTACCCTCCACCGAGCTCCTGAATGAGCTCGTTAACTTCATCTCGCCTTATGTCTAGTGTTCAAAGGAATCCAGCATCGGCACATGCTGATGCAGCTGTAGCTTTGGCCCTTTTGAAGAAGGCATTGGCATCTCCTCCTTCGATCGGGGCGCCGCCCATTGTTACATACCCTCGTAGAAAGCCAAGAAAACCAAAATCTGGAAATGAACTTTCCGCATCAGCCTTTCACCCCCATGTTCTTGCGCGCGACCACTTACGTCTATGGTCCACACCCCACTCAGATTCCTTTCACCTTTCAGCCTTAGAACAATTGCCTCTAAACGATGTTTTGCAGCTTTTTGACGTCATGTTAGTATCCATCGAAATCAAAACCAGAGAAAATTATGGTGCAGGATTGCTTCGTTTTCATCAATACTGCGACTCAAGACATATCCCTGAGGCACGTCGCATGCCCGCATCAGATTTTCTCCTCGCATCTTTCATTGCTTCTTGGGCCGGAAAGGTCGCTGCAATCACTGCACAAAACTGGTTAGCCGGGCTACACTTCTGGCACAACCTTCATGGCGCTCCTTGGTTCGGACACAGCATCCTCCGCTCAGCCACTGCTGGTCTCGGTAAACTTGTGCCAGACTCGTCAAAACGACCTCGTCGCCCTCCTGTAACTTTAGAACACATGCATGCACTGTTTCGTGGGCTTGATCTCTCCAACGCTTTTGACGCTGTAGAGACTCATGCCTCTCATGGTGTGATATGGCACTTTTCACTAGGGAGTTCATTGCACGAACTTGCAGCACCATTCTGTGTGCTATCTGCAGCTATCCCTATATGAGGCGCAGCTTTCCCACGCAACGCGCGCCATGCGCGCACCATTCCCGCGCTTTACGATGTATACGCGCGCGCGCTTTCCCGCGCTTGGTCGCCCTATAGCGCCAGCCTTCCGGAAGCATCCATCCACTGTCCACCAAGCTCTCTAGTGCGTGTATTTCCATTTCCCTTATTTACATATCATTCCACCTTTATTTATATCATGGACCCTTACTTACATACATATATCTTTACGTACCTTACTCGGTAGCGCTTTGGCTCCGCGTGACAGCACTTAGGCGCCGTATATAAGCGCCAGCATTACATACTATTACAAACTTTCGAACTTTGGACTTGACCTCCCACTTACCCACATACTACCTAGGAGAACATAGTAGAAATCTATTCTTTGACACCTCGCGCTCGTATCTCTTGTCTAGTATCTAATCACCACTTAAGCAAACTCACACTTACTCTCACTTGTTTCCGCTCACGCGCGCGCGCTTCCCACGCCTCGCGCGTACCTTCGCTTTCCCGCGCCTCGCGCGCACCTGCGCGCTTTCTCGCGCTTCGCATCAGCCGACCAGTAGCGCCTTCGGCGCGCACTACTAGATCCTTGCTGCACTTGCTTCCCCTTTAGGGTCGAATGCACTTGTCGTCTCAAGTATAGCAGACTAGGCAATGCGCGACCTTACAACATTTACAGATACAGTCAGGAGCATTGTTTTGTTCCTCTCAGTATTGTTGTTTCTACAACGCGTCCGCTTTTGCTGTCGCATGTACAGCCTTTTGGTCTTGCTGCAGGTATGTGTGCTGTCGTATCATCGAAATTTAATATGTTCAACAGTCGAAGACTCGGCGAACTTATTGTTGTTAGTTCCAAAGCTTTCGACCCTTCTCGTAATGTCGCTCATTCCGCTCCCTTCGTTCGTCGCTCACCAGCAGATGGGACCAAGTACTCCGTTCTACACATCCCCTGGACGAAGACTTCGCACGTGGAAGGAGCGGACATTATTTTATCCAATATTGACAATATCACGAATGCGTTCATGGCCATCGACCATCATCTTGTCGCCAACGTGGCTGTTCCATCCAACGCACCCTTCTTCGCATACGAGACTACAGACGGCAAATGGGCTGCAATGACAAAGCCGTGGTTTTTAGCACGCTGCAATCAGGTCTGGAGAGCAGCCAACCTATTAGAGCTTACAGGGCACTGTTTTCGCATCGGCGGAGCAACAGAACTCCTCTTGCGTGGAGTTCCACCTGATGTCGTTGCAGTTCAAGGCCGCTGGAAATCACGAGCCTTTCTAGAGTATTGGCACAAAATAGAATCAATCTTGCCTCTTTTTGTTACTTCCTCGTTCTCGGACTCACGTACAGCTATGATAAATGCATCAATGGACTCATACGCGCGTCGTTATAGTTAATTATTCATACATATTGTCACTGTTTTTAGTTCAATCCAGCGCAATTCGCTCGCAATTGGGGGAGTCGTATGTTTCGAACACGACTGAGTGTAAGCATTGCTCGGATTGGGTTTGGTTGTGTTTCCGAAACATTAATCCAAATACCTCACACTCGAGGGTTCGGTTGTTTTATTTCTCTTCTCGCAGTCTCCGGTATCATTGTCGGCAGTCTCTCAGTCAAGATTCAGAGCTCGAAAACCTCACGCAAACGCATCAATTCTAGCACATCACGTGATCGTCGAAAACGCGTTTACCTGGTTAATAGTTCTGGATCAATCCCTGACATAGCACTTAGAGACAGCACCATTCTCGTTCGGAGACCTTCATATTTTCACTCGGCAATCACCGAGCGACACAACCGAATCCCCTCCCCCCAACTGGCGAAATTCGTTTGAGCACTGCACTACATCAATCGTTAACCTTTTGTTTACTTTCATAAACCGCAATACCATCTCACAGATCGTTAGACGTACGCACAAACACAGCTTCTGTTTAATAATACACTCAGAATCCTCGACGCGTACACTCGCGCTTACCTCGTCTAACGATCTGCTCATTCAGCTTCAGCAGAAACGCAGCACATAGTAAGCCGGTATCTCTAGTCTAAGTCGCCTGCTTATAACCTATAATTCTTGTTCCCACGGTAAGATTCAAAGCTTGATGAGTCATCAAAACAACTAGTACTAAGAACAACCACCAGATGTCATCGCGGTAAGCTCGAATTCAGCTTGTTTGTAAAACATTGTGCAAACATTGTGCTTGATACAGTGATGGGAGAACGTTTGGGCATATCAGTGGCGTGGAGGTTGGCACAAATTTCAACTCAAAGTGAGTGCATAGAGCATGATATTCATACCACAACGAATTCACACTGTGCCCTGTCCAATAATCGTAGAGCTGCGTTAGCCGACGCAGGCGTACATAAACTACAACAATCTGGCATACACGGGGATAAAGAGCTTGGCGCATTTTCCATATGCTTGTCCAAAGGGTATGAGGATAATGTCGACAGGGGAAATATCATGTACGTCCGTTTCCTGCCTGGCCGTCCCACATACTGATATGACTTCTATTATGTTCAGTACGTATGTTGGCTCAGGTTAGTCATTGCGCTATAATGCTCGTGATTTCACTGTTAACCCTTATTCAGGTGGACAAGATGAGGATGGAGTAAGCAATATCAAGTCCTTGTCCTATCATTAAACATGTTACAATTGCATTTTAGAAACAAATAAGTGACCAAGACCCCGATTCCGGAGTTAATAAAGCCATGTTTGTAAGTAAGCTCATTTGTGACAGTTCTTCCTAGTAACTCACATCTTGAGTAGCTCTCCTCTGAAACCAGGCGTCCAGTGCGAGTCGTACGCGGAGCGAATGACGACAACGTTTATTCTCCACGTCGGGGGTGAGGGAAGTGCGCTCGCTCGTAGCTCGCTTTACTGATCCACATTTAGTTTTCGTTACGACGGGCTGTATGTCGTCGATGAGGTGCTGGTTCTTTTCACCATATCATGAACCATTACTGATGCAGACCAGGCCAAGATGATGGACGGAAAGAAAGGATTTAAGATGTGCACCTTTACGCTGAAGGTGAGAAACACCACAAACCCCTATATGTGACTGACCTGTCTCTAGCGAATTGACGAAGAAGGCCAGAAGGCGATACCAATAAGGCGCACCCTCACCCTCGGCAAACTGGCAAAAATGAGGAAGAATACTCGTACCGGATAATTTGCCCGCTATAGTTGTGATATCTTGGCTTTCAATCGTCATGCAATGGAATCTCTTCATATATACCCGTGTATTAGTGTGTACAGTCGTCTGCTTGCGTTTGTAGTTTTACTGTCCAATACCAACCTCCTCATTTGTCTGCCTCATTGATTAGTGCGCGCACGATGTGTGGATCATGCATATATCATATTTGCTCTCAACGAGATGTGCCACTGCAATTTCGATTTGTTGCTAAAACTGTATGTGCGGGAAGTCAGGGTATGCTGTATCCCGGAGCCAGATGTAATGTAAAAGTGGGTGAGCTCCAAACGGACTTCACGAAAGTAACAAAATGGGTGTAATGATGCTTAACAACACGCGTCAGCTGCAGCGGCAGTGCAGTAAGAAAATTCATGGCAGAAGTCGAGAAAAGGCAGCAAAGCAAAGTGTCAGAGCAAAATAACAAGGAAGAAAGGTCAGAATCGGTAATGCAGAACCACTAAATGAACGTATTGGGAAAGACCTCTGAGCGATATCGTTTTAGCGCCAAGGTCCATGCAACAGAGATGATCACTCACCACCAACCATATGCACATGATAGACGACGGATTCATTTACAATGTTACTGGTGGACCTAGGTCATTACGACTGATCCTCATCAGGAATTTCTCCATGCTCATCCGGGATGCTGACGATGCTTTGGGGTCGGTGCTTCAATAAAACGACACTCTCCAGCATGACCACCATGTCTTCAATGTCGTCGTCAACTGCAGGAACCTCAGACCCTGCGCTATGCACAGTTTCTTCTGTGGCGAACTCTTGAGACTCAATTGAATCATCGGAGTTGGCATCCCCATGAGACAGCAGCTCTTCGACCACTGGCAGAGCTTCGGGGTGCACTTCAGGCTCAGAAACTTGAACGTCGTCCACCATTGCGTCAACATGAATCTCAGCATGTGTTGCCTCGGGATGCAAGACTTCCACGATACTCTCCACAACTTCCTCTAAAACGCCTCGGACCCCTATGGCTGGTACCTCGTCGACGTGATCACGAACTTCATGCAAATCGGTGATTCCTTCTGAAATCACGGTTTCCTCTAGGTCATGGCCATTGTCAGAATATCCGCTTTCTAGATGATTGAGCTGATGCTCAACATTGTTGGTAGCAACCTTGGCTGCATCCTCTTGCGTCTTCGCTTCATTCATCCTTGCAGGTGCTAATCCTACCCTAAGTTTTGACGGACCGCGGGGAGTGAGACCTGCAGACGTCGATTTGACGGTACGAATAGGACTAGCCGCATGAGGAGGAGCGCGCGCCTTCGACATGGATGCAGCAGTAGGCTTGCTCAGTCGTTCGGCTGCGCTGCTGCTGAGTGTTGCCTTCTTCACTGGCGGAGGAGCGGGTAGAGGGACATTACGAGAACGTGCAAGAGATGCTGCTGTAGGCGCAAACAAACCCGAGGAAGGCGTCTTTGGACGAGATGCATTGGTCGTATGCACGGCAGGCGTTTTCGGTCGAGAAGGGGTGACAGGTGTTGATTTTGGAACCGATTTGGGGGTGCTACGGACAGTGGAAGTATTGGAAGTAGCTGATTGTCCTGTATGTTGTGGCTTGATGGGCTGAGAGATAGAGGTGGAGAGTGAAGATTTAGGTGGAGACTTCACTGGAGATTTGACCGATGCGGTAGAGGGGCGTGGTTTTGCAGGCGAAGTTGGATTCGTCCGAGACCCAGCAATGGGCGTAGCCTTCCCAGAGACTTGCTTCTTCACTATGGGCGACCTGGCGGGTTCAGGGGGCGTGGATGCGGTCGTGGTGGTCTCTGCCGGCTTCTCTGTCGTGGGCTGAGGGCTCATGGGTGGTGACGTGTTCTGGGCGGCGGAGGAAGAGGACAGAGTGAGCGCGGTTATATCTGCACTCGCAGATGTCACATGTTTAGGCGGCCACTCCCTCTTCTCCTTTGTATCTTCTTTTGCGGAATCACCAGCAATTTGTGACGACACACTGGAGCTGCGCGGGATCGTAGGCGCAACAGAGGACGACTGGCGTTTGTTCTGCTGCTCAAAACGTCCGATGAGATTTGCAACGCTCTGACGAGGTCTCTCATCTGGCAGAGGCCTGCACGACATCATCCGTCAGAGAACCGTTGGTTAGAACAGAACACGAACGACTTACATGGCGCGCCCTGATGACGGTTAGAATAAGAGAATGAAGAAAAGAAAGAAATTTACAGAGCGAGGGTATCCTCGAAAGACCTGACTGGCAGATACGTTGGGAAAGGTGATGATCAAGCGGATACAGAAGGTGATGGTTGTTTTCAGCTTGGCGAGTGACTCGATCCGATTTTGGTAGCACCAAATATATTGCTAGGCAAATAACGAAAACAAGGACGACAAGACATGCGGTATTAATGGTAGTACAAGACAAAACATATAGAAGCAGCGATTGACATGATCAGAACCAATCATGATATCCAGCTGTCAACAGCCTGCTGTAACGCAATTCTAGCTCCGTCACTTTGCCAGAAGTGGTTCGCATCCATCACCGGAATAACATCAAACCTAGCCTTCAACCCATCTGTTCGCCTGAGTGTATCAACCCACTCGTCATATTTCGACTTGCTCGTGAACTCGTCCTCATCTCCGTATATGAGGAGTAGTCTGGCATCAGGGTTGCACAAGATGTCACGTAATGCCAAACTGTACATGCCAGTGTGGAACATAGTCAGTAATCCTCTTGGGCTGATGGGGTAGGATAGCAGTATGTGTGATGTCTTCACTCTGGGGTTCAAAACAGGATGGAGCGAGGCTATCAAAGAGCCATACGAATATCCCTGCAGCCTTACATCAAGGCGTGCACTGATATTTTTCAGGATGTTGTGCTCACAATAACCGTCAAAGAATCAACTTCGGGTTTCTCTGCCAAGAACTCCTGCACGAGAGCCTTGAGATCCTCGCCTTCCGCTTTGCCTGTGAGGGAAGGCCATCCACTGGACTTGCCGACACCTCGGGAATTATACCGTATCACGTAGTAGTTTTTGTGTTGCAATAATCTAGTGAGTACCTTCAGAGTCCTTTGAACTCACCATCAGTACCCGCAAGGGTTTGTGCATTGGCATGGCACTGACGGTTCATACATGTTGCCCCCAAGCCACGACCAGGGATGCAAGAGGATCGCCAGTTTCTTGGAATCTAGCTCCGGTCTCGGGTACCACATATTAACTTGCAGTGTAACGCCCGTAGACACTGATCTCGAACCCTCCGAGGTCTGTGAGGGGACCATTTTGCGAGACCACGTTACGAGTTAGAAAAGTTCTCGGTCGTGCGGTGCCTATGTAGGCCCTCGCGCTTACGTGTTCCGAGAAGTTCCGAGTAGCCACTGATCACGTGTAAGTAGTACTGACCTCGAGAGTCGAGAGAGCTGACGCAGTATGTAGTGACCTTAGTGCACCTGACTACAGGTTGGGCTGACATCACGATACAGCCTAGCAGTGCTATAGGCCTTGCAGCAAATAACAACCAGCCATTCTATGCGCGCCTCACTTCAAGCCTTCCAAAGTTCTTGAAACGTTCTGGAATCGTCAATTTCAAGTTGACGATAAAAGCCAGGGTCAACAGTGAATTCTATGCTAGCGGCTTGGCCTTGCGTTCTGCTCTTTGATAAAGAAGCTGAAGCTTCAGGGATGCGGCGAGAGGTGATAAGACTATACCTTGATTGGATTACAGAATTCCACCTGTAGTAACCTGTTGCTCGAAATGCATTGCGCAGTTTCTGAACACGTTCAGTGAACGTTGTCGGCTATATGTGAACAATTTCAAACCGAGGTCCGTAGTGCGCACCATCAAGGCATTCTTCCCTTAACAAGTCCAGTGGATAAGTCAAGATTGCATGGTTCAGTCAGCCATACAGCTGCTGGAGCGATACGATAGCAGATAACGATGATTCATGAAGCTGTCAACGCAGCAATGATTAGGCGTGGCAGTTTATTTTTCAAGACTCCTCTTCCAACATCTGTTGCCATGAAATAGAGGAATGATTTCGGCCGACGCCAAGAGGTGATAACGATCTGTCAAGTATCAGACGTAGAGTTTGAAGGATACATGCGCTTCAGGTGTCGATACTTGCGGAGCGAGTACAAGGCAAGGGTTTCTGACATGTTTAATGAGTTGAAGCAAGGAGTTTCGAAGCACTTCTAACTCGCCGTTCTTGATATATTCTCCAAATCTGAGCGCCTTCTCTATTTCCTCGTCATCAGTGAGGTTCCGGTTTTCTGTTGAAATGAAAACCATTGATAACGTTGTGCGAGATTATCGTGGAAGCCAACCCACTTTCGAACAAGCGTCTAAGCTTCCCATGGAAGTCATATCTAAAGTGCATATGTGGATTTGATTGGACACTTAAGGTAGATGTGAAATTGAGGCATACGAAGGTTCATAATCTCTGCCCAGTCGGTGGAGTTCCTTATAAAGCGCAAGGGCTCTGAGTCGAGTTACCTTCGAAGCCATCTCTGGCTGAAGCGTCGTGGTCCAATTGACCGACTCCAACGTGCTTTGACAGTGAATGATAGCGGTACTGCTTGGAGTTAGTTAGTAGGTGGAACGTGCCACAGCCACTGTCTAAGGTAGACTACCCATGTGACTTAAGCGCTGAGCGCAGTGAAAATCGGACCGAGATCGAGTAACTTATGTAGATCATCCTGTACTCCATGTTGATATCTTGTACTATATATCCATTTCATATGGAAGTAGTAACGTGGCAGAACTATGTACAAGAGGGACAGGAACAAAGCTTTACGTCATCCATACACTTGATTATAGATCCGCTCCCTCCTGTCTCCAAGCACGTGTGGAAATCGCATACGTGTCATGCGTAAACACCGTAGAAATTGGATACACACTTGACCCGATGTGAACCGGACTTGCCACATTGACTGCCACAGTGCCGCTGTAAGCCATTGCCATTGACTCTTGTGGTGCTTGATTAAGTTTCGGACTCGCTTGTAGGTAGCTAAGAGCCCAAGACCAAGCCAAGACGTTACCTCAAATCGAAGATTCTGAGCAGGCACCAACTGTGCGGCGTGAACGTCGCAGGACATGTGTAGCCTCGAGGCACGCAGCTGTCAGCACGTCGGATCATAAGACTCAGTATACCAGGTTTGACGCGGATGTCGAGGAATATCAAGTCGCAGATACGCCGTACGGCCAACAAAATATAAACCAACTTGAAGACCTTAAACGCAGCTTGATCACCGGAACTAATCCTAGCAGGAACCGGTGCGATTGAGCATGATATTATCTTTTAGAGTTTAGTCACTTGTCAGCTTAAGCCTTATATCCTGAAGCTGAATGTGAACATTCAACTTGAACGTTTGAACGTTCTTGCACGCCACAATGACATAACTTTGACACACGTACTGTGCACAGGATCGCGCGTCCCAGCTGATGTGGCTAGGCCGGAGCTGTACCATATTGCTGTATCAATGATTCTGATTCTGAATTCGAATAGTAGTCCATAGCTAGTATAAGTACCCTAAGAGGAAACGTTCGAAAATATATCGATCGTAATTGAACGTGCAGAATAATTAGTCATCAATACCGCACTTTCCATTGGATCATCGGTATTGAACGTGTAAGGAACCCTGATTGCAAACAGCATGGTGGCACTATAGATCCAGACCAGATCGATAACGATGATCACCCAAACCAGACGCATATAAAATGCAGGTGCGTACTTACCGTCTTCAGGATCCTCCTCTCCACTTCCCCCTTATAAGTTATCGTATCAGTTTTTACCAGGGACCTCCCCCCCCGTGAACTCGCGATGACTTCGAGCCATGAACACCAATCCAGTCGTGCATCATACCATGAAAAGGGGCAGACTAGTACTAATATTACCGTACTTGACGAGCGTCGTCGTGCGGCTCTAGCAGAAATCGATAATGCGCCCTTCTCGTAAGTCTCGCAATTTTGTTTGATTTCAATTCTTACAAGTCCATCTCGCCCCTAGTTGGTTCCATGTCAAGGTTTGCCTGGTAGCTAGTGTAGGTTTCTTCACCGATGCGTAAGTTACTATATTGATGTGCTACAACTACCTCCGCTCATCCACCGTCAGCTACGACATTTTTGCTATCAACATCGCCTCCGTAATGTTGGGATTTGTCTATGGTCACACAAGTGAGTATCCAGAACCTTTCCATTGTGGTTAATGTTACATGTCATTCCTACTAGACAACCAGCTCAGCGCCAATCAAGGTTTGGGTGTGAAAGTAGCTACTCCCGTCGGGAACTTGGTTGGCCAAGTACTTTTCGGGTGGCTCGCAGATATTATCGGCCGGAAGCGGATGTGTAAATCCAATTTCATGTCCGAGCTTACCCCCAGCACTAATCCACGCTCTCATAGATGGCGTCGAGCTAATGATCATGATTATCGCGACATTTGGTCAGGCTCTCGCTGGTGAGGCTCCAGCAATAAATATTCTAGGTGTTATCATTGTCTGGCGTTTCATTGTAAGTACAACAATCCAATTCCGCAAAGTCTACTCCTCACAGTCCCATGAACAGATGGGGGTTGGTATCGGTGGTGACTACCCATTGAGTGCCATCATTTCCTCAGAATTCGCTGCTACACGTTCACGTGGTCGTCTCATGACTGCCGTGTTCGCTGCACAAGGATGGGGCCAATTCGGTTGGTTGATACATATTGTCTCCCCAAATTATGTGGTTAACTAATCATCCACAATGTAGCTGCCGCTCTCGTCGGTATCATCGTTGTAGAAGCATATAAGAATTCCATTCTCAGTGCTACGTTCCCTTGCGTTGTCCCTGTCGATCAAATGTGGCGTCTCTTGATTGGTCTTGGATGTGTCCCTGGAGTTATTGCACTATACTTCCGTCTTACCATCCCGGAGACTCCTCGTTTCACCATGGACATCGAACGCAATATTGCGCAGGCAACGACAGATATTGACAACGTGTTAACAACAGGGAAGTCAGTCCATAATGAAGATGCCCCCGTCCAGCTTGTCGAAGCCCCGAAGGCAACCCGCGCAGACTTCCGAGCATACTTCGGCCAGTGGAAGAACTTGAAAGTCTTGATTGGCACTGCCTACTCGTGGTTTGCTCTCGATGTAAGTTCCAACTCAGCTCCGAGGTTCCAAGTTAAGTTTTTTTTGCGTTCAGATCGCTTTCTACGGCCTTGGTCTCAACAGCTCGATCATTTTGACGGCAATAAACTTTGGGGGCCCCACTAGCGAACCAACATCGCTCTTTGTTTATGAGACCTTATACAACATTTGTGTTGGTAATCTTATCCTCTCCATCGCGGGCTTGATTCCAGGATATTGGGTATCTTTCCTGTTTATCGACTCCTGGGGCCGCAAGCCCATTCAATTGATGGGCTTCACCGTACTCACCATCCTTTTCATTATCATGGGTCCGTACACTTCATCCCTATAAATTCAGGTACATGGAGTTGACAAATTCTCGGCAGGTTTCGGTTATCATAAGTTGGACACCCCCGGCCCGGGCAGGAAAGCTTTTGTCTTCCTGTACTGCCTCACCAACTTCTTCCAAAACTTTGGTCCTAACACGACCACTTTCGTCGTTCCGGGAGAGGCCTTCCCCACCCGTTACCGATCAACTGCACATGGTATCTCTGCTGCATCCGGCAAGCTTGGAGCTGTCATATCCCAGGTTGGCTTTTATCAGCTGATTAACATCGGTGGCAAGAACAAATTCATAGGCCATATGTGAGCAGCACAAATTTCAATCCATGCACAGAATCTAAATTTGAGTTTTAGTATGGAGATTTTCGCCCTGTTCATGTTTACTGGTATTTTCTCGACACTTCTCATCCCCGAAACGAAGCAAAGATCGCTTGAAGACATTTCGAATGAGGAGCAGGAAGGCTACATCCAAGGCGTTCCTGAAGCGACATCCTAGGCATATAGCGCGGGACACCATGAAAATGGTGTCTTGCGAACTTAGCCACGGACTACGCTCACTATCTATGAATACTTTCTATGTCTCCTCAGTTTGTATCGGTGCACTCAATAAACAATGCATGTAATTACAATGAAAACAACAACCGTATAATGTTAGTTTAAACTCGCCCTGTTGGTAACCGAACACGTTAATGAAACTGTAAGCTTCACAGAAAGGTACAGTGTTGATGTCATAGCACTGATTGGCAGCGGTTCTTCTTCTCCAGAGCTTTCTGGAGAAGTGATCGCAAAATGTGCTATACAGACTGCTATGTCCGGAAGCGCCCTCAGGCCTCAATATTCAATACCGATGCACTCAGGGGGGTAGATGGGAGAGCAAACAGCTGCCGGCCTGGAGGAGAACACACAACACTTCGCAGAGCTATCTATACTGTCTGAGCTTGCCGCTGGGAACTAATCGACAATCGAGAGCAGTATCCGCAAGTTGAAATGAGGAAGTTTTCTCAAGCACAAGTCGAGTCTCTAGGGTAGCCAAGCACTGCAAGAGCTATAAGAAGACATAATACTACAGGATATTTCCTCGCTAGATGAAACATCGAGATACATGTCAATTTAGATTATGACGCCACTGTTTTGAGTTTCTTTTTCTGTACGACACAAGGGAGTAAGCCATGGCTATTGGCATGCTGAGAAAAGGGCCTACATAGCTGACAGCGTCGAAATCATATTTAATGCCAACTTCGGCCAGCTTTCGCTTCCTCTCATTTTCCCTTTGAATCAGACGCTTCTCGGCTTTTCGCATGCTTTCTTGGGTTCGTGGCTACCAATAATAGGACTGAGTCATGTCGTTAGTAAACCTTCATTCGACGGACCTTGTTATGTTCTTTCCGCACAATCTGATCTCTTGGGATGGCCTTCCACTTTTTATTTGCACCTACCCACAACTCGGGGTGCACCTTCTCCTTGGGTATTATCTTGCACTTGAGTATATGGCCCATCAACAAATAGTTATCCATTGTCTCTGCGACAATTTGCGCGACAGACGCCGAGTCGAACTCAACAAAACCGTAGTGTTTTGATCTGCCAGTCTGATTCACCGTCAGATGATGCTAACCACCACGAAAATTTGAATACCTTTTTGTTCCGTGAGACACGCAATCTTGTTACATCCCCGAATTGAGAGAGATATCCTTTCAACTGATCTTCGTAGAACCCATGTGGTAGGCGGCCCATGTATATTACACCTCGGTCTTGAGTCTATTCCACTGTAAGAGATGGCATGTCAATGGCCGGTAGGTACACTCACTGGATGCCGTTTCGCTTTCTCAAGTTTCCTCTTTACTGTTGCATCATCCTTGGCGACAGTAGGTAGTCGCCCGATATCAACCTCTTCATCAGCCACTGCATCATCGTCGGATGAATCATCCTCGTCTGTTGAGAAACCATAAAGATGTTCATCGTCCTCGGCATCCGAGTCTTCACTTTTTTCTGAAATAACTTCAGGCTCCTTCGCAGGTTTCGGTATTGGCTTCGGCTTGGAAATTAGATCAGCAGAAAACGATGTACGTTTTCCAGGATTTGAAATCGACGTTTTTGAAGCCGACTTGAGCGACGATTTTGGGGCCATGTCGATGATTTTTCGAGTATAGTTCAAGTGCCGGTGACCTAGCTATGATTACTATATTAGTAGATTAGTACTCTTCAGAAGCTTTTGGACAACAAACCACAACAACTCGTCTGATGCTTCATGATCTCAAAGTTCGCTAATCCGCACCTCCAAAGTCAAGACTTTGAGCTTGTGTCTCGAGCACAGCTTAGGTCTGATGTAGACCCCTTTATTGACACGGACGGTACATCTGATGTTGAGGTCACGACCTCGAAGCGCAAGCTGTATGAGCTCCTCTTCTCAGAGTTTGAGCAGTTTCTATCAACAACTCCTAGTCATCCTCGTAGGAAGAAAAGGCGATGCAATGGGAACGAGCTAACACCACCGGACGTAGAGGATGGTCTAATATGTATGTATCTAAACGTGTAAGAAATGCTTCATAACGGCTCATCTATACAGCGTTTCGTCTGCTTTCCAGTACAGCACCTCCAAGGACCATATCAACTATCCCGAAACCTCCACCCAGGCCAAAGTACTTTATTTCACATTGAATTTTTCCTCCACTCATGATTCTCCTTGTCTGAAGAACAAGACCACCTGATTGCGAAGACAATCCTATCCAAGCTGACGAACGGATGAGACGCGCCCAGTCTGTAGCCGTAGACTTTACACGGCCAGACGTGCCGTCGCAAAAGCACCTCAATGTGCGTAATATGCAGTATCAACAATTTTTGGCGTTGTAGAAAATCACCCCATTCAGTCATTTGTACAAGACAACCAGAAAGTCATTCGTATGAAGGGCGATTTACCAATTCCTCACCCTGCAGTGATGGTCACCGAAAGTCATCGACACAGAATAGTGCGTAGGCAGGCAGGACCAACAATACCTGGTGCCATCGACTCCCCGCATTCATTGCGGGCAACCTGCATTGTCTTCCCTACTGCTTTCCCTGAGGATTTGCAACCACATCGCAAGACACACGCCAAAGCAGTTAAGAAGCGGTCTTACGAACGCCCGCCTCCTGCTTATTGGAGGCCAGATTCTAATCAACGGGGACAATGCGCGGGCTATGGATTGGGCTATCCAGGAAGTTGGAGTGTTCGTTACGAGGGCGATCCGAGGAAACGATGGTATGTGAGAGATACAATGCGGAAAGCGACTTTCATCGCGTAGAACTTCTTTGTTGCTGTTGAGCGTGATTATTCTTCGAATCACATTCATGGACGTTTACTTTTTTGTGAGTTGGAACTTTACTTAGATTGAGGCAGCTTTGAGTTTGAGGCACCTTGAAGTGGTAGCCCTATGATAATAGACCTTATCTCCATTTGTCTAGTATGGTTCTAAACTCTAACGATGCCGTACTAGCAACGTTCGTGCACTGCATCGAACGAAGTTTGTCTTGCTGTCAGCACATCGGATTGTACAGTTCATCAATTGGAACATACATTACAGGGTATACTGCATTTCCCATGTTCATAGTAGTTCATCATTGACAAAAAGCTCTCAGCATGGCCAGCCTCAGTAGACTGCTTGTACCCCAGGAGAGAGTTTCGTTGTCGGTATCAACTCTTTCAACAGTTTTTTTGCCGGCCTTTGTATCGTACCTTGCAATGGGCGTGCTGGTTCAGCGAAAACGCACTGCAACAATCCGCTTTGCGCTTCTTCCAGTTATATTGCTGTGCGCATATCGAGCTGGCTCGTCGCTCGATTTTTCTTTCGGCATTCCCAACTACCGTTTTCTCAATCAAGGCTTAGTTGTGAGTGTACCGAATAACATATCACGAGGAGCTCTGTCTCATCCAAGTATTACAACTCAGCTTGCCACATTCACCCTTTCGATGCGATCGACTGCTTGGGCTTTCGCAAAAAAACCATACAAACGAATGACTTTGGAACCAAACAAAAGTTTCCACGGTGATACCATGTCAGGCAACACAAGCAACCAGTTTACCAACATTGAGAATACCCCACTATTTACCGCTACCTGGAACGTGTGGGATCTATCAGTTAACCTTCGCGGGATTGGGTGGGATTGGGCGGAAGGCTTACGCATTCCAGAGAGCAGTCTTGGAGCAAAGTCAACATTGGAGTTCCTGCTCATCACTCTCGCGAAGCTACTGTTCTATGCGCTCGCATTTGATGCTACCTCTGGAGCCGCTCGCGATTTTTCTCCAGAAACATTTGGATCAATTGAAGGGGGCACAATATTTGACCCATCGCTGCCGCCTCTCAGTCGCTATACCCGGTCTACTATCATTACGATCCTCTCTGGTTGGACAGCATATTTTGTGATTGAATTGGTGTATCAGATACACGCTATTGAGTTCGTCTTGTTATTCAGACAAGCACCGTCTCAATGGCCGCCCTTGTTTGATGCTCCGTGGCTTTCGACATCGTTGACCAGTTTTTGGGGTCACAAGTGGCATCAATTATTCCGGGAGTGCTTCATATCAGTCGGTGCTCGACCATTGTCATACCTCCTTGGTCGCACTGGAGGGGTCGTGGGCGCATTCCTCATCTCAGGCGCTCTGCACTATTTTGGATTGAAGGCAATGGAACGAGGTGGCCACCCTGTTGTTGTGTTTGGGTTCTTCATGATGCAGGCCATCGGCCTAATTCTTGAAGGCATATGGAAAAAACGTACGGGCTTACGTGTCGATGGATTTTTGGGCTTGTTGTGGACTTGGCTCTGGGTGGTCTTTTGGGCCAACTTCATGGTTGATGTATGGGGGAGAGTTGGTTTGGTCGGGTCCAAGTTCTTTCCCGACGACTACAGACCAACAGTCTTACTTGTCCACTGGTTGGAATATTATTTTATGTAATGCAGAAGCAATCAACGAGGCGCCTATAAACAGAGCAGACATCAATATTGATGCGCCAGCCGGATCTCCATTACTTTTCAGACTTCCGACATTGTCTCCTGCTGCCCCATCGTACTTGTCCAAGATTTGTGCGAATACCTCGGATGCGCGGCTCGTATGCAAAATTCGGGAGATGCCTGCGTGTAGTGCGATGAAATGAGCGTTAGCTAGTCTCGTGTGGGGGAATCTGATGGTTTCACCGAGGAGCTCGCGAGGGTGTATTACAGTATCCACGGCCTGCCCCCAACCTTGACTACGTACTCGTTTTCTCGCTGCCGGGAGCGCTGATCAATGAGGCATTGCGGGGATGAGAGAATGCAGGCTCACCTCCGTCTGTCCAAGGTAAGTATACTACTTTCAGTTTGTCAAAAACATTGTGAATAGCGTGTTCAAGCTCAAGCATCGTGTCGTTGCAAGAAAGATCGTCTACAAGCCTTTCTATGTTCCGATTCCGAATGTTTACTTCGGACATTCTCAGTGAGCAATACGGTAATACCAAATGATATTCATTTCTTACGTAATCCTAACTTGCTGATACGGTTGCCGAAGCCCTTTCGAAGGCGAAGTAATATTGACTGTAACATGACCTCGACGCCCCCGCCAGCTGGTGCTTTTGTCGTCCCGCAAATACCTCGTCTTCCATCGACAGCAAGTTCGCGTAATCGAGTTTCAATAGGATCATCCTTCTCGTTTGGCCCGCAACCAATCCTTTCCTCATTCTCTGCAGCGGATATGAGTGGCTCAGGTCGACCCCGTGCGCTTGATCCAAATCGTTCTATGCTTCCAAGCTCGCCAAGATCCTCGCTTCGGCGATACCGGCGAGCGAAAGAGAGCATAGGACGTCATCCCCTTGCAAATGATTCCATGGATGTTTTTCAGGACACTGAGATGGAATCTGACAATGACGATGGCGAGTGGGGGATGATTGACCGCATGAGGCTGTGGCGGCACGATGCTTTGATGCAGCATCTGTATGAAACTGCCGCCTTCTGGGGAGACAAGATACTGTCATGGACCAGTAAGTCACGCCGCCTCGATGATTGCTATTGCTCTGACTGTTCTTTGTTATTGATATATCTTCTGTGACGTGCAGATGACGCAAATGACGCGTTTTGGCTAGCTCAGACTTACTTCATGACCCATCAGTACGCGCGTGCTGAGAGACTCTTGACTAGGCCCTTTCCTGCTATGACACCAAAAGTGCAGAGTGCACCCTTGAATGGCCTTGAACACAGGCTAGTAGACGATCTTAAAATGGGTAGTTTGACTGCAGACACAAAAGGAAAAGGGAAGGAGGGGCACCCTGACACAAGTATAATGCCTCAATTGCCAATGGGTGACGCTGGCATGATGCAAATTCCTGAAGAGTTACAGGATTCCGTATCAAGACTTGTGGACATGAGTGTAGCATGCAGATATCTTGCTGCACAGTGCCAAGTACGGCAAGGGAATTGGACAGACGCGACAGAGATGCTCGGTGAAGCGAATCCATTCCGTCATTCAGGTTGATATCAATCGTGTACGACTGCTACCATCCACTAACAGATCATTCAGCAAGGAGTGGGCCTGCCGTGCCGAATGTTGATGGTGGCATCAAGGTAAGCGGACATACATTCCTGACCACAGCATTTGAACTTTTGCTTGGTTGTGTAGGTCGAAGCTTCCATGTGCCATTTGCGTGGCATACTTATGCTCAAGCTGAACCGTGGAGACCAAGCAAAGCTTTGCTTCATGGAGGCATTAACTTTGGACGTCAAATGTTATGATGCATTCGACCAACTAGTCAGTGGTGAAATGATGACTCCGGACGAAGGTTAGGCCACAAGTATCATTACTCATTTCCTGGTATTTGACTGCCATAGAATGGGAGTTTATTCAGGGTCTCGCTTACAGGGAACAAACGCAAGACGATGCCGATTTTGTGCAGCTCATATACACTTCTCAGTTGCGGAAGTATAAACATGCAGAAGAGCATGCCCTGACCCGGAGACGTCTTGTCGAGGAATTTGGACTTTCTGACAATCCCGATGTGTTATTCAGTTTTGCTGATGCACTCTATGCTCAATTCCGCTGGGCCGATTGTTATACTATCACGACAAGGTTAGAACGCTTGTCAAAAGGAGTTTAAATTCATCTCAGATGTCTCTTCACAGGATATTGGGGCTGGTTTCTATTCATGATCCTACCATGCCATTGCACATTGCCTGCATGTACCATCTTAACCATCTTCACTCAAAACTCTTTATTCTAGCACATGAACTTGTGGAGCGGGAACCTGAGAACCCTATTAGCTGGTATGCAGTTGGAGTTTGGTATCTTGCGTCTGGGAAATGGCCACAAGCCCGACAGTACTTCAGGTGAGTCTATCAGATCTTCTTTCTTCGCATGCTTGTGAAGCATCCACATCCACAGTAAAACATCACTTATGGATCCACGGTTTGGGCCTGCATGGATCGCGTTTGCCCACACGTTTGCGATGGAAGGCGAGCATGACCATGCTGTCACTGCGTATTCGACCTGCGCTCGCATGTTCACAGGGTGAGGTTGTTCTCGATCAGCTGAGTCGTGATAGACGTGCTGAAGAAGCCCAGTTCCCATTTACCATTGCTATTTGTGGGCATGGAGCAAATTATGCTGTCCAATCATTTGTTAGCCGATGAAGCGTTGAACGCTGCCTATGCCGCATGTGATGGAGACCCTCTTCTTATCAATGAATTGGGAGTTATGGCATTCACGCACGGAGAGTGAGCCCAGTGCTGAGCCAATCTTCTGAGGCTCATGCTGATTCGATCAGCAGCTACCAGCGAGCAGCGGATCTTTTCAAACGTTCGCTCGAACTTGCTCAAGTGACGCAAAGCTCCCAGATGTCATGGACGACAACATACCTCAATCTCGGAACTTGCTATAGAAAGTTGAAGTTAGTTTAGTTTAGGTTGCTCGAGAGCGTGCACAGCTGACGTGCTTGTCCCAGGAATTATGAGATGGCCAAGACAAACTATCAGCATGTGTTAGAAATTGAACCCCAACATCCTCAGGGTCTTGGTTATCTGGCCATGGTGTATCATCTCCTCGGAGAAATAGATAAGGCAATCATCAAATATCACGAGGTATGCTGCAACCTTTGGCGTGGTTTGTTCCTTCGTCCATCCCTAACGTCCATCACGAAGGCACTAAGCATTGATCCCATAAACGGGCACTTAATTGAACTGCTGAACCTCGCATTGGAGTCTGACCTTTGTTGTGGTTCGTTGGAGAAAGTTTACCCCGGTGGCGAGGAAGCTTTCCGGGCTATGATGGTCTCTCTGAAGACCAAGGTCCTAGATGCCTCCAAAAAGCCCAACGTGGATAAACCAGGTGCAGATGTGGCAATGAGTGTAGGTTGATGAGGGTAGACGATGTGTCGTTGTAGGTCAGTCTCCACTCCCACGCTGTCTTCGGCATACATGGAGTCCCAAAACGCGATTCCTCGAAATGGTGGCGATCTCCTGTCAAAGAAAGTAACGTTTCCAGCCTAGCAATGTACCTGTTTCTTCCATCATTCGTCTGAATATACAGATACCTTTTGATGCCGAAATGCCGATGCTCCGTTCTCCACAGTCTCCCACAGCGGACAATACGTCGAACCATAAGAAAAACATTGGGGTGCAAGCCTTACGCAAGATGCACAGCTGTAATATGACCCTCATTCGGATTGGGCAAAAATGACCCGATGACGCGGCTATGAACTCTGCACCACGGGCGTCTTTGGGTGAGACGCAACTTGACCACCTTCTCCAACGATGAAGTCTACAACCCATAAAGCCGCTAGTAACGACATCTTTGCATGCCTACAGAATGATACCCCGGACTGGGATTTCTTGGTACGTTGCCAGTACAATTCTTGATTCTTTGTTTAAATGGGCAAGCAGGACGCCTTGTTATCTGAACTCATGATATTACCAACATTATCAGAGCAAGCATTGCTGTTTTACCGTGAATTATGTACCCATTTGAATGCAGCAAACGATAGACTGCTTGCGTCAGCGACTCCTCAGCATGCTCATCGTCTTCTGAACGTCTTCACATCCGTTGCGAACATTCAAGAAAAAGTAGATGGCAACACATTCACTCTTCGTCATTATGTGAATGCGATTGAAGCGGGTATCCGTCTTTCACCACCGCTGTCCTCAGGAACCACGTTGACATTCCGAGATATCATTCTTGCCAGCTGGTTTGCATCGCTTGCATTTTCCACGCTACCGCCATCACCAGAACCGAATAATATCTTGGACGCAATCCAAGATCGTGCTAGCACCAACCATCTTCCACATTTCGACGACACTAGCTTGGCACTAGTGCATGCAGTCCATCATGCCAGTGACGGCTTCATTAATGCTATGCTGGATCCCATTACCGGAACACTGCCCAATGTCGTGCTTTTTCCAGATCAGGCGCAGATGCTGTCGGTTGTCGTTTTTGCTTCCCCACATACCACTTTTGATGTATGGGCTGCGCTTCACTCTGGTCAATCGACATATGAAGTCAAGACTGCAACCTCATCTGCGTTGCTTACCCTTGCACGGCGCATTCAGGAAGGCGCATTGATTGCTGACCTCGGTCTTGATATTCCGCATTGTTCCAGTGATGCGCTGGTTCTCCTGCTTCACTATCTTGCGCTATCATTGTTTCCGAGTGCCTCTGCATTCAATGATACTGGTGTTGTCCTGTGCGGCATGAGCAGCAATGCGGCTTCAAATATGCCACGAGTCGCTTGTGGAAGGGATGTTGCCCGCCTTTATTACGAGAAAGGGTTGCAAATCGATCCCACGCATCCCCATTTACTTTCGAATTTCGGCTCGCTGCTGAAAGACGCTGGTCACAATACCTATGCAGTTGGGTGAGTTGTACCAACATCTGTGAAGACTTACATATACATAAAAAATGAAAGGGTTTTCAACCACGCTCTGCAACTACACCCTGAATTAGACATTGCACTGGTCAACATGGCAAATACCCTGAAAGATATGGTAAGCATTACTTGCTTCTCATACGAGCTGCTGTATCCAAACGTCTTGACTTCGCAGGGCCGTCCTGCAGATGCGATTCCTTATTACCTTAAGGCTGTAACCATAAATGCAGGCCTGGTCGATGCCTACTGTGGATTGAGCATGTCTATGAACGCAGTCTGTAACTGGACAGCGCGAGGTAATGTGGGACCTTTTGCACCAATACAAGCTCAACATTCCGCAGACCATTGGTTGACAAACACAATAGTGATATGTGAAGAGAACCTTTCGGAGCTTCATCATCAGAACATCGGCATCCTCGGTGAGAGGAGTGTTGATAACTGGCTTCTCAATGTAGCCTTAACTACATCAAGACCTCAATGCGACCACAGCTTGAGAAGATGGGTTCACCGATTTTGCCTTTTCACAGATGTTTCTGATGGGCGACAACCTCTCCTCAACGAAGGGAGTTTCCTTATACGCCTTATTGACTGGTACCGGACTAGGATGCAACATCGACGTTACGTCGAAACTTATGGAGAGACACTCTACAGCGAAGAGGCGTCATATTCACAACCAAGGGCAACTCCTACTGCGAAGCTGTTTGGCTTTGTCCTTTCCTCGGCGTCCTTACAAAAAGTTCCAACTGTACTACCTTTTCATACTGTACGTCAAGTCCACGTCAATGTTTTTCAATTTTTAGCTTACATCCCCCGATAAGTTCACGCTTCCACTGCCTAGCCGCACCATTCGACGCATCGCACACAGAAATGCCCTTCGTGTGTCACATAATATAATGACGCAGATATCACCAGACAGAGTGCCATTACTGCCGCGGCCTCCGTGGAAACGGCGTATTAACGTCGGTTATGTGTCCAGCGACTTTAGGTACAACTAGCTGATGCTTTGTTTCTCGCGCTAATGCTGACAATAGCATAGTGACCATCCATTAAGTCATTTAATGAAGTCGGTTTTCCAGCTGCACGACCAGGATCGGTTCTGCGTCTTCCTATATGCGACGAGCCCGTCAGATGGGTCAGTCTTCCGACAGTACTTTGAGCACGGCGACTTCAACTTTCTCGACGTCTCTTCGTGGTCAAGTGTAGACATAGTTAACAGGATTGAAGAGGATCATATACATATCCGTGCGTCGCATACCTCCTTCAGGACGTGCCATTGATGCAATAGCATAGTTGTCGACTTGGGCGGTTATACCAGAGGAGCGAGGAACGAGATCTTCGCTGCAAGGCCAAGTCCCGTTCAGATCTCGTTGATGGGTTATGCTGGAACATTGGCAGCCAGTGGGTTTTTACCCTATATAGTCCTGACCATTGCCACCCTGACCTGTCATCTTGCTCAGGCTGGTGCGACTATCTCGTCTGTGATAGCATCACATGTCCTGTCGACCTATTTGCACGGGTTCAAGCATATCAAAAACAAAGCCTAAATTATTGCTGCCAGCACAGTGATTTTGGGGTTCCAGTAGGAGAGGAGGGTGATCCAGAATCATCCTCTCCCCATTGGATCTAGTATGTTCTTCTAGACATTTACTTCAGATCGAGGCTAATATGAATTTAGCGCGGAGTGTCCAATATATATGCCAGTAGGTTCAGATTCATTTACTGCTGCCTGGGCGTCTTTAGCTTTGAACCCTTTCGTTAGCATACATATTTTGTCACCGACCACAAACAGTCTTATCGACATGGCGAAAATCTTTCTGTCGAGGAGCGTGCTCAGATGCCAGCGGAAAAGCTATGGAATGATGAAATCAAGTGTAGAGCAGATCTTAGACGAGCCCTGTTTCCTGATTTACCCTTGTAGGTGCCGCTACCACGTTCTTACAGCCCATTTTCATCCTTGTTCTAGGAATGCTATCATTTTTGCCAATTTCAATCAAGTACGTGTCCTTTCGCTGTTGTTCACTTGCTGTTGTTGATTTTTGTCTTTAAACCACAAAGTTGTATAAGGTTTGGACTGTAATTTTATTATACGTGAACAACTGACAAACAGCGACCAAACAGATCGACCCCGTGAGTCTCTGGCAGTACTTGATGTCGTCAACGGGTCGCTGAGTTCGTGTCAGAACATATTTGCAACTTGGCTTCGTATTCTAGCCCGGGTTCCATGTAGCATTCTTTGGTTACTGCGATTTCCCACTGCTGGAGAAGCTTACCTGATCCAAACTGCCAAGGAGTGGGCAGGCGACGAGATAACATCACGTATCAGGTTCACGGATGTTGCTGAAAAAGACTATCACATCTACCGATGCCGAGTTCCTGATCTATTTCTAGACACGTCAGAAGTAAGTCTTTGACGATTAGTGACCCCTGCACAGGCTGACTTGTTTATTAGTGTAGCGCGCACACTGTAGCAGCCGAGTGAGTGGTTGCATTCATATCCCACGAGGTTGAAATTGACTGTATATTATCCAGTGTGCTCTGGGCCGGCACGCCGATAATTGCTTGCACCTGGCCTAGTCATCGACACAAGATGTCTTCCAGGGTCGCTGCGAGCTTGGCCAGTGCTACGGGGTTTGGCGAGTACATGGTGGTATCCAGTAGGGATGAATACGAAGAACGTGCGGTGGCCCTAGGGAACAGCATGTGTTACACTGTGCAACCCAATGGCAATGGGGAAATAAGTGGGGACCTGCTTGACCTGCGACGGCGTCTTTTCTTAAACAGAGATACCATGCCTTTATTCGACACGGAGCGATGGACAAGGAACTTGGAGAAGGCATATCGGATGGCTTGGAGGCGGTGGGTGGATGGCTCTATGTTCAGGATGAGTGATGATGGTTGTATCTGGGTCAAGGACGATATCGATGTTCCCATCCGCATGGACTGATGAGATACCCCACCTGTGTAGTCAATCACTCACGTACTCGATGTGCGCTCAATAAATGTTATGTAGTAGGACAATGTGGCGGTGACCTTGATCGAACCGGCCACAGTCTAGAACCGGACCCAGTTGGCCGCACGTCGGACTGGCAAGCCTTTGAATGTATAAGTTGACTTCGTCGACTCATGTTTTACTATTTTCCTTGATCACGGGCACTCTACTCACCAGTGTATAAACCCTACCCTGGCTGTAAAGTCCCCTTAGTTCTTTCCCAATCTACCGGACTGATATCTGGTTAACATTGTGCGAGAGACTCTATATATGTTTTGTTCATTGTGCCGTTACATCAAGTCTGTGACTTCGACTAACGTCACATATTTTTTAACCTTCCCCAGTCTTAACTTAATTCGCTTCTAACAAAGCTTTACCCCTCCTACTTCTGTCACTACCGCTGACTGGTCTGGCCCACCACGTCCACGAACCGTGATGATGACAAAACCTACATCCACGATGACCTATAATCTTCGCTCGCGCTAGAGCCAGTTCAGTTTCTACCCCTGCAAGTGAAAAAAACGCACCGGTGAGAGACGCTTACGGAAATTTTATTGTTGATATTATCACTCTAGCTCACAAGGCGGCACAAGGTTCTGGCCCAGCAGCTGGAGCCCAACTTGTACCTGCCGAATCTCCGTTGACCTCGGTGGAAGGGTCCCCAGTGACCGAAGCCGAGAGTCCATCCGCGTTGAGACCCATCCGCTCGTATAGCGATGTGGTCCGCGCGAGTAGCCCTGCCTCGGACCAGAGAGAGCAGGAGAGTGTAGTAAACCTAAGTGGCATTAACATAGCCAATGTAAATGAAAGCACCCCCGCTGAAAAGACAACTGATCACGTCACCTTCAGAACAGCCAATGAGGACAGTGAGAGCTCCGAAGAGAGCGACGACGGTGACGACCGTCCATGGATCACAGTGGACCGAAAGGGTCGCCGTGACAAGAAAGACTTAGCAGACCAGATCAAAGAATCTGGAGAGCTCACGGTTGAGCAATTGAAAGTGGTGAATGCGGCTAGGAAGAGCCTCACCGAGACTGAACGCCGAAGACTTGGCCGTCGTGAAGCTAACGTCGGACAACGTGAGTCCACCCGTCCAACGACAGATACCGAGTCTAGGGGCGAAGGTCCGTCAAAAGGCAAAGGCGTAGACCCCAGGAACTGGGGTGCGCTAGCGCACGATGACGAAATCGACCTGGAGGAGCAACGTGCAGCCCTCGAATCCTATAAAACCGCTAAGCAAATGATCGATGAGCCCGAATCCTCCCAGAATGAAGAGGATGAGGACTTACCTGAAGGTGCCCGCGGCTCCTCAAGAGCCCAGGGCGGACGCCCTTCTAGGTGCAATCTTCGTGAGTGAGTGCGCTCGTCATTGACGCAATGGTGTATCTCTAAGGTTGATTCTCTTTAGTAGGACCATCGTGAGCTGTGTATATGGAGCACTATATAATGCCTGGTGCCTCCGTTGAGAAACCAAAGCTCACCCATTATTATTTACTCAGTTACTCGTCTGTTCTTCATTGTTGTCGTTGTCGTTGTCCCTTCTGTTTATGCCCACATTGCCTTCTGGCATCCGAGCATGTGGGGCTTCAACGTCACAGACAAGGACCCAGCGTATTCTTACGACAACCGTCATGTTGTCCCCCTGGCGCGTATGACGTTTAACGAGTGGTGGTTTCACAACCACCTTCGGTATCCTCCGCACCCAAATGATGTCTTTGGACTGCCCGCCGGGAAAGCTGCCGTTGCAGAACTCGGGTGCAACAAGGGCGCGACGACATGGTGGAATTCGTCCGAAGGGTTAGTCATCTGATTGATTGCATCTTCTATCAAAATGTATAATGAGGTCAATGATACAGCGGAGATGTTCGTCAGGGGGACTGGCCTTGCCCCAGATCCACTTCTGTCCAGTTCCATACCACAGGTATCGACGACGTAAAAGGTTGTGCACTTGCCATTGTTTATGAATCGGACGTCAGCAAGATCAAACCAGAGGGCTTTACAGTCTTTAGCGTCAACCAGACTTGCGTCTGGCACAGATTCACCGCATTCCAGGTACGGTGGCCAAAGATCTTCTGAACCCAGTTTAACAACAACAACGATAGGTTCCCGCTGACATGCCTGCCTGTCCCGGCGGAAAATGCACGTGTGCATGGTTTTGGATCCACTCTCCTGATAGCGGTTCTGAACAGAGTAAGGCGGTTTCCTTTGCTATCTTGTCATCCTGACTCGGTGCCTTCCAGTGCACAGTAGCGGGTTCTAAGCACGATGTACCAGCTCTCATGAAGCCTCAAGTTGCAAGACGCTGCGGAGCAGATCCTGAACACGGAATTACCCACCCCACCCCTAGCAACTGTACGCACGGGGCGAAGCAGCCATTGTACTGGCTGCAAGATGAAGGCAACAACGTGAGCGCTAGAAACTTTTCACGTGATATTAAATTTGAACCGGGTCTGATTAGATGTTTGAGGACTATATGGGTCCTCCTTTTTATAACGACCTTTATGATTTTAAAGATGGAGCTCAGAACGACATATTCATGACGAACACGAAAAATGCTGTTCAGAGTCAAAAGCGGGATATATATCAGCCGTCTCGCTTCTCAAGGTTTTGGGGCAATGAACTTCATGCTTCGAGGGAGACGATGATAGAGGGCGTTTAGGAAGGATGCATTGTATGCACTTACCTTGTATTTTGGAATCACTTCGGACTTCATGCGGAAAAATGTGCGCTATGACCGTTTCACAATGACACGTAATCTGCTTCTATAATTCAAATGAATTCTGTTTGTCGGCGAGCCACTGGGTCAAACCGGACATGCGTATTATGCCAAGAAATTACCTGCGAGAGGCGATAGCTACAAATCTGATGTCGAGGATAAGACGCCATAGCGAATTTGGAAGGTGCACCAAGTCTTTGATCTCTGTAATTCGAATTAAATATCACACGAAGAAAAAACTACTCAGTAACTCACTGTTGCCCTCGAACGGAATACTTCCGCTACGTGCACCGAAAACGGGCCCTCGGGATCAGGTATATCTTTCATCTTCGATAACCAGAGGGTGCAATCTGTCATAAATGTAAACGAAGGGCCCAAAGCAGGTTTTCTAATTGTTGATGCAAATGCAGAACTCTGATTGAATGGTGCAGCTGCTGATGTTCCGTTGATCACCTAGATAAAATAAGAAGCAGGTGCGAATTCGTGTAACAACCTCACCATGATAGTGATCCCGAAAGTCCGAGAAAGCTCGCGTAATTGGCGCATAAACGTTGTCATCATGGCATGTCCTTGAGAAGATACCGCACTTAGGGACGGTAGTAAAAGTGGGGTTATAGAATCGAGGACTATCCACTGGACTGTTGGTCCAACAGTCCTAGAGCTCTGCGATACATAATTCAGGAACGAATAGGCGCAAAAGGAGATAGAGGCATACAGAAAGCGAAATGCGCAGCGCTTCGAGGACATCGTGCACTGCCTCGATGTTGAAACTCAAGGATACCTGCAATCTCTCTAGCACCTTATCAGATACCTGGCATTCCTTCGTTAGATTCTCATCACGAAATTGACGAAAAATTTACTGCTACATTAAACTGTCGCACTAGCTGAGCAGTTTTCTCTGCAGAGAAGTCACCGGATGTATCTATCCATAAAGCACAAGAATCTGCATCAGAAAGAAGGTGCTGGATCACTACTTGCAGCGCAAGTGCCTGTCATCTTCGTTATAAATGGAATGCCCCTCAAGAACATACTTCAACTCATCTGACCGTTTTACCTGACCCTTTAGCTCCAGATATTTCAAAAACTCGAGAGCCACCAAAACCACCAACAAGTTCATCTAGTTTCTTGACACCACAGCTGACTTGAGGATGTTTCTCATATGTCCGTGCTGTGCCAGCAAGAATCTCGTCTCCCCGATATCCAGGGACCGATGCTTGTTCTGCTACTAATTCGGTGAACTTTTGAAGGTCTGAAAGCGTTACGGTCCCGAGTGGTAATCTTTTGATGATGTCCAAGCTAGAACCAAAGAAGAGAAGATCGGTGTCCGTTCGGATACCACACGAATGGTCGAGTGCTGCTACCAGTTCTGCAGGGATCAAAGGAACCACTGATGCTAAGCGCATAATGTCAATGGCGAGTTAAGAAATGCGAATTGGTATGATATCAAAGAACATGGCAGATCAAATACAGGGAAGACTTAGACGGTTGTTTCTTCCTCAAGGATCATAACAGCGCACAACATTGTTGATCGCATCAACACACAACTTGCTTTCGTTCCACAACCTGCCTTTTGAGGCTACTGTGATCCTTCACCGATTCAAACCAGTCATTCGGACAATATCAACTGATGGCTGAACCTCCCCAGACTGATGTCTCTCGTCCCTCAGCATTGCCTACAGCCAAGTTGCTCCAGCGTCCCACTTTCAATCAAGCTCTTGTCGATCAAAACTCGGATGAATACCTTGATACCATCGAGGAAGAATGGAACAAGAAACTAGACGCCGAGGTAGAAGTATTGGTTGATGGTATGGTCGATATCGTTAGTCTGGCATCGGTAAGCGCTATACGTACCTTCTCGAGCTGTACTTCAACCTCTGTCAGATCGGAGACAAGGACAAGTTTCGAATCGCACAAGAGTCATTTCAGGCCGAATCTCGTGCCGAGTCTATGGTACGAAAACAAAACCTGTCCACTACAGATTGCTCATCATCGAAATGATCCAGGTCCGTGCAGCTAATTCGCTGTTGTCCATAACACATTCATTGAAGTTACTGCTTCTCTTGTCCGATGAGGCTCAAATTGCCCACCGTCGGGATGCAGAACTCAAGCACGTACAACAGGAAAAGAATGAAGCTCGCCAGAAAGTCGCCGAGCTTCTCGATAGGTTGATGAATCCAAAAGGCGACCCGTCGTAATGAGACGTCATTCCCTCATCGTCGAATCCACCCCGGCCTTTTTCAGTCATCCTGGGGGAAAGTCCCGATATAAGTCTTCCCCGCGCAGGGTTATTTGTACCTTTCCGGCACCTCTTTACTGACACGGGCCCAACTCTTGTCTCCACATCTTTTAGAATGCAGAATGTATCACTCGCATTCAATTGTCGCAGTGCAGTCAGCACTTCCCGGCGATCGAGTTTGGCTGAAAAAGCTATCCTTCTAGGTAGCCGCATGAATATGGCTGTTACTCGTGTGGAGCAGTTTCTCAGATCTCCATCTTGGCAGCACATCACCATGTAACTTGCCCAGACGCATCCATGTAGTTACCACGATATGAATGTCACATCTTCATTTCTGCTGCGCTCTACTCAAATTTCATCTCGCTCATTGCCAATTCCCTCTAAAGCACACGCTCGTTGGAATCCTGCACCAGACATGTAGCGATGTAACGCAGTCGTCAATTTTATCAATCCACTCACCACAGCCAAAGCTACGGGAACCCATGCATTCAACTGTTTACCTGTCACTGCGGATGTTCGCCCGATCATGGAATGAATCCACTCAGTCCTTGGACGCAGCAAGTCATCAAGCGAGTATCACAACTTTCAATCAGTCTTTCACAGTGCAACAACTTTCTCTACCTCATGCAGTGACCTCAATTATACCATGTGCCAGATCTTACATGATTATCGATCGGTCTCAGCCATTTACTATCTTTATTACGGGTGATTGATGCATGACGAGAATTAACTAATGTTCGCATTGTCTACGTATGAAGAACGACAGGACTCGCACAAAATTTTAGTACATATTACTGTGTGGTTCTCCATCACATCACTTTCATTTTCTCATTTTCAGTTACGGATATGATACACTACGTTGTATGAGGTATACAGGAATAAGCTGTACTTCTAAAGGTCGTGAGTAAAGAATGAATATTCGGGCCACTAAGTGTCCACAAATATTTTTGAGAAATACTTCTTCACGCCTTCCGTACCATGAACTATCGCCCCAATCACTCCGTCCGGCCGTATCACAAACACCTTCGTCTGACCAGCTTCCATGAGGTAAGCCGAATAAGCATGGCCCTCCCGATCAATAAGAACGAGATCAACAGGAGATGCGACAGACGTTACTGATGCCGATGATGGCAGAACGACTGCCGATCGTACGACACTTTTGTCGTATGTCTCCAGTGCACCCAAGACCGGGGTAGCATCAGCGAGACTTGGCGCAAATACAAGGATTGTGTGGTACCAGGGTCTGTACAAACTAAAAAGCGTCGTCGCGCCAGGCTCCGCGCGCCCCACGTGCAGCATATTGGGCGCATCAGGCGCCCTGTCCCCGGCCTCCAGATGCCCCTCATCAAGCACTCCGTATGCGTTGATGGGTTTCTCCTCGACTGAAGTCACAAATTCATCGAGTACGATGGTGCTGAATCGGCAGTTGATGCCGAGCATGAACAGGATGGGACTTCGTTCGATCTGCGCGCCTTTAGATGCTATCGTCTTGTTGAGAATCGAGGTGGTCACGCCGAGCATCTCGGAGATCACAGGCAGACGCTCGGCGCTGTATGTCTCGAGAAGAGATTTGTCCGCGAGCCCTTTCTGGACGAGCGCAAGCTTCCATCCTAGATTGAACTGGTGTAGGGCGCGGTCAGTTATAACACACATGCTGCATCTACCCGACTCACTGCATCTTGTACGCCTGAATTGAGTCCCTGTTCATAGACAAGTGAGCAAGTATTAGCAATAATCGGATCAACCATACCTGACCACCCGTTGGGCTATGGACGCTTGGATATGTGTTAGTGGTAGTTTACGAAGAAGCATTCAAAGATAGCATACTGAGCAGCATCTATGATGACATGCATGAGCATAGCCGTGCACATCTCGAACAGAACCACATACCGCCTGCAACGAACACTCGACCCTCGCTAAACTTATTCACCATCCGGATATTGGGCCTGGAACGAACCGATGAACGCGCATCAACACAGACAGAAACACAAAATGCACCGGAAGTAGCTCATCCAAACCAACTTGTTGACTGAAATCTCTGTTGGTATTAACGACACGATGGTCTCGAAAACGAGCTTTTCGCTCTCAGCGATCTTAGTCAAATCTAATTCGCGCCCAAAGAGGAAAAATTGCCAGCCGTCATCGCCGATTTCGTCTGTTGGACGCAATGAAAGGCTGCATATCGTCAATATACATGTCTCCAAGCCTCAACTGAACAAACATACCCTCGTTCTTTCATGTTTCCAAATTGGTGCCAATGCTTCAAGACTACATTAGGATAGCTTTCCATGGAATATGTAGAAAACGAACGTACTAGTCTATCGAGGTCAATGCCCATCAAGCGGATATCTCCAGTCACCATCTGGGCATCGTCTCTAGTCTCGCCCAAAAATGTGAGGCCAAGTTGCTTGCGCACGATGCCTAGAAAGCCACTTTCAGTCTCGTGCATCTCAATAGATTTAGCTGCGTCTCACCTTTAGCACCATCAGCGCCGATGATCCACTTGGTATCAAAAGTCTCTGATATGCCATTCTTTGCTAGAACAGCGGTGACGCCCACATCGGACTGCTCGAACGAGCGGAGTTCGGTGCCCATCTCGACGGAACAAGAGAATTTCTCTAGGTGGCGTCGCAGAATCACATCTAGGAGTTGTTGACCCATCGATCTGTGGCCGTTCTATAAAAACCGAGTCAGCATGAAGGTTTGATCAGGCGACGGTGTTGCGCACGAATGGTATTGCTGGAGTAGGTTCGACATGCGGTACCAGCACTACGTCTTTCAGAGTTTCCAACGTCCCGGGCTTGTAAAAACGGATGGGAGGGGCTGGTTTTGCCAGACTAATGACTTCTGAAACGCCCAGGAAGTTGTAGAGTTCGCGGGAACGTGGCTACATAGAGCATGCCTTCAGTGAGACCGGCAGTGTGACAAGTGGATGTGCGACAAACCCATATTCCAGTACCACGCTGTCCGATGCGAGGATGGGGGTCTTTATCGATGATGCGAACTGGGATACCGTTTTTGAGGAGCGTCAACGCTGCTACCAGACCCACTGGCCCAGCACCTACCTAACATGGAATTCAGCTGAGGTGCAAATATGTGTCATAGGCAGGTCACTTACGATTAGCACGGGAGGATGAACAAAATTCATTATGATATAGCAGTCACACTGACAGCAGTAGAAGTGATGAGTTCGAATTCCAACGATTTGGAAGGGAAGCAAGTAGTTATAACATGGAGATTGGGCCGATCAGAACAATCAGAGCTGGCGCTATGCCGCATCGAGTCAGGAAATTGGTAAGGATACACTGGTTGCAGACAGGCTGCGGAGCTTGCCTTTTCCCCATGGAGCCGAGCAAGAGCAGAGTTTGTTTATTTGACACCATAGTATCGCAGGCTAGGTTCACGAGTAAAGAACGCTTCATTTTGTATGCTATGGGTTTGAGAATCACCCCTTCGTGGCGGGTGTTCGAAAAGGGCACGCAACTGTATAAACCGGACTGCCGGCGTCGCTACCAGAGTCGTCGGAACCGAAAAGGAGAGGTCTGGCCTCCCGTGATTCGCTCTATTTCGGAGGTCTGCTTGGGTATATTACCCCACAATGTAGGTGCTATGCACTCAGGTGATCGATAAAGAACATGGCAAAGGGAGGCTTGAGAACAGTTAGAGACGACAAAAGATAAAGGCAAGTGCCGAGGAACGCCTGATATCGACTCTTGAAGCTTGAGGGATGCCAAATGACATTAAATTCACATCGTTGTGTTTTCATGATGGATAGTAGGCAAACTTGGACTGCGCCAGCTGGCATGCGATAATCGTAATACAAAAGCATGTTATATCTTACAACGTTTTCTCACTGGCAATCAGTTCCTCCAGTTTATCGACATGCGTACCGCTAAGTTGTGCAACAGCCATAAGCGGCCGTCGAACGTGAATTTCTCCATATCCGAAATGCTTGGATATCAAGGCCTTCATAGCACCAACTCCTCCAGCCTTGCGTGTTGCCCAATCTCCCTGACCCAGCTGAGCTTGAATTTTCATAGCCTCCTCGATCTTTCCTGCCTGGTAAAGTGCGTACATCTTCATGTGTAGCTTAGGCACGAGGTTCGGCAGCGCAGCAATTGCGCCAGCACTTCCAGAGAGGAGTCCTTGTAAGAGGACCTCTGATACACCAGCAAGAGTGCAAAATTCGGAAGGCGGCTTGACAGCAGTAATTCGATGGAGCTTTCCAACGTTTCCGCAAGATAACTTAGTGCCCACAATATTGGGGTGCTCTGAGAGTGTGAGGATGATATCGGAGTCCAGGTCGATACCAGCAGTGACAGTTGGGAAGTTGTACACCATGTACGGCAAAGGTGAATAATCTGCAACCTACAAGTTCGAGGAAGTCAGGGACTCAGTCCAGCCAATTTAATGGAAGGCTTACTTCACGGTGATAACGGATGATGTTCTCTTTCGTCATATCTCCAGGCCAGACGGAAGGTGTCAACACGAGTACAAAGGCAGCACCAGCATCCTTTGCGTCTGCGCAGAGCTTCTTCGTCTCTCGTGCAGATTGGGCACCACAGCCTGCAATGATAACAACGTTCTGGAAGCCGTTTTCATCCAACGTCTTTCGAGTAAGGCTGATCGCCTCTTTACGCTCGTCGTGTGACAAATGTTGAGCCTCTCCATTGCTTCCCTGCACGACGATACCTGTGACACCTCCCTGAGCGGATCGAAATATTATGGACTGACATCAGGGAATCATAAGGTTTGTTTGCACCTGAGCGAGCCGCAAGACATGAGACTTTATAGCAGGGACATCAAAGTCCTCGTTCTCTTTGAAGAACAAGACAGCAGGCACGTAAATTCCGGAAGGGGGTACCGCAGCTGGCATGTTGGAAAAACCAATCGATTGGGTTGATAATCGCTGCTCTAGCAGTTATATGGGATCGGACTCGCGGCATCATCAGCATCAGCATCTGGCGGAACTCCGAGAGCACGGTTGGTGACACGGTCAGCTGGGGAACGGGCCGGTAATGTCAGTCACTGCGGAAAAGTCAAGCCGGATTAGTGTAGGGACAGAATCCATATGCGAGATATCAAAACAGATGAGTCGTGTATGGAATTAGAACATGAAACTTACGTGGTTATGATCATGCGCGTCAGTTACTGTATACTGGCAGCGGGGGGGTTACTTGACCCTCCGAATGGAATGATATTTGCTTCCGCTCCTCAACTCAAGGACCAGCTGCCAGATTAAGCGTATTTCGATCAATTTTACCGAAATTTAGTGACCACTTCACAAAATCACAATCGATTTTCTAATCATCTTAAACTTTTCCATCATCTACCACGTTCTTACCATCATATCCAGATTCCAGGCCTTATAATTGTGATGATCCGGGTTGTTTCTAAATCACAGTTTGATGGACGCGATCTGAATGTAGTACGCGTGCAGTGGTAGGGCTACTCTGCGCGAGCGATGGGACATTATAGGGCAGGGTTTGAAGATGACAAAATAATCAGGCCTGCGATGTGCGATCTCATTGTGTTATACCGTTGACTGATCAGCCCAACTGCTTTCCAGGCTAATAGTACTTTATCATGAGTGCTGAGCACTGAGTACTGAAGTACGAGTTGCTGGCTGGTGGGGCACAACGTGACGTGTCATTTATACAACTATATCGCCACTATTGTATCTCAACATCTCGGAATGCATCGTTCGCATCACCCACAAGGAAGATCTCAAGAATCCAGGTCATAAATACTGATACAAAACTACGCACTCGCCAGCACTGCGGCAGCATCAAACCATATAGTAAGAGACATAGTATGCGAATCCACTGACTCCTCCGAGCCGTGCATGCAGAAACTAACGTAAACAACAGTATCGTACAGGGCATCCAAGACGGCTGCCGAGGCTCGGAGGCCGGTTGACGGCCAAAACTCGAATCACAAGAAGGTCGCAAAAGAAACTGGAAATTTGTCCCCAAGGGTCAAGTGAGCAAGCATGGAGATGCTAGCCGAGAGATGAGCACTCGTCAGGAATCCTGCCAGGATCGCGCCTCACCAATCAAGCAGACGCACTGAGACCCATCGCTCGGGCTCCTGCACCGATACTACCTTCCCATCCAAAGAACCGTTCATTCTTTGGTACAGAGCCCACGCCAATGTAGCTGTCATTGTCCATTCCCATCTCGGACCACTCTTCGTCATCCCATCTCATATGCGCGTTCTTCGTGTGCGCCCAGACGGAGATGAAGACTATTCGCTTTAGCTTAGGGTTGAGGAAGAACCAGTGCGAGGACCACAAGAGTGCACCACAACGCCGCTTTAACCGCACATGCGCGAAGTTATTGCGCTCGGGCGATTCGCCACTACTCGTGCTGCCGCTGTTATACCGGAAGGGTATACGATTTTGCAGGGACACGGAAGCGGGTCTTGAACTGGTAGGATCCGGAAAGAACTCATCTACGTCATAGTCATCAAACTCGAAAGGGGGTTCATCGTCTGGGTCGTCGGACGAATCCTCATCTGCAACAGACGCGACATCATCCTCATCGTCAGAGTCGTTGGCGTGGGGATCAGAATCGATATCTGGGGAGTATGAGAAGACTTGGCAATCTGCGAGACCAATGACATCATCCAATATACGATACAAGGTTGGGTGTGTGCCAGAAACTATCTGGGGAGGTGCATGGGGGCTGGACACCATGTGGTGCAGAGGTGATGATGAGGTAGTTGGGACAGAGGAAGGGAAAAAAGTGGACGACGTGGGAGGATAAGCTGAGTACGTGCGTGGTACGCTCATGCCAGCACGGTGAGGAGAGAGAAGGGTTGTGCTGAGGGAATTTAGCACGCTCGCGCCGTTTTTCTCTTTGTTAAAGTGTGCAGGTCTGACATCTGAGAACTCATAGTCAGGGAATGCGATGTTAAGGGTGGCTATGAGAAGGTAGAGTGTCTTGCGAGATGCCTGCTTGTCCATAGGGCCAAATGGGGTGAGCTCAGGCTCGCGATCAAGCCATGAAGGAAGTGGCGGTGAATGGGAGAGCTCGTCGTTGTAGGCATGTTCAAGGGACTTGAAGAGTTTCTTGTCGCGTTTGATGTTCTTGCAACTATATGCTTCAATACGAGTGTGTACGGAACATTCTGGGCCCTCATGAGTGAGCGCTTGGGAAAGGCGTGATAACTCGGGGAATTCTATATATTTCATAGTCGTGAGGAATGATGTCGAACGGTAGTTGGTCGTCGTGAGCCGCAGCGAGGAAAGGAATAGAGCGAGGCGAGTGGCTTGACGAGCGGATGTTTGTCATTTCCGATTCTGGATGTGGCACAGCTTCTCACTTAAAATTCTATTAATATTATGCCTTGATCATGCTAAGGGGACAGCAATATATATTTGCTGACTTTCACTTTCTTTGAGCCGGAAGTACTAGTAGCTATACAAGAAATTACACGAGAGTCAAGGGAATGCGATAAAGATTACAATAAATATTTTGAAACATGCTAGCCTCTTCGCCGCGGTATCCTCGACACTGGCAGGCCCTCCTCGACACCCCGAACATACCCTGCGCCCATAAACACAGGCACACCACCCGCACCACCCCCAGCTAGGAATCCTCGTCGTTCACTCCCAGTGCCTGTCCCAAACAGCTCCCCACTTTCTAATCCAAGCTCCACAAGCCGATCAGACGACCTTGCCCGTGCAAGCTCTTCGTCTAACGTCAGTCGTCGTTTGCCCTTGCCATTAGCCGCATTTGAATTGTTTGCGACTCTGGGCTGAACCTCGCGCCGCCATTTCAACTTCGGAGGTAACGCCAGCTCATCCGGCTGATCGTCGTCGTCGTCATCCTCGTCATCCTCGTCGAGCAGCATGATACTCTTCGGCTTCGGCGTCGCACCCCTCTTTGTCCTCTCAGGCGTTGGCACAGACTTCCTCCCCTTGGCACGCGCAGGCGCTCGCGCCCTCGTTGGCGTTAGTACAGGCAACGGCGACAACGGCGGGCGTTTCCTGAACAAATCGCTTTGTGGGCGGGAGGGCGTGACATGATTATGTGCAGGCTCGATATCGACATTTTTGTCTTCCATATCCATGTCAGTAATCTCTATAACATCATCATGCGCATTCTGAACTGTAGCTGCAGCAGACCTTGGTGCAGGCGGCGTCGATGGCATCCTACCATCCGCGTCCCCTCCAAGCTCGTTATCAGAGCATAAAGAGGGAGTGGTGATGTCTGTTTCGTTCGATAGTGAGGAGTGGTTCGTATGTGATGGACCTGGGAGTGAAAGATTTGAGTGTGTGGGACCGGCAAATTCGTGTGTTCTTGAGTATGACGATGAAGAGCTCGTGTCTGATTGGGCTTGCGCATAAGTACCTGGACGTCGTTTGGAAGTAGATCTCCCTTCTGAGTCGCCTAGGACATCTGCTTTGCGTTTGTTATTTAAGGCTGGGCAGGTTGCGTGCGATGAAGGGGCCGCGTAAGTGTGTGAGGATGATGGTTTCAACGCGGTTGAAGCAGATTTCGGTTTGGGAATGCTCGAGGTGGAAGGGAATTTTGAGGTCGATACTGCTTTACTCACGCTGGAAAAAGAAGCTGGTCTCGACGAGCTAGTCGACGCAGAAGTGAGACCGTAAGCAGCTGAACCAACAGGCGCTTTCACGCCCGTCGACTTACGCCTCGCCACATTGTCTCTCCGCCCATCTACTCCAGCAGCACTCGAACTCACACTACGGCTTAATCCACTGGGCCCAGGTCGATCGACCACGGGTCGATCACTAACGCTCCTACTTAGTCCCTCAGGTCCAGGTCCAGACCCCACTTTCCTCAACCGCACCGTCCTCATCTCGTTCAAGAACGCAGCCATTTTATCGCTAGGAACGTTGACGGTTGGTTGTCTCACCTTACCACTTGCTGACCTTGCCAGATCATTTGTGCTCCCGGTCGTACCGGCCTCGGTTGAGCGTAAGGCAGCGCGCGCACTTGCAAAAAGGACTTTGTTTTCGCCTAGACAAGGAGGGAGGGGAATGCGGACGCCGGGAGGAGGAGGAAGTGGGGGTGGGGGTGGGGGTGGTATTGGGACTTGGGTTTGGGTTTCAGGAGTTGGCGAATGGCGGCGACGGGAGAGCTGTAATAGAAAATGTCAGCATATACGAAAAATTAGAATAAAGAGAACTAAATGGTGCGACACCACGTACCTTTTCCTTCAATATCCTGACTTCTTCCTCCAACATTCTAATGCGCTCCTTGTCCCTATCCTGTTTTACCTTATCTTGCACGCGGTGATGATCGAGTATAAATGCTAAATCCTCATCTCCATCATCAACAGCGTGTTGTTTCCCCTTCTGCGAAACACCACCCAGGGGCAGATGCGGCGTTGCTAGTACGGCGCCTAAGCTCTCCGGATCTACAGGACCCGTAGGACTACTGACAACCAACAGCGAAAAGTCCCTCTCTTCCCCTCCACTCGCGGTAAATCGTTCAACTGCGTCATGGACGGAGGCGATGGGGCGGGTGCGCCAGGGAGAAGGGCCAGATTGGTCTGCGGGAGCTTTGTGATGAAAATTGGAAGGGCCGGGTTCCAAGTCTTGTGCGTCGACGTCGAGAGTTGATTGAGGAGTACGCAGTACGGAATCGGGTTGGGGCGAATCTGATCGGGGGAAAAGTGAGCCAGGCATTGTGATGGAAGTTCTGTGTAGATGGGGGTATGTCGGTTCAGAGTGTGACGAAGGGAGGGGCGCATCATCTTGAGGACGAGGGCGGACTTTTCTGCCTCTTGAATGGCTGGTATGACGTGGAGATGGGGAGCGGGAGGTCATGCTAGACGTTATTTCTGTAGAGAATTAATCAGTATTGTATCGAGGGTGGTGTTGGATGAGACACCAGAGATAAGACCCACCGGCGTAGACTTGATCTTGATGCTTCTCGCTACCGCTAGCCTCTCTCCACTGCTCGATCATCCCCCCATCATAGCCTTTTCGTTGCCTGCCCCGCTCCTTATATTTTGCATCACGTCCCTGTCTCCGTTTGGATGGACCGGACTGTGTCGGTGATCAATTTTCAGTTTAATTCGTTTAAAATCAGAACGTACCTCAGATTTACCGGTAGCATTTATCATGAACTCGCCAATCTCTCGCGAAACAAAACTGAAAACATTTGAAAGGATCCCTGGATCATCGCGGTTGGAATGGACCATTAGTATTTATTGATGCCAGGTATGAGGTTGAAATGGAAATGTTAACGCGAGCTCGAGAGTGTGCATGGACAGAGGTTGGACGGTTTTCTGTGATTTCCAAATAATTACCTTGTACCACAGTACCACATAATTGTGGCTGTACGTTCCCACTTTTCAACCCCGTGGGAATTCAGACAAGTGCGAGCAGCGATATCATAGTATACTACATTCTCGTTACAATTATAAGTACTAGAAAAAGGCCGAGCTTCGCCGGCAGCAACCTCGTGATACAAGTGCTTAAGCTTGTAGACAATAACCTCGAACAATTTCATTTTTTGCGATTGTCATTATTTATCAAAATTGCAATAACTTTCTTGGAGTCGGGAGTACTAGTATATACTGAACAGCAACAATTAATAGCCATTTGTCCTTCAGTGAAAGACGACGAAATAAAACAAAACAAAAATCAACAGAATGATAGCAAGGTTTCATTGACTGCCACATGATCAAGGTGGTCGCACGTTTCTAAACCATGGTCTTTTGATCCACTAGGTTGCTGCCAGGAGTCAAGTTGCATCATGCGAAAACGTTTGTGCGGCGTGACCTATAAGGATTCCATGCTTGACGCCTTGAAATACTTGTACAACGTGCATGCACGTGAGTGTGAGATATATAACTGGCTGTCCCATCGCTGTATTCCACAGCCGCACGGTGTTATCCTTCGAACCAGACGCGATGCGAGTACCATCCGGTGAGAACGAGACTGAGCAAACCGTGCCAGCGACATGGAGCCAAGCATGGTCGAGTGAACATCATCTGCGAAAGAAACTGAATCATTTATGACCACGGGTGCAATCGACATTGCCGCCATGGACGGCGCCCACGATAACCATATCTGCAGCCAATGTATGCAGAGCTAATGAGTGAGCCCGAGGAAACGAGATGCACCTTCATTGAGGAATTTATATGGTGCTGGTAGCTCGAGGCTTTCGTGGTATAGAGCACGTTTAGATTAACATTTCGAGGGGTCAGTGACTCAGAGACTTGATACACAGGAGGAGGGACACGTTACTTACATTGAGGTGTCGCTATGCTGCAGTCTGAATGGCTGAAGCAGGCTGTGGCAGAATCATTTCTCAGACTCTCAGACTCTCAGAGGGCCTGTTCAGGAAGCGGCCGGGTGTGGCTGCGGCTGTACTTAGTCATCCGGCAACCGCCGGAAGCGGAACAAACAGGCACCCATAAATTTGCTTCCTTTTACCGGACTGCCTAAGGACTGCCCATAACCACCAACCACAAAGTCTTACAGTCTTTGTCTACTTAAACCCAAAGCCCATAACCTAGAAATTTCGCGGTCTTCCCCTAGCCCACGATTGCTTCTCAAACGCAAAATTTTTCTATCTTCTGTCCTACTCGAGGAGAAAACAGAAGACTTTATTTCATGCTTCGACCTCCACTCAATTTATCGGCAAATACGTGTTTGTTTCGGAGAAAGTCCTTAAGTACTGTATGTCGTTTCCATCATCTGCGACATGCTGTCCATTGACTAGGTCATACTCTAGCGTTAAACATCTGCCCAACATGGCTTCCGCAGGAATTGTGAATATTCGTCGCGATGTCGATGACAAGTTTTACCGCTACCGCATGCCGCTCCTTCTCACAAAAATTGAAGGCAAAGGCAATGGTATCAAAACCGTCGTTCCCAACATGGCAGATGTCGCTCGTGCCCTATCTCGCCCTCCCACCTATCCTACCAAATTCTTTGGCTGTGAGCTCGGTGCACAGACCTCCTCTGATGACAAGAATGAACGCTACATCGTCAACGGCGCTCATGACGCCTCTCGCCTTCGGGAATTGCTGGACACCTTCATCGATAAATTCGTTCTTTGTCGTTCATGCAAGAATCCCGAAACAGACCTCATCATCCTCAAGAGCGGTCGCAACGAGGATATCGTCAGGGATTGCAAAGCTTGCGGTGAGAGGACGGACGTCGACATGAAGCACAAGCTCGTCACCTTTATTTTGAAGAACCCGCCTAAGAACCCCAAGAAGAGTAAGAAGGGGGCCAAGGGTGAAACAAATGGAAACGGCGGCGGAGTCCACGCGTCAGCTCCATCTGTTCCTGGTGACGAACATAGTGGTTCTGGTGGCGATAGCGATGATGAGCTTACCAAGAAGATCAAAGCCGAAGCCGCTGAGCTTACCACAGAAACCAAGCTTGCAGCTCAAGATTGGTCGGCTGATACCTCTCCCGAGGCTGTCAAGGCTCGCGTCAAGGCGTTGGAGAGTCAGGTGGGCGGCCTATCACTTACGCCTGCTGGCGGCTTGGGAGACGATGAGGGCAGTGATGACGATGTCAACAGCCCCTACGCTCAGTTTGGTCGTTGGGTCGAAGAGAACAAGGGCGAAGCAGGCGTTAGTGCAGTGCAGATCTACCAGAAGGCTCAAGAGTTTGGCGTCGAGAAGAAACACAAGACTGTCCTCGTTCTTGTTCAAGCGCTGTTCACCGAGGATGTTGTGAAAGAGATTAATACATACAAGGCCCTGCTCGCAAAGGCTTGTTCTCCTCTTACTGATCTATGCGGATGTTGCTAACTTGATGTGCAGATGGTCACCTCCGAGAAGCACCAGAAAGCTCTCTTGGGTGGAATTGAGCGCCTCGTTGGGCTCACCCACCCCGAGCTCATCCCTTCTGTGCCAAAAATCCTAATGGCGTTGTACCAGATCGATGTCTTGGAAGAAGACGTGGTGACTCAGTGGGGTACTCATGTCAGCAAGAAGTACGTTGATAAGGAGACGAGCAAGAAAGTGAGGAAGGCCAGCGAGCCGTTCTTAAAGTGGCTTGAGGATGCAGATGACGACGAATCTGAGTGATGGGTGGATATGTAGTCCTCATTTATGTTTCTGTTTTTACTTTTCATATCTTGTCTTTTGTTCACTGATAATAACATGCTAGTTTTGTTTTGTCAAATTTTAGTTGGGAATTCCCGAAAGCGCCCTAGGCTATGTGCTGACTTCTGTAAGCTCGACAGTCATGTCATTCGCAGCTCCTCCATTTGCTCTACCTCGTATTGAGCCCTGCATGAAGCGCGTGAGGGTGCTTTTTAGGGGAAATTGTGTAGTAGACACGAGGCATGCAAAACATGTGTAAGTCGTCGCATGAAATCCGAAGTGATTCCAAATTACAAGGTAAGTTAAGCATACGATGCATCCTTCCTAAACGCCCTCTGTCATCGCCTCCCTCGAAGCACGAAGTTCATTGCCCCAAAACCTTGAGAAGCGAGACGGCTGATACATATCCCGCTTTTGACTCTGAACAGCATTTTTCGTGTTCGTCATGAATATGTCGTTCTGAGCTCCATCTTTAAAATCATAAAGGTCGTTATAAAAAGGAGGACCCATGTAGTCCTCAAACATCTAATCAGACCCGGTTCAGATTTAATATCACGTGAAAAGTTTCTAGCGCTCACGTTGTTGTCTTCATCTTGCAGCCAGTACAATGGCTGCTTCGCCCCGTGCGTACAGTTGCTAGGGGTGGAGTGGGTGATTCCGTGTTCAGGATCTGCTCCGCAGCGTCTTGCAACTTGAGGCTTCATGAGAGCTGGTGCATCGTGCTTAGAACCCGCTACTGTGCACTGGAAGGCATTCATATACACTGGAAGGCACCGAGTCAGGATGACAAGACAGCAAAGGAAACCGCCTTACTCTGTTCAGAACCGCTATCAGGAGAGTGGATCCAGAACCATGCACACGTGCATTTTCCGCCGGGACAGGCAGGCATGTCAGCGGGAACCTATCGTTGTTGTTGTTAAACTGGGTTCAGAAGATCTTTGGCCACCGTACCTGGAATGCGGTGAATCTGTGCCAGACGCAAGTCTGGTTGACGCTAAAGACTGTAAAGTCCTCTGGTTTGATCTTGCTGACGTCCGATTCATAAACAATGGCAAGTGCACAACCTTTTACGTCGTCGATACCTGTAGTATGGAACTGGGCAGAAGTGGATCCGGGGCAAGGCCAGTCCCCCTGACGAACATCTCCGCTGTATCATTGACCTCATTATACATTTTGATGGAAGATGCAATCAATCAGATGACTAACCCTTCGGACGAATTCCACCATGTCGTCGCGCCTTTGTTGCACCCGAGTTCTGCAATGGCAGCTTTCCCAGCGGGCAGTTCAAAGACATCATTTGGGTGCGGAGGATACCGAAGGTGGTTGTGAAACCACCACTTGTCAAACGTCATACGCGCCAGGGGAACAACAGGACGGTTGTCGTAAGAATACGCTGGGTCCTTGTCTGTGACGTTGAAGCCCCACATGCTCGGATGCCAGAAGGCAATGTGGGCAGAGACAGAAGGGACAACGACAACGACAACGACAACAATGAAGAACAGACGAGTAACTGAGTAAATCATAATGGGTGAGCTGCTCGTGTTGGTTTCTAACGGAGGCACCAGGCATTATATAGTGCTCCATATACACAGCTCACGATGGTCCTAATGAAGAGAATCAACTTTAGAGACACACCATTGCGTCAATGGCGAGCGCACTCACTCACTCAGAATACACCCAGAAGGGCGTCCGCCCTGAGTTGCATACTTCCGGTGCGCGCTGGTCGACTCTGTCCGAAGACAGGACAGCGGAAGGTAACTTATCAGCAACATCCCCTTCTGGAAGATCTGCACCGTGAGGGGTAAGTCGTCCATATGCTTCTGACACAAGATTCTCAATGCACGGACAGGTTAGGTATCAGTACCTCGCCTCCGAATACAAACAGGAGTTGCCTAACTCCGTTACTTTGGCCGGCAGGTCGTTCAGGTCATAGGAGTTTCCAGGTTTACGGTAACTTACAATTCGTTTCAGGCCTTGGGCCCATTTAGCATAAAGGCTCGTCATTATGGGGTAGGACGCCCTTTCGACGGCTTCAAGTTGACCGTAGTTTGCCGCATGACTGTAACAGTCTCTTAACATGTCTTGTAAGGTACCAAGTCGCCAAGCTTATATCCCAACAGCATCGTATATTGCCCATGAATACTGACAAGGAACTGCGTAATCCACGTCAAACAAGGCTGTGGTTACAATGATGTCTGCTTTGAGCTTACCTTCAACAATGAACTAGCGAAGCATGACGTTGGAATGTGGACGTTAACAAGTTACTTGTCCATCCGAAATCTCTCGCGACACTGGCAAAATCATTAACATCAGCTCGGAGTATGTCTACACCCGCAATCATTCGGATATAATTGCTTGTGGTTGGCCTGTGGCGCACACCCCTTCAGAAGGCGCTTCAAAGGACGAAGTTGGTCAGTCGATCTCTAACTTGACCGGGCCCATTTCGCATCAAAAGCCATCGGAGTTATCCGAAAAGTCGTTTCAGATGACGGGAATGAAGCTGATTGATGATTTACAAACATCAAAAGGCTCACGAACCCATCTCGTGGATAGGAAAGATGCATCTAAACGAAATCATGGAACTATGAGCACGAAGCTCGCCATAGTACATTAAAAGGGGCACATCATTAATCCAAAGTTTGATAGTAGTTCATATCAGAATGAGGAGATGAAGTAAGCAAACTGGACTTCACATATCTCCAAACCTGTAAAATGATGAGACCAGTTCGACGACTGTAATCAAGATCACTTGCCTATCTGGCATTAACACGGGCGCAAGCAAGCTCCACATGTACAGTAACATGCACACCCAACTGCTTACTATGCGCATCCACATCGCGGTCTCCGAGCGGCCGATGCGGACAACCTCTTCGGAGTCAGTAGAACCTTGTTCCGTGGACACCACATTCCTAGGTGAAAAAGATGGGCGAGCTCTGTATACAATTGAATGACGACTTACCAATCAGTCAGGAGCATTGCAACATACATTGCACCGATAGCAAAGATAACATGGAACCAGGAATACTGTGCATGTAAGGTGATTGTTATACTTAGAAGATGTTACAATACTCACATTGTATCTCGTGCCGGACCGTTCATCATCTTTGGCATCTCCGTAGTTATCATCTTCATCTTCATCATCCTCTTCATCCAGAGCGGATGCAGGGATTGCTCTGGCAAATTGTCACTACCCAAATATGGATCTATAGTACAATCACTTACCCAGCCTCGACAGCAGCGAGCAGAGCCTGATATCTTGGTGACTCAGTTCTTCCCGGTTGAGTGCTAACTACATCCATTTCCGAAGGCTCACTAACGTCGACTGGGAGTTGGACTGCGCCACCCTTCTTTACACTGCCCACCAATGCACGGCTCTGTGTCGCTGCGCGAGTGGTAGAATAGGCGATAGCCAAGAAAGTGAAAACTGCACCAAGAACGACCGTGGTAGTCCGCGTCTTGTCAGTCCGGCTGAGCGGATTGCAAGATTGGTGTGCGTGATTGCTGACGGCGGAGACGATAAGATAGGTGCAGTATGCAGCAACCATTCCGGATTGAGCAAGGCCCGATCGAGGATTCGACTCCTGAATGGCAGGATGTATAGACATAATAGTGATAATGATGCAAAGGGCCAGGTTTAATGAGATGAAGAACCGGTTGAGAGTGCATCCGGAACTTGCAAAATAGGCGTATAGAATGCCGGTCAGGGTGATAGATGCCACATACATCGCAGCAGTGGAGCCTATGAGGATCCATTGCCATAAAGTCGAATCTGAGTTCTCCCAGTTTTCCAGACACATTTCTGTCCATGAGTGGGCAAAGTCGACCAGTAGAACCAAACCGAGGAGTATAAATATGGTGGCACCTATAAGAGAAACATAGTTGCCCCAGAACATGAAAAATCCATTCGGTATGAAGAATGAAACCACAACGAGCAAAATCCACAGCAGAACCTTTGGGCCCCACCAGCTAGCTTAGATTGAGTACATACTTCAAATATTCAAAACAAGACAGAGGTGCTTACCCATTCTGTATTGCCGCGCGTTTATCCCTGGACTCTTTGACGCCAATGAGAGACAAGCTTAGGATCGTATGAAATAGAGATAAGGCGAAACAGATACGATGGACCTGAGTTCACGTAGGTCAACATCAAGTCAACTGCGAGTTGCATTGAACGTACCGCCAGAACACCATAACACTTGCCCTCATCGCAGTCCATCTTTATGTAGTCATAACTCCAATGCTCAATCTTGCGAATTGCGAATGGAGTCTTCATGAGCCATGCTAGCAGGGAATTCAAAATAAAGATTATCTAGGCAAATATGGTCAGGGCTCTTTCAGATTCCCACTCATTTCACTTACTGCAAAACCAACTCTCGTTGCTATCGAGGAATTGCAGTTACAAGACTTGCAAAACATGGACGCTAAGAGGCGTATCAGCTGCAGTTCTACATGTGCATGGACGACCCACCGGCAGTTGAAGTAAAGCAAAACGCAAGACCTCCGAGGAATGATGCTGCGATGGTCCCAAGCGGGCCAGCGAGGGGGATAGAGAACAAGAGACCCATGATGTATCGATGGAGTCACTAAATGTTATATGTATGTAGATGCACCCGGCACCGCGCAGCGCTGGCAGCAACCTGCAACACACGCACCTTATTTTGGTATTTCATTCCCACCTGTCCGCGGGATTCACGCGTGGAGTTACCGGAGGTCAGACGCATGCTCGCCTCAGCTAAGTCAGTTCCGACGACCACGGTACCACCAACGTTCCAACTTGCGATTCTGCTAGTATTTATTGTACGACTTGATCGCCTCAGGCTCATCAAGAACAGAATCACAGTTGCCCGTCGTTATTCAAACCCCAAAATATCGACCGTCGCGGTATGAACCCACATGATATTTAATTTCACGGTAAATCTAAACGTTCTGCATGGTGCAAGTTGCAACTATGATTGAAACGAACGTCTGGGGCCGATATCCAATGCTTTTTCATGTGGTAAGGATCCATGAAGTGCACCGGATGAAACGTTATTCCATGTTCGCGCCTGGCCACGTGCCGCTGTCAAACGTCAGTACTTCAGTGTCCGCTAGAAGGTTTGAACGTTCAACCCGTATAACACCTCACCGCACATGCCGCACATCATGTGGGGATCTGTCCAGTCCTCGTTTCACATCATAACTAATGGAACCGGGATTTGAACCAGAGTCGTGATGACTTTCATTTGATGCTATGCCCTCATTACACTTCAGTCCACGGTTCCGACTGGGAGTGCATTCTTAAATTTAAACCTGCATCAATTCTCAGTTGAAATATTCACTTCCTTGTTTCTCCATTGAATGGATTCGAAGTACTCTACCGACGCTATCGCAGCCGCTAGGAGTCTCCAAGTCTTTACGGTAATTCTTTCTCTGGGCAATCTAAACAACCTCTGATGCAAGGCAATTATTTCTAGTACATTTATAGTATGTGCTCCCTCATTCAACACAGGTCGCCTTCTGCTAACGTAGATGATGATCCAGCGTCGATGGCTACATTCTGGGTACGATCATCATCACCCTTCTTGCTCGAATATTCGTCTTGACCATTCGATTCCCACCCAGACATACGACTATGCCTGTACAATTCATGAGGAGGTGACACAGTTAACTTTAAAATCGATATCATATGCTCATTATGTACTGTTTCAAGGGGATGTTTTTGTTTTGTTCTCCCTGGAGGAGGGTCAAACTTCTGTACATTGTGACACGCTATGTCCCTTTCCTTCTTTTTGCTGCGCACTTGTACCGTACGTCCTGAGCCTGAATGGATATATATAAAACTTTATTGACAGACTGTTGCCAGTGAACTTCCTCCTAGACGAAACTTCTGATGTATGTAGACTCGCAATGGACAAGAGCTCTGCTTATTTGAGGGTTAACCTAGACATGTCAATTTGTCAACAACATCTGCTCATGTGCATCGAATTATATTTCGGGATATTCAGTTACTGACCCTTCTCCTTTCCTACAGGTCTCAGCCTGGTATCGTTCGTCTGCTCGGAATGTAATTGCTCTATTATCTGTATTGCAAGCGCAAATTTTTGATTTCTTCAGTTTTCTTCATATTCAGGACGTACGTGCTATGGGATAACAATAAGGTCGTTCTGGTAGCCATGCTATCGACTTTTGTAGTGAGTTGTGTGCAGTGGTTGTCGTGGCTTGCTCATACGAACGCAGTATCAGACTATGGTTGCGGGGTCTATCGCTGCCATCTTTTCCGCGACCGCGACCGCGCCATGTATGAATTCACCTGATTGGCAATTTTTGACTGAGTCTTCATTTCGCAGTTGAGACCAGCTCAATTCCGGGCATCACTGGTTGTTATCAGTCCTCGGGAAGCATGATGCTTTTTGTGCCTTATCTTCTTTTGTTCGGATTAGAACTGAGTGCGTCATTGAAAATTAACATATAAAAACACCCTCTGATTCAGGCCGATGCAGTGCTTATCTCCCTCACGCTCACATGCGCCATACAAAAGTGGCGTATTACTAACAACGGTCTGTATGGTATTCTATTGAAACACAATGTGTTCTATTATGCATATGGTTTGGGTAAGTACGAGAGCGGAATGACGATTCATCGTTACTCATCGTTTCCACAGTTTTCTCGATGGTGAATATTCTGACATCGCTGCTCCTCGACGTGCGTCACCTATCTATTGAAACATTTCATTTACTTGAATATTTGGTACAGTACGCGTATAGTGGCATGTTCCAAGAGTGCGTCTCTGTCAAATTGTTCTGGAAAGCCACACTTACAACCCAAATCGTGTGCGTGTAGTTTCCAATGCGTTGTTCACGCCATACTCGCCACTCGAATGTACCTCCATTTGTGGCATGTCAACCGTAATGGCAATCCTAGTGTCTTCACCTCAATTAATCTCTCCAACCTGACACCCACGACCTATGCTGAGTCTTCCTAACTAGACCAGCTTTCATTCCTTGGAAGTGGGTTAGAAAGAAGGATTGACTCCTCCAGCAATTTTGGACAGTGATATTGGATTATCACTTGTGATTAGAAGCATGCAAGCATCGAATTTCCGTTCGTTCAATGATCCATCAATGTTGTAATTGGCTGTAGATTGTAAATTTATGTATCATGTCGTATGCTTCTTACTTAGTTTTGAAAGGGACATTGATATTTGGCTGGATGCGAAATCTTATGGCTCTTCATGAAACAATCGATCGAACGGCGAGAACTGGCATTATCATTGAAAGATCGTTGTCGATGACCTTGACCGACTCTATCGCTGATAATAGCCATGGATTTTCGAAGTTTACGACACTTACCTAGCTTGGTTCAGATCAGATTTTTGACGCTACCCTGGCTGATCGCATGCACTCCAGGCTATGATAATATGCAGACAGAACGTCCATAGACGAAATCGGTACGCAGAGGATGAAGATTTAACAAGTATTCAATTCGCGGCACCTTCCCATAGCAATAATGTACAAATTTCAGTCTCATGTATCCTAAAGAACAAACATTTTCCCTAGTAATCACTCTCAAACAGATTCGACGTGACGCTTTGCGGAAGCCGTGGAGATATCGATACTGAGAAGGCTCTGAAGAACACACGACATCAAGGAGAACTACCCCGTGGAAAAATGTGCCGCACCTTTCCTCCCCTGAGCTCGGCAGGGGATGGCATGAGTCCAAGTCTCAAGAGCTCAGATGCTTTACTGACGACCGGGTCATTTTGCATGCTATCGTCGCAAGCCTTGTAGCACATGACATGTAATTCAGAGAGAAAATGTCTTACCTAGATACAGCAACAACTTCGCCGCGATGGACATAGTATGCAATGAACTTGAGATAAGTAAGCAGACCGTGGAGTCAGAGTTATTCGCACACGTTACTTTACCTTCATTTCGTCAGTGTTGCCATGTATAATAACATCATCATAATCAGCTCCAAGACCACAGTAACGAAGTTGCTGTCCCTCTGACGGAACGTGGTCAGTGATATCCCTGATTCAATTTCCGAAACGCACGGGCGCTCCAAAAAACTGGCACTTTCGCAAACGGCTGTGGGTTACCCGCAATCGTCTTACCAACAGCACGGCCATGGTTACCTGCAACCTGTGAAAAATAAAGATGAGCGCTGGAATTCGGCAGTCCTGTGAGAGTGAGTATTTGCTGACGTTCCAGTGTTCTATCCTACGACTCTCTCCCGTATTTTGCTGTGGGTACCAAGCGATATCTCCTGGATCAAAGGTCGGCACGGGGAACGGTACAACAAACAACCAAGCCCACCGACTGCATAAACGTTATCTTGCCCTTGGACTTTCAAGTATTGGTCAACCTTGATTCCGCCGTCCTTCTCGAGCTGGAAGCCGCTTTGCTTCAAGAATTCGGTCGCTGGAACCACGCCGACTCCCATGATGATGAAGTCGGCGGGAAGAGTCTGTCCGTTGACAACAACACCAGCAGCCAGCGAAGGGTCGCTCTCCGATGGTATTATCTTCTCGACCTGTGTCCCCAGGTGAAACTTGACACCTTGAGATTCGTGATACTATGATATAGAAAAATTGAAGTTGAGGCCAATAAAAATCAAAGAATCAACGTCCCAACCTTCTGAAGGCTTTGGCCCACTTCTTTGCCCAGCAAATTCTGGAAAGGGTGCTCCTCCATGCCGATGACATCGATGGACGCAAGTCCCCGCTTGGCGACGGCAACAACGAGTTCCATGCCGATGAAGGAACTTCCGATAACAACCATTCGCTTTCCTTCTTGAGCCGCTAGAAAATTTCAAGATAATTGAGAAGGCTTCATAAGCGTCGATGAACCAATATTACCTGCATCAACGCATTTCGAGTCCTCGATGCTACGGAACGTGTATACATTCTGGAGGTCTGATCCAGAAATAGGTAATCGACGAGGAGTACCCCCCATAGCGAGAATCAGAGTTTCGTAGGATATGGATTCCTTTCCTCCATCAAAGACAACAAGTTTGGAAGATGTATCCACGGAGGTTACAGTCTTGATGGCAGTTCAGGATATGAATTCTCCAGCAAGATAAATACCCACGACGCCAGTGCGGAGGGTGGTACCATACTTGATCTTGAGGTCAGCGGCCGTCCTCCATTCAAGTTTTGACGAATCTGTGATCAAAGCTTTGCTTAACTTGGTTCTGTGGACATGTGTCAACAATGATTATTGGTTTCCCAAATCTCATACCGGTCAATTGGGGGATGTTTCTCTTGGGAAAGGATTGTGATATTTCCAGAATAACCATGCTGTGAGGTGGTTAGAACCAATGTTGGGGGCATCAAGCAACTGTTTGTACCTCTCTAAGACTCTCTATGGCGTGGAACGTAGCGGATCCTCCACCGATAATGACAACGCTTTTCCCTGATCCAGCGACGCCAGTCGATAGGAGCTTGGGCGAACGACTCATGTTGCTCTTGAGGGTCAGCGAGGGATCAGCGGTCACGTTGATCTTGCCGTCCACGACTCTCGCCTTGAAAGAGTGAATTGCAGCAGGAGCTGGTGCGTCCTCTGGATAGTAATTTAGGCTCATTACAACGAGACCCCACTCGGAGAAAGCACAGACCAATGTCGCCAGTACAAACACTGAAGCAAGCTATTACGCTGTGAGCCTCAGACATAGTGCACATACATCCGCGTGAAATTACCTCCGTGCCAAGGACTATCATGAACTTAGTGATATAAGAGTTACAGAGGTGGAAAGGCGTACCAGACGACCCTACCATCCGCAGTTAGCACGCCCTTGGCTAGAGGCGCGCCATAATGAGTACAAAAGGCACTAGTTGCATGAATGGTATCGTTCAGACGATACAAGACCACCTTTCCCACTTCCTCAAAGTCCACTTGTTTCCTGAGGAGTTGAAATCATAACAATCGTGTAAACTTCCAATTCCCTGACGTACATTTGACCATCCTGTAGCTCAGATTCATCGCAAACTGCGATCGTCTTCAAGGACATGATGAAAGGTCGGAGTCGTGTCTGAAGTCGAGTTGATATGAAAAAATTGAGATGTCGGCGAAGGAGCATATAAAGAGCAGGCCGGTCACAATATGACCTATCGAGTTCAAGTTGGCAATAATGCACCAACACAGGAATTTTCCGAAAAAGGTTACTACTTCCAAACACAGGAATTACAGGGGCACTAACTACTAGTCTGCAGCCTGTGAGTCACTAGAGTCAACTGATAGCCACGTTAACGTTTGCATGATGTTATTCTGATTAGTGACCTGTATGTGTGTGTTATGTAATCAAATCGGTAGCGTCGAAAACACGTAGGAGCTGCGGACAGCGAGAGCGACATGTCTGAATCACTGAATCAAGCGTCACACTTACAGGGTTCAGAAGGCTTTCACACACCTAGCGCTCACGTCTATATCTCCTACGACCCTGCGAATCCGCCATCCCATCCAGGTCTAAATTGGACGCGTTTCGTGTGCATCAGCGACACTCATTCTCATACTTTCAGTGTCCCCTCTGGGGATGTCTTGCTTCACTCTGGGGATCTCAGTCGGCTAGGTCGGGAAGACGAGATTCGTGTTACGATAGAGTGGTTGCGTAGTCTAGACCATGGCGTCAAAATGTATGCCGCACACTTCCTTATTGCGTAGGCCAGCAGTCTAACTACACACAGCATCATAGCAGGAAACCATGACCTACCTCTTCACGAGGAGTGGTACGAGGACAGTTACTACGCTTTCCACGACAAGAAGGAGGTATGGCTATCTTACTCAGCTAGCGGAAACCGCTTATTTACGCGCATATAGTCATCAACCGCGATCAAAAATCTTGTCGACAGTGATGCAAATCGCGATCGAGGCCTAATTTATTTGCAGGACGAACAATATACTTTCAGCACCAAGGAAGGTGGAAGGGAGTGGTCTGTGTATGGCTCTCCGGCAAGTCGCTATGCTTCGCAACCCACCTGACGCTTTACGATTTACCTTCTCACAATGAAGTGGCAACCCTATTTCGGCGGCTGGGCTTTCAATTACTTGCCTGAGGAAGCCTATGGTATGGTTATATCTTCTAATTCTCTTCTCAAAGGCACTCATTTTGGACAAGATCGTGTTTCCGCAATACCTGAGGTCGACATTCTGTAATTGACCACACCATGTCATGTAGTCCAAATCGTGCTAAACTTAATCTCTAGTCTCACTCATGGACCTCCGCATAACATTCTAGATAAAACCTTTACCAATGTCAATGCTGGATGCCCTGCACTACTCGCCCACCTTTCCAAGATGCGGGGGCCTCCGCTTCTCCACGTCTTTGGTCATATACACGAAGTAAGATTTTAAAGTCTATTTACACAGAAAAGTCTCATGCAGGCTCGTACAGGCACGTGGCGCCGTGCGGCATTCCTGGTTGCAGGCGGAGGAAGACCAATGTTTTTCGGATTCAGAATGCTCACCCGCTCTGGGAACGAGAGAGACGATAATGGTGAACGCAGCTAACCTGCCTCTCGGGCGTCAGGCGATTAGACCCGGACCTGGTGGCCAAAGGATCCCATGCGGTGGTCTGGGCTTTCAACCTGTCATTGTTGACCTATTGGATTCGGCTACGCGGCTAGAAATGTAAACGACTACGATATTCCCCCTGTAATATGATGATACACATGTAAGAGAGTTCGTTATAGACGGCCTATGCGACATACAACCTTGATGACCTAGGAGATTCGATGGCATTTATGATACTGGCACAAGTAGTGACAAGGCGAGGGAAAAGGGAAGAGCATTGCCAAGTGGTATCAAATCAGCGGCCAGTAAACGCAGAACACGGATTACCACCTACCTCGGACGGCACCGACAATCTGCAATTGTGGCGGGAAAATATCATGTGGCACTACAAGACCCGCTCTAGCTATCAGGTAGTGGTGGGCCCACTGAGTCATCGTTATGTGATTTGACATTGAATTGCACTGGCGGTCTCACAATGGACTTAGCATCGACCTACGTTGGTCGACGTTGGCACTTTTGAATTTCATCACATCTCGAATGTAGAGTCAAGACCCCCTCCACATTTGCATTTGTGGAGATTGTTGTGATTGTTATCACTGAGTATATGGTCTAATATATATGATATTCAGATTTGTTTATCGGTTCATGTTTCGATCACGGGCGCGCGAGAATTTTGAATGGTCACCGCAACCAGCTGTAACACAGATACCGTGAAAGCTTCCACATGAGACATTCTGATTTACATACACGGTGATGAGACAAACCGAGATAATACAATACACGATACCAAAAAAACACGATAATTCATTCATCCAACGTCTACCAGGCTGTTCGAACAACATCTGAACTGTATCGCATCAGTCCTGAACGCATCGAAAAGTATAATTCTCACCACTGATTATTCTCTCGCATCCACTGTCCCTCTTCCCAGAGAGAAATCAACGCCACGCTATCGTTCTTGATGTGAGAAGAGCATGACTTGAGCATTTCTTCGCTTTCTTCAGACCAGTGAAAACGATCGAGCCCCAACATGCCAATGTCTACCTCATCCAGGCGATCAGACTTGGGAGTTTGCAATGATGACACCTCACTAAAAGATCCCTCGATATCAGAATGGGCCGGGCTCTTTGTGGATTTGACAGAACTGGCGGAGGATGCTCTATCAAGGGGTTGGCTTAGACAACGTAGCTCGAATTGTGCGTCTGGACTAGAAGTCTGGTCTGGAATTAGAGAAAGCCGATTTGAGGCATCTGTCATCAAGCGGCGAATTCGGTCATCGTCGATAGCCTTGCTCGTGGGAACAGCGGTAGCACAATTTTCCTTGTCGCTGGTAGGTGTATTTCCAACAGACTTACGGTCTGGTATATCCTCTGGGAGCGCCATGATGCGTAGAGGTGATGCACTGGGCACGATTCCGCTACGTGACCTAATAGTGGATGAGCGCTTGTGCTTCGTTTTTCGCTTCATCTTTTGAACAGCAAATACAAGGGGATCCGCGGTATGCAAGACATGGGGAAGCGATTTGACCGTACTAACAGAATCAGCAATGTTCGCAGAGACGAGAGGACTAGTCTCGAATTTTGAAGAATGACTGGGCGACAGGGGAGTATTATTTGACAAGTGGGCGGGCGCCTGATCGGTGATGGCAGGAACGTTCCATATGCTGGCGGGTGCAGGATACTCGAGAAGAGACAAAAATCGAGAAACGCTTGCAGGGGGAGGCAGCGATGCAGGTAACTCAGCCGAAGATATACATGATAGCTGTTGGCTGAAAAGACCGTGAGATGGTAATGGCGGGAGAGGAGGGACAGGTTTCCGAGTTGATTTTGTTGAATGACGCCTAGAAAGCTGCAGAGAGTCGCGAGTGCCAGTTAGGGGTGATAAAGCATAAGAAGAAGGCGGAAATGCAGATAAGAACGAGTACGGGACAGCGGTCACGTCTGAGGCCCCAACAAGCCTTAGAGATGGGCCAAGATCGACACCGGAGGTCGTCCAACCACTTTGATACAAGTTACGAGACCGGAAACTGCTACGACTGGTATCGCATTTCTCGCAGAAGTCGCCGAGCTGTCCAGAAATTGAGCTATCGACGAACAGTGAATATCTCTGGGGAGCGATAGTGGCAGTGATTCTCGACCGTGCTATGGTAGGATATGTGAGGGCTCGGGTACTAGGTAAAAGATGGGATCTGGATTTCTTTGTCGCGTCTTCTGTACTATGCTCGCTGGAAAAACTGAAGAAAGACATGGAACGCGAAAGCTGCGCCTGGGACAGAGGTGCCTGAGAAGTCGAACTCTTGCTCGAACGATGAGCCACAGAATAGGATTTTGAAGAATGCTGCTTGGACTGCCGATGAAGTTGATACATGAACGATGCAGTTCGGCGTTGCTTCGTCGAGTTCGCATTGAAGTCGGATTCGATGTCAGTCTCCCATGCAGGAGACCCGAAACATCCGACGAAGATCGCAAGAAATGGTGTGCATTTGGAGCGAAATGCCTTTAGTTGAGTGGCTTTGAGAGAAAGTAGAGAAGAACGAGAGTTCAGTGAAACATCGTGAGGGAAAGTTGACTGTAGAATTCGAGAACGGATGACACTATGCCGACGGTGTTTCACATAAATAAGCTTCACGGCAAGAAGAACCAACAAAACTATGAAGGAAACAAGACATGCAGTAATCAGCGGTTCGGGGGTTGACGTCGATGAATTAATGCCATATGAGTCTCGCTGAAGGATAATTGAGATAGGACGTGCAGATACGACTGCGCAGAGAATCAGCGGTCCATAGAATAACCGCAGAGGATACACAAAGACTGCCATACGCAAAACAGTAACGGCGGCGGAACGATTAGTGTTGAACACGAGTTCATACTCCGACCTAGTAAGCTTCAAGTCTTGTGAATGTCAGAGATCTGGCCAGTCTGGGGCCAAAGTCTGGGGCGTTCGGCAAACACGGCTGACCCGGGCTGAGTTTGAATTGTTTTTGTCACGTGTTTGCTTTGTGACAATTCCAAAGCCACCCGCCATCATCGTGCCTCCTGCCAGTACTAGTGTGCCCGTCGTAGATGGCTAGCGGCTGCCGACACACCCGCCAATCTACTCACCACATGCAGTTAGCATGCTATGTTCGTGCTTCTCCGCACCAAAACCAGTCAAAATTATGATCATCAATCCACTGTCCCAACACTTGTGCTTCCTCAACGTGTCTTGATTCTGCTACCAGTGTCTGCCGCACCTTCGTTGCTGTGTTTTCTGCTTCCCATTTTCGATCTCCTCCGCTGTCTACTCTCAACATGTTTTCGATCTGCTCTGCTGTCTACATCCTTTCTGCTCGGCTCTCGATGTTTGCGATCCGCTCTCAGGCTGTTGTCTATTTCGTTTATGCTCGGCTCTCAACGTACTTTCGAGGTATACTCCACCTGTTTCGCATCGGTTTCACTATTTTTCAGCTGCTTTCGTATACCGATTGTATTCCGCATAATACCTACTAAGCAATCAAAGCATATTTGACACTATTTAAGCACATTCTGGGAGGACAGCGCGAGTGTGCGTGAATGCGCCTAAATGTGCGCAATATAAAAGAAGCACAATAGAGCACATGGGGCACTGCCCCGTCTTATAGAAAATATGCTGTCAGTCCGGATATCGAGCGAAATGCGCGAGTATGTGCGCTGTCTCTCAAACGCACATTTCAACACATTCAGCCCTATTCGAGCACAGCTGATTCTCACTGGGAGTACTGAGTACTGATCATTGATGTCACCAAGTGCAGTGCGGCCTGCAAGAGGTCACAAAGGGCGGGTCACAACTCACAATGGACGGGTCACACTGGTATTGCAAACGTGACCAGATATAATTGGAACTCAGAATTAAGCTCCGCACGCGTCAGCCGCAGCCCCAGACTTTGACCCCAGACTTTGGCCCCAGACTGGCCGTTTCCTGGATGTCCTCCAAGTCTTGGGTGAGTTTATCTATGTACATTGTATATGTAGTTTCTTTGAACCTGAATCGCGACACTTCGAGATCCGGGACCTCGAACAAGTTTGCAGGGAATGAACAGGACATGGTGCACTGCATCGAAGGGGATTCCTGCAACCTTTCTAACACTTTATCAGATACCTGAATGCTAACAGTACTTCTTTCGTTAGATTTTCACCACGAGACAAACGCCGCTACATCAAAATGTCGCACTAGCGGAGCGATCTTCTCTGTAGGGAAGTCACCAGATGCTATTGATCTGTAACGCACAAGAATCTGCATCAGGAAGAAGACGCTGGATCACACACAAGCCTGTCGTCTTCAATTGCCCCTCGAGAACATACTTACTTCAAATCATATGACCGTTTTATCTGACCCAGCTCCGTATATTTCAAAGACTCGAAAGTCCCCAAAGCGACCAACAAGTTTTTCTTAGTTCCTTGACACCACAGCTGGCTTGAGGATGTTTGTCAGATATCCTGTGCCAGCAAGAACCTCGTCTTCCCGATGTCCAGGGACCGATGACTATTTGGCTCCTGATATAATTCGGTGAACTTTTGATGCATGATGAGGATCAACTGATAGTTAACCTGTCTACGTCGTAGTTTGAAGAATGCAAAATCTTCATACATATTACTGTGCGGTTCTCCGTTGTGCATCATTTTCTCATTTTCAGTTACGGATGTGATACACTACATCATTGCACGAGGTATACAGGAATAAGCTGTACTTCTAGAAGCCTCAAGTAAAGAATGAATAAATATTCGGGCCACTAAATGTGAACAAGTATTTTTGAGAAATACTTCTTCACGCCTTCCGCACCATGAACTATCGCCCCAATCACTCCGTCCGGCCGTATCACAAACACCTTCGTCTGACCAGCTTCCATGAGGTAAGCCGAATAAGCATGGCCCTCCTGATCAACGAGAACGAGATCAGCAGGAGATGCGACAGACGTTACTGATGCCGACGATGGCAGAACGACTGCCGATCGTACGACACTTTTGTCGTATGTCTCCAGTGCACCCAAGACCGGGGTAGCATCAGCGAGACTTGGCGCAAATACAAGGATTGTGTGGTACCAGGGTCTGTACAAACTAAAAAGCGTCGTCACGCCAAGCTCTGCGCGCCCCACGTGCAGCATATTGGGCGCATCAGGCGCCCTGTCCCCGGCCTCCAGATGCCCTTCGTCAAGCACTCTGTATGCGTTGATTGGTTTCTCCTCGACTGAAGTCACAAATTCATCGAGTACGATAGTGCTGAATCGGCAGTTGATGCCGAGCATGAACAGGACGGAACCTCGTTCGATCTGCGGCTCTTTAGATGCCATCGTCTTGTTGAGAATCGATGTGGTCACGCCGAGCATCTCGGAGATCACAGGCAGACGCTCGGCGCTGTATGTCTCGAGAAGAGATTTGTCGGCGAGCCCTTTCTGGACGAGCGCAAGCTTCCATCCTAGATTGAACTGGTGTAGGGCGCGGTCAGTTGTAACACACATGCTGCATCTACCCGACTCACTGCATCTTGTACGCCTGAATTGAGTCCCTGTTCATAGACAGATGAGTAAGTATCAGCAACAATCAGATCAACCATACCTGACCACCCGTCGGGCTATGGACGCTTGGATATGTGTTAGCGGCAGTTTGCAAAGAAGGCATTCAAAAGAGACATACTGAGCAGCATCTATGACGACATGCATGAGCACAGCCATGCACATCTTGAACAGAACCTGTGTACATACCGCCTGCAACGAACACTCGACCCTCACTAAACTTATTCACCATTCGGATATTAGTTCTGGAACGAACCGATGAACGCGCATCAACACAGACAAAAATACAAAACGCACTTGAAGTAGCTCATCCAAACTAGCTGGTTGAATGAAATCTCCGTTGGTATTAACGACGTGATGGTCTCGAAAACGAGCTTTTCGCTCTCGGCGATCTTCGCCAAATCTAGTTCATGGCCAAAGAGGAAAAATTGCCAGCCGTCATCGCCAATTTCGTCTGCTGGACGCAATGAGAGGCTGCATACAGTCAATATACATGTCTCCAAGCTCAACTGAACATACCCTTGTTCATTCCAGTTTCCAAATCGGTGCCAATACTTCAAGATTACAATAGAACAGCTTTCCATGAAATATGTAAGAAAACGGACGTACCAGTCTATCGAGGCCAACGCCCGTCAAGCGGATATCTCCTGTCACAACCTGGGCATCGTCTCTAGTCTCGCCCAAAAATGTGAGGCCAAGTTGCTTGCGCACGATGCCTGGAAAGCCACTTTCAGTCTTGTGCATCCCAACAGATTTAGCTGCGTCTCACCTTTAGCACCATCAGCGCCGATGATCCACTTGGTATCAAAAGTCTCTGATATGCCATCCTTTGCTAGAACAGCGGTGACGCCCACATCGGACTGCTCGAACGAGCGGAGTTCGGTGCCCATCTCGACGGAACAAGAGAATTTCTCTAGGTGGCGTCGCAGAATCACATCTAGGAGTTGTTGACCCATCGATCTGTGGCCATTCTAAAAAAAACCGAGTCAGCATGAAGGTTTGATCAGGCGACGGTGTTGCGCACGAATGGTATTGCTGGAGTAGGTTCGATATGCGGGACCAGCACTGCGTCTTGCAGAGTTTCCAACGTCCCGGGCTTGTAAAAACGAATGGGAGGGGCTGGTTTCGCCAAACTAGTGACTTCTGTAACGCCCAGGAAGTTGTAGAGTTCGCGGGAACGTGGCTACATAGAGCATGCCTTCAGTGAGACCGGCAGCGTGACAAGTGGATGTGCGACAAACCCATATTCCAGTACCACGCTGTCCGATGCGAGGGTGGGGGTCTTTATCGATAATGCGAACTGAGATACCGTTTTGGAGGAGCGTCAACGCTGCTACCAGACCCGCTGGCCCAGCGCCAACCTAACAAGGAATTCAGCTGAGAATGTAAACATGTGTCATAGGTCGTCACTTACAACTAGCACGGGGGGATGAGCGGTATTCATGGATAATACTAACACTGGCAGGAGGATTAGTTGATTCGAATTCCAACGATTTGGAAGGAAAGTAGGTAGTTACAACATGGAGACTGGGCTGATCAGAACAATTAGAGCTGGCGCTAGAGTTAGGAAGCCGCGCGTTGCTTTGCCCCAAGGAGCCGAGCAAGAGCAGAGATTGATTATCTGAACCATGGGATCACAAAATTTGTCCATGTCTCACTGCAGAAGGCTAGGTAGACTTCACTGCGGAATCCGGATGTTCGCCCGATCATCGAATGAATCCACTCACTGACTCGGAGTCCTTGGACACAGAAAGTCATCAAGCGAGTATCACAACTTTCAATTGGCAGTCTTTCACGGTACAACAACTTTCTCTACCTCGTGCAGTGACTTCAATTACCAAAATTTACCATGTGCCAGATCTTACATGATTATCGATCGGTCTCACAGCCATTTACTATCTCTTATGATACACTATGTTGTATGAGCTATGAGGCATACAGGAATAAGCTGTTCTTCTAAAAGTCGTAAGTAAAGAATGAATATTCAGGCCACTAAGTGTCCACAAATATTTTTGAGAAATACTTCTTCACGCCTTCCGCACCATGAACTATCGCCCCAATCACTCCGTCCGGCCGTATCACAAACACCTTCGTCTGACCAGCTTCCATGAGGTAAGCCGAATAAGCATGGCCCTCCTGATCAACGAGAACGAGATCAGCAGGAGATGCGACAGACGTTACTGATGCCGACGATGGCAGAACGACTGCCGATCGTACGACACTTTTGTCGTATGTCTCCAGTGCACCCAAGACCGGGGTAGCATCAGCGAGACTTGGCGCAAATACAAGGATTGTGTGGTACCAGGGTCTGTACAAACTAAAAAGCGTCGTCGCGCCAGGCTCTGCGCGCCCCACGTGCAGCATATTGGGCGCATCAGGCGCCCTGTCCCCGGCCTCCAGATGCCCCTCGTCAAGCACTCCGTATGCGTTGATAGGCTTCCCCTCGGCTGAGGTCACAAATTCATCGAGTACGATGGTACTGAATCGGCAGTTGATGCCGAGCATGAAAAGGATGGGAGTTCGTCCGCTGGACGCGTCGCCAGACGCTATTGCCTTGTCGAGAATCGATGTGGTCACGCCGAGCATCTCGGAGATCACAGGCAGACGCTCGGCGCTGTATGTCTCGAGAAGAGATTTGTCCGCAAGCCCTTTCTGGACGAGCGCAAGCTTCCATCCAAGATTGAACTGGTGTAGGGCGCGGTCAGTTGTAACACACATGCTGCATCCATCCGACTCACTGCATCTTGTACGCCTGAATTGAGTCCCTGTTCGTATACAAATGAGCAAGTATTAGCAACAATCGGATTGACCATACCTGACCACCCGTCGGGCTATGGACGCTTGGATATGTGTTAGTAGCAGTTTACGAAGAAGTATTCAAATATAGCATACTGAGCAGCATCTACGACGACATGTGTGAGTACAGCCATACGCATTTGGAACAGAACCACATACCGCCTGCAACGAACACTCGACCCTCGCTAAACTTATTCACCATCCGGATATTAGCTCTGGAACAAACCGATAAACATGCATCAACACAGCCAGAAACACAGACGCACCGGAAGTCGCTCATCCAAACCACCTTGTTGAATGAAATCTCCGTTGGTATTAACGACGTAATAGTCTCGAAAACGAGCTTTTCGCTCTCAGCAATCTTCGCCAAATCTAGTTCATGGCCAAAGAGGAAAAATTGCCAGCCGTCATCGCCAACTTCGTCTGTTGGACGCAATGAAAGGCTGCATATCCGTCAATATACATGTCTCCAAGTCTCAACTGAACATACCCTCGTTCATTCCAGTTTCCAAATCGGTGCCAATGCTTCAAGATTGCATTAGGATAGCTTTCCATGAAATATGTAGAAAACAAGACGTACCAGTCTATCGAGGCCAACGCCCGTCAAGCGGATATCTCCGGTCACAATCCGAGTATCGTCTCTAGTCTCGCCCAAAAATGTGAGGCCAAGTTGCTTGCGCACGATGCCTAGAATGCCACTTTCAGTCTCGTGCATCTCAATAGATTTAGCTGCGTCTCACCTTTAGCACCATCAGCGCCGATGATCCACTTGGTATCAAAAGTCTCTGATGTGTCATTCTTTGCTAGAACAGCAGTGACGCCCTCATCGGACTGCTCGAACGAGCGAAGTTCGGTGCCCATCTCGACAGAACAAGAGAATTTTTCTAGATGGCGTCGCAGAATGACATCTAGGAGCTGTTGACCCATCAATTTAGGAACATACTAAAAATCGAATCAGCATGAAGGTTTGATCAGGCGACGGTGTTGCGCACGAATGGTATTGCTGGAGTAGGTTCGATATGAGGGACCATCACTGAGTCTTTCAGAACTTCCAACGTCCCGGGCTTGTATCCACGCATGACAGGGGCTGGTGTTCCCAGACTATTGACATCTGAAATGCCCAGGAAGTTGTAGAGTTCGAGGGAGCGCGGCTACAATATACATAGAGAATGCATTCAATGAGACCATGGGGAGATATGACAAGTGGATGTGGCACAAACCCATATTCCAGCACCACGCTGTCCGATGCGAGGCTGGGGGTCTTTATCGATAATGCGAACTGAGATACCGTTTTGGAGGAGCGTCAACGCTGCTACAAGACCTGCTGGCCCAGCGCCAACCTAACAAGGAATTCAGCTGAGAATGTAAACATGTGTCATAGGTCGTCACTTACAACTAGCACGGGGGGATGAGTAGTATTCATGGATAACAATAACACTGACAGGAGGATTAGTTGGTTCGAATTCTGAGGATTTGGATCAGCATCTCGAGAGAAGCAGGTTGTTATAAGACAGGGGTGGGCCGATCAGGACGGGCACTATGGTAATGACGCGGTGTTCAGAGTGGTAGTATCCTCAGTCGCCGACGTTACGCGTCATCAGATAATCTGTCAAAATACTACCAGATACTTCACGACGGCTGACTGGATGACTCGCTTAGTGTGGTAGTAATGCATCCGAGTCAAACAGGGCAAAGACCTGTGATGTATCCGAGTCATGTGCAAGTGCACAGGCCTGAGGCCTGAGTACGCAGACATCTAATGGAGATGTATCAGGCACTTGGACTATATCATATGTTGCGAGTCGCAAAAATTAACTTGAATAAATTGGGAGGGAGAAAGGGAGAAGGAATGCTTACGCCCGAATATGCTTCAAGAACGCTGATTACAAAGAAAGAAATCACGATAGAGTAGTACCAATGTTAGACTCACCGTGCAAGTAGTGTTGAAGTAGCGGGGCACAGCACTGCATCACCAATTTTGGATACAGGCGAACGATATGACTGACATAGCCCAACAGCGGCGCAGTGCACAGCCTCAAAGGAAAATGATGGTGCACAGCAAGCGCACAGGAATAGAAACTGACCAGCTGAGGTGCGATGCAAACTAATTGCAATCAATTGATCATCGGGTATCATATTTCATATATCATTGTCGAGTGCATATGGTGATAAACACACCAAGGTTTTCTCGAGCTGCCTGCGAGGGGATAAACCGTACCATCATACCCTCCAGCACATCATAGCAGATTTCTGAACAACTAGAGGCATGTCATCACCGTCTTTGAAAATATTCCGTGCCATCTGACAGTCAGAGCACCAGAAATATAACAAGGCGTATAGATTCGACTAGAAGACAGCAGCATTGATGCCATGTGTGCGTTGCAAGCGGCGCCGGCCCGTTATAAGGAGCGGAGTTCAGCTCAGCTAAGCTGGCTCGTTTGGTAACTTGACGAGGAGTCTCACATCGATGGCACACTTGGAGTGCCACCATCAAGATTTTCCCTTGAATCTGCCACCTGCAGCTGCCACGCTGGCAGAACTGCTTCAAAATAGTTCTGCCCACAATACTACCCGCGTTACGCCCTGTCATGCGGCCCGAGGCAGACTCATCTCTCACGCGCACGTTGTACTTATATCCCTGCAGAAGAAATAAGTGTCACCATGCTCATCGCTGCAGCAAAATAAGTATTATCTTCTCTGGGACGCTTTAATCCCAACGGCATAAAGCCATAATGCATATGTTTCCACGCCCTAGCTAACTAAACTTGAACACCCCCACAATGCCTCCTCGCATACTCGCCTACTCCGCTACGGCTGGATTCAGACACGACAGCATCGAGGCTTCTATCGAGGCTCTCAAAGCCAAGGAATCCGCCCTCGACGTAAAGTTCGACTTCACGGAGGACAAGTCAAAGTTCACAGATGAAAACTTATCTCAGTATGATGCCGTTTTGTTCTTGAACAACTCCGGCATTGGTACAGTCCATATTGAACGACCAGTGTGATGGAAACTAATGGCTTTACACCAGTTCTTGATGATACCGGGAAGGTCGCTCTACAGAATTATTTCAATCTTGGCGGCAACTTCCTTGCTATTCACTGCGCCGCAGACGCCCTTCGCGATTCTCCTTTCTTCGGGAGACAGATTGGTACGTTGTGATATGAAGGATCGATGTTCTGATGCTTTACATTTACATAGGTGCCTATTTCGACTACCACCCTGAGATTCAGGAATCAGTAGGTCGTAAGAGGCTTTGCGGCCAAATTGCTCACGAATACTGTCATTTCAGGCTGTAGATGTCCTGGACAAGACGCACCCTAGTACCGTCATGCTACCAGATAAATGGCGCTTGCTGGACGAGATGTGTGCTTGTTTATAAGCCACTTTTCAAACACACTGACTTCTCCAAGGTACAACTTTGAGTCGGACCCTCGTGCCGTCGGGGCCAAGGTCCTCCTGACAGCCGACGAGTCAAGCTACCAAGGTAATGTTGATGAACCGAGCAGATGCGTGTGCTGACCATAATAAATGATTTTAAAGATCCTCAGGCGAAAGAAAAAACTTTGCGCCACGGATCTCCCCACCCAATTGGTGAGTATTTAACCCGAGCAGTATCGACTTGCCTCGATTCCTCGTAGCTTGGTATCAGGAAAGAGGTGCCGGCGTTGAAAGCCATGGCATTGCTGGTCGCAGCTGGTTCACTGGGCTCGGTCATTGTATCGAAATATGGAGCGTAAGTGTGGTATACTTTGTCTTGGATTGAAAGTGATCAAAACCTTCTCAGGACGACCTCTTCTTGGGTCATGTCATGGGTGGTATCAAGTGGGTGCTTCAATCGAAGACCACGAAAGCATTTAATGCCAACGGCAATGTCGGCAATGCGTCCTGAGACCTGAGCAAGAGCAGTGAGATGAAATGTATACAGCGTGGGAAATGACATGTAAATGCAGAGCGAGGGAATGATTAAGAATGCGGAATGGAATATGCATGTTCCTGTCAGAGGGATAATTATTGAGGTCTGCACTCTGGCTCGCCTCCCATGTTGTCTTCGCCATAGTCGTCACCGTCTTCGTCCTCCCAGTCATCTTCGTCTCCTTCTCCGAACTGCGATGCAAACCCTTGATCAAAGAAGTCCGAACCAGCCGGGAAAGACCGGGCACGCACGTCCACAATGTCCCCCTCTTCATATGGGACTTCATCGACAATTTCAGGCATTGGGTCCATGTCATCTTTCTTTGGCGGCAAAAGTCTCTCCAAAGCCTCCGAGATCAAGCAGTTAGCGAATGCTTTTCATAGTTGGAAATATACATACCGGCTTGTTCACAGATTGTAGCCATTGGGCATCGGGCATTTGTATGTCAAGAACTATGAATAAATCGCCTTTCTGATCTGGGTGTTTGTGTGTGGGCATGCCTTCTCCACGAAGCTTTATCGAATCCCCGGGACGGATAATCCTGCCTGGTGGACTGGAAACCCGAATGCCCCTTCCGTCGAGGTGCTTTATCAAGATGCGAGAAAAACCTAGAAGTGCTTCGGATAGCGTGATTTTGACATTTGTTAACAAATTGCTGCCTGAGCGCTCAAAAGACTCGTGGTGAGTAGTTTTGAGTTTGAAAATCACATCACCAGCAGGGATACCGGGCTGTTGTACATTAATCGACAGTCATTCAAGAATTCGTATTACCTACCTGTTGATCGCCTGCGCCTGCGAGGACGATCCGGTGTCCATCTGGCATGCCTTTCTCGATGAAAATTTCTTGTCGGGTCTTTTCCTCTACTGTCTTTTCACCCTTACATTTTTTACACCTACCTATCATGAGTGGCCATAAATGCGCGTGTATAGTAGAACGAACCGGTCTTTCTCTTTTAGTTTACTGCCTTGACCGCTGCACTCGGTACATTTCGTCCGTGCTGTGCCATACCGCGAAGCGGCAATCTCAAAAGAAATATCCGACAGGATGTTCGAAAAGTAGTAAAGCTTCGCACCTGTGTTTGGATAAAAGTCCAGCCTTTTCCTTCGCAGTTGACGCACTCCTTGGGTTTGGCGCTACCCCGGGCTCCAGAACTACATTAATGGGACCTTGATTAACCGGTGATCTAGAACGAGCTCACATCACATACCCTTGACACGTGCTGCAAATGATCTCTCTTGCCATATTCATCTTCACAGACTTTCCATTGTATAAATCTTCCAGCGTAACATCATAGGGAACCTCTGTATCTTGGCCCTTGTGTCGGTGGGGGCCCCCTCCAGGCCCTCCTCCACCAAAGTCGAAGAAAGTTGCGCCACCACCGAAAAATTGAGCAAAGATATCTGCAGCATCAGCCATGCCACCTGGTCCCCCTGAACCTGGGCCTAGACCAGCCATCCCACTTTCGTCATATAGTGCTCTGCTCTCTGGATCACTAAGGATCTCGTAGCTAGAAGGTAGGTGTGACCGTCAGATGAGTTTGAGGAAACAAGGGATGAAACGGACGCGGCAGCCATTTCCTGGAACTTCTGAGCAGCTTGAGGGTCATTGGGATTCTGTGTTATAGAAAATTGTGGGCAACGGCCAGCGTAATTGCATGAAAACGAACCTTGTCCTGTCAAACGCAATGGTCAGCTGATTTTGGAGAACAATCACTGAATAACTTACGGGATGATGCTCCTTAGCCTGTGAAGGTGTAAGAGCCTGTTAATGGATCAAGTGTGAACTCGCACCTTTTTCCGATAGGCCTTTTTGATATCATCTTGTGCAAACTGTTCAGGCCAAGCGTATCGGAGCAAGGTGTCTAGGACGTACCTTCACTGGCGGACGGCGGAACACCTAAAAGATCATAAAGCTCGGTATCTACAGGCACTGCATAACTGTCAGCAATCAGTTGTAGAAAGGGCAGCTTAGTTAACCAACTTTTTCTTTCGAGGAAGGAAATCCGACTGAAGACACAGTTAATTTTAACGTCGTGACACGCGTTTTGGAAAGACGCGCTTCGGAGTTTGAATTATCTATTATCAACCCTTGAAAAAAAACTTGGTTCTCAAAAGTCCTGCGTTCAGTGCTTAGCTTGAGGCTCGGTGCATGGTACTAGGATAGGTGAGCTACAGTTCTTGTTCTTCATCTCCAGAATGATGTTCAATCATTATCTACATTGTCTTACTGGGCTCGCCCAGAAATGACGAATATTTAAACCTGACTTTTTCCAAAGTCCCACCTATAGTATCCTCATGCTTATCCGTTCCCTATAGGTTCTTAGCCTGGCACTGATGCCCTTCATACTTGTACATAGTGCCCTGCAATGAACTTCTACTTTGAGGCTTCTGAAGTACTTAATCGTCTCGATGCAAAAGAAGGTTCCATCAAAGGCATTCTAGCCACTTTACCCGAGAACAACAGATCGAGAACAGCTGCGCTTGTAATCGAAACACTCAAATGTAAGTTGCGGCACATCACGTTATTAGTTGTGATCATTTACCCACCGTTCAGACAAATCTGTCCTCTCCGATGTCATCCAGGCATCCAAGCTCCTCACCGAGGAAAGGAAGAAAATCAATTCTTTGAATCTGGCCCTTGTACTAGTGCATGACACTCTGCTCGCAAATGGTATTCAGGCTGGGGACGGGCCTATCAAACAAGCCATTTTAAGGCACAAGACTAGGCTAAAGAGCGAACTTCAGCGAATCAAAATAAAACGAGGTGTCAAATCTGATCTGGAGTTGGCTCAGACCAGTGACGACAGGGCAGGTTAGAGCACATCCAATAAAAAAGTGCACTTGGTGAACTATCTTCACAGCCAAAATCCCTCGTTACGTTCGTGTCAATACTTCCACATGGTCGACAGAGGAGGCCATATTATTTTATACCAAACGTGGTTTTCAACTGCAAGGTCCCTTTGCGTCGAGGTCAGTCATGTGTCCTGGAATGTTCCTGAGTACTGATGTCGTCCGCTTATCTCAGCAAAGGGTTTGGAATTGACGAGCACATACCAGATCTGCTGGCATTCAACCCTGCTTTACAGTTTCGCGATGATCCTTCCTACAAAACTGGCAAGATTATTTTACAAGATAAAGCGTCGTGTTTCTCCGCGTTTGTGCTATCGCCTCCTTGTAACGATCCAAATGCTGTGGTGATAGACGCGACAGCTGCTCCCGGAAACAAAACCTCACATCTGAGCGCACTGATGGGTAACAAGGGAAAGGTAATCTGTATACCCCGCTTCCAATTTAAACCTTTTGACGGTGGGGTAGTTATATGCTTTTGAGAAGGACAAGAGGCGCTTCTCGACGTTGAAAATGATGCTCGCCAAGGCTGCTTGCCGCAACGTAGAAGCCATCAACGTTGATTTTCTCACCGTCGACCCTTCCCATCCGAAATATTCACTGGTAACCCATATGTGTGTCCTACTTCGAACACCCTCGATTTCCACTAACTTCTACTAGCTTGCTTGATCCTTCCTGCAGTGGTTCAGGCATCGTAAATCGTCTAGACTATTTGCTTGAAGATGGCGAGTCTCTTGTATATTGTAGCTCAACTCAGCTGACGCTTCCATAGAGACAGAAATGGTGGAAGAAGACCGGTTGAACAAACTAGCCGTTTTCCAGCTCATGATGATCAAACATGCCATGAAATGTGAGTAGTTCGGAGAATAGTGGATATAGAAATTAGAATGACTTCTTATTTCGTCTTTAGTTCCATATGTACAGAAAATCGTTTATTCTACTTGTAGCATTCACGCGACAGAAAACGAGCATGTCATTAGCCATGCCCTTCAGTCGGACGAAGCAAAGCGCAGTCATTTCAAGCTTGCACCTCGGAACGACGTCCTGCCCACATGGAACCGCCGAGGCCAGCCAGAAGAGATGAAGGGCACAGGTAAATACTCGTTCCGCCTGACACATGTAAATTAAAGTGAGACGCATTTTCAGGTGACGCGGACAGCCTAGTTCGTTGCTGCCCGGGCGAAGATGGCACAAACGGTTTTTTTGTTTCGTGCTTCATCCGGGAACATAATTCTGTGCTCCCTCAGACTGAATCGTCGAAGAAGCGTAAAGGGGAAATTGAGGAAGTGGCTCCGGAGAAAAGGAAGAAAAAACGCAAGAAAAAGGTCAAAACGGAATGAGATCTTCGCTAGATTTGCTAATACACATCAAAATTTCGAAATATAAGCGTGTTTTGAGTTGTCGACTAACCCGCTTGCGCTGTCCCCAACGCGATGTGAATATTTATTATTAGCAACCTGGAGATACGGACGGAGGTCTGGTAATCCCTCACTATTTCCCGCCAGCGCCTGAATTCACCAGAGTAATGACTCTTCAACTTATAATGAACCAGCACGGAGCGTCACAGTGTGTTATCTTCTTGGTTGCCCTTCAGAATCCGAGAGTAGCGACGAAGTCGTTCTCTACACGCTTGGGATGATTCCGGTTTCTTGCTAACATTGTTACTATTTGTTAGTAATTGAACTAATCAAGGTTGATGTTCCGGATTGCCAACTATACGCCAACGATGATGATTCAAATATTGCTAGAACCGCTGAATGGCTTCAATAAATCTTTCGGATGCGGCCCATTGAACGACTGAATACGACTTGGCAGGTTCAAATGCATGGCATAAGTCATATGTAACTCGATTCAATTCCGATTGTAGAGTTGGAACGGGTTCGGTCATTTTCGTAGCAAGTGTAGTTCACCTCGAGTTGAACCCCCCTCGACAGCATGAAAAGCATATGTAGACTATCCCTGATGCCTGCCGCTCAGGAAATGGAGTAGAGTGACGACAATGATCATTTCTAAGTGGCGGCATGAATAAAACCACCATGAAGTGGGGAGGAAAAGGACACACCAAAATAATACCGTCGAACCGCTGCTTGAACCAAGCCATGGTGTCATCCCTCCTCACTCGGTGCTGGAACCCAATACGTGCCCGTCTCTCTTTTCTTCTGGCAACACGGGCACCAGGGCGACCCATCACGACATAGAAGTCCATTCCGAAGATACCGATTCCAGGATCGTATCTCGCACCAAGGTCGATGTGCTCCTGGACACCGAAACCGAAGTTACCGGTCTCCGAGAAGTTCTTTCGACGTAACTCATACTCTTTCACTTTGAGACCACGCTCAAGAATCTCCTCTGCCTTAGGCCCACGGATAGTGACGTGGACAGCAATCTTCTCGTTACGACGGATACCGAATGTGCGGACGGTGTAGCGAGCTTTCGAGGTAACGGGTGTTTGACCAGTGAGCTGTTCGAGGACTTTGGATGCACGGGTAAGGCGATCACCAGACTCGCCAACACAAATGTCTAGATGAATGCCTTAGCACCATATAAGAACACGAGAAGAGAGGCGCACTGATGACGAGCTTGTCAATCTTCAGCTCCTTCATGGGGTTAGTGGGTGCTGTTTTTTGTTCGGCCTGCAGCATGATCTTCGTTAGGCGAGCTTGAAAAATCATGCATAAATCACTCACCATTGCGTCGTAACTTCTAGTTAACTTCCAGCGTTATTTTGTCGCTGTCGAGGGATGCGCGAGGCTAGGTATGTCCACATTTGGGTTCTGGAGGCTGAACTCTAATTGATAAACTAGGTAGCTAACTCGGCAGAGTCCGACTGCAATGTTCTTATGCATTACATAATATGCTGATGACAAATACCTATTGCTGACTCATCTTTGAACAGGTACTTGCTAACAAATCATTCATTCGGTGCCGTGAAATTCATTGACCCACCTTGTTCAGTGACTACCACTAGACCGTAGTTTGCACTGAGCTAAACATGGCTTCAAAGCGCGCGCTTGAAGGTATGTTATTCTCCAAGCATTATTTAAGCATAAAGCACTTATATCTCATCACAGCACCTGGAGAGGCTGGGCCATCGAAACGGAGGCGGGCTGAGGACGGTAATGATTATGTTGATGAAGAATATCATAGTGATCAAGAGGACAACGCCTCTTTCGTTCCTAGGGGTGCAACAATCAATTTCAGTGCGCTGACGAGGAAACTGGCGGAAGCCCGGAGGGCCAAACCCGTCGACGGTGATGAAACCTCGTTAGACGCGCATCGTCGGCAACAAGACGCACTTGTATCCCACATATTCATGGATCAAGATTTCTCTTTTCTTCATCTTAAGCCTGACCATGCTTCGCGGCCATTATGGATTAGTCCTGATGATGGACACATTATCCTCGAGGCCTTTTCGCCCATTGCAGAGCAGGCTCAGGACTTTCTTGTAGCTATAAGTGAACCTGTTAGCAGGTACGCAGATTCCTGCTGTGTAATTTACACGTCTAGACACGCCATCAGGCCGGCCTTTATCCACGAATACAAACTCACTTCTTATTCACTGTACGCCGCAGTGTCGGTTGGGTTGCAAACAGAAGATATCATTGAAGTTCGTGTGCACTAAGGTCCTCGTGCTGCTGGAGTATGCTAATACATTTAATCCTGCAAGGTGTTGAACCGGCTTTCCAAGGTGTGTCTCCTGGGGCATGTAGTCCAACTGAGTTTCATAAAGACACAAGGTGCCAGTGCCAGAAACGATCACTAACTTCATCCGGGAGCGGACGTTGTCTTACGGGAAAGTGAAGCTTGTACTGAAACACAACAAGTACTTCGTTGAGAGCAGCCACCCGGAAACCCTTCAGCTCCTATTGAAGGACAAAGTGATACGAGAGGCACGAGTGGTTTCTCAACAAACGGACAATAGTATCAAGGCTGCCACCTTTACGACTACAAAAGCCCCTGTGAAGGGTAACCTTGTGATCCCTGGAACCAAGGAGGCTGAGAAGAAGAAGGATGAAACTGCGGGTACCAGGGCCGGAGCATCCATATCCGGAGGAGCCGCGGACGCTGACCTCTTCACCTCAATTGTTGGCGTTGACAATGGTGAGCTTGTACGCTCTGCCACTGGCCTTTCTCATCGCTCTCGCCTTAGATGAAATCGATGAAGATGACGACAATGTTCATGCATTCGAGATTGATGATGCAAAAATCGACGTCAGTGTCTAGAAAAGATAGCTTCTTGTGGATTTCTCACGGGTTCTTTCAGGACGTCAAGAAGCGGTGTAATGAGTTGGAATATCCAATGCTTGAGGAGTATGACTTCAGGAATGACACGGTCAATGCGAATCTGGACATTGACCTTAAACCGGCGACCGTCATTCGACCATATCAAGAGACGAGCTTGAGCAAGATGTTCGGAAATGGGTATGTCGCGATTTTTAGTTGTCTAGGTACCTTCTGACCTGTGGACTTAGCCGCGCACGTTCTGGAATTATTGTTCTTCCGTGCGGGGCGGGAAAAACCCTCGTCGGCATTACAGCTGCCTGCACGATTAAAAAATCGTGTCTAGTACTGTGCACTTCTTCGTATGTCTGATAGCACTGATGCTGTGCCTAGAAACCTTCTCATGAAATCTTTTTCTTTCAGCGTGTCTGTTATGCAATGGAAGCAACAGTTCATGCAATGGTCCAATGTGACAGATCGCCAAATCGCCGTTTTTACAGCAGATCAGAAAGAGAGAGTAAGTCTTGGCTATGATTTGTGCCTTTCCTTGGAATCTGATGATAAGGACTCGCGTGTAGTTCGCTGGAGAGAGTGGTATCGTCGTATCGACGTATTCCATGGTTGCCAACACGCACAATAGGTCCCATGAGTCCAAGAAGATGATGGAGTTTTTGACTTCACGTGAATGGGGGTTCATTCTCTTAGATGAAGTGCATGTTGTGCCGGCTGCCATGTTCCGCCGTGTTGTTACAACAATCAAAGCGCACTCAAAGCTTGGCTTGACCGGTGGGTCGCTTGAGATGAAGAATGCAGACCCAGTCGCTAATTTCACTCTGATCACAGCGACTCTTGTGCGTGAGGACGATAAAATTGCGGATCTCAACTACATGATAGGACCTAAATTATATGAAGCGAACTGGATGGACCTTGCAGCCAAGGGACATATAGCCAACGTTCAGGTAGGTTCTGTATTCTTCTATCTTCCGCGGCTTTTGCTGGACCAATCGCCCTTTTGCTAGTGTGCCGAAGTTTGGTGTCCTATGACTCCTGAGTTTTACAAGGAGTATCTTCGGGAGCAATCTCGGAAGCGTATGTTGCTTTATTGTATGAACCCGAAGAAATTCCAAGCGTGTCAATTCCTGATTAAATTCCACGAGGCGAGAGGCGACAAAGTTATTGTCTTTTCCGATAATGTGTTTGCACTTGAGGTAAGAACGTCTGAGATTTTTATGGTTACATGTGCTCAAGTGTTCCAGGCGTACGCCAAGAAACTCGGGAAGCCTTATATCCACGGTGGTACCGGGCAGGTTGAGCGGATGCGGGTGTTGCAATGGTTCCAGCATGATTCTAATGTCAACACCATTTTCCTGTCCAAGGTACATCTTACGACATGAAGCAGAAAGAGACTCTTCATTGACTTCTCTTGCGCAGGTCGGCGATACGTCCATAGATCTGCCGGAAGCTACGTGCCTTATTCAAATTAGTTCACATTTCGGGTCAAGGCGACAAGAAGCTCAGCGCTTGGGTATGTTGATATGGCAATGTTTTACTCTAGAATTTCATAGACAGCGACGGTGATTTCACAGGTCGCATCTTACGAGCGAAGCGGCGTAACGACGAAGGCTTCAACGCTTTCTTCTACTCGCTGGTTTCCAAAGATACCCAAGAAATGTTTTACAGCACCAAACGACAGCAATTTCTTATCGATCAGGGTTATGCGTTCAAGGTCATTACGCACCTGGATGGACTTGAGGACCTGGAAGATTTGGTTTACAAGACCAAGGATGAGCAAATCGAATTGATTTCATCTGTGCTCTTAGCAAACGAGAGCGAAGCTGATCTAGGGACGGACATACGCGGGAATGAGGGTGACTTGGCAGGAACGGTGACATCTAAAGACTTTGGCCCTACAAGGTTTCCGACAGCGCAACGGACGACAGGGACTCTCACGGCACTGAGTGGTGCTCAACATATGTCGTATGTTGAGCAGAATAAATCGGTGAACAAGAAACTCGCGCGGGATGCAGCACCACGCCACAAATTATTTTCCCGTCGCGATAAGGACAAAGCTACCGCACGGAAAGAGCAACGAGCGATGGGGCGCACTTGAGAGTGGAAGTCGAGGACTGGGCCCGCGGTTTCCACCGTTGTCACATTGTTGAAGCTTTGGCAATTTGTTATAGGGTACCTTAACGCCACCGTGTTCTTGAAATACATAGTTTTTATTCTATGACGTATATATATCTGGAGTGACTACGTAGCAGATCTTTGGTCCCCCTGGAGTTCTCTTCCAAAAGGGTACTTCCAGATAGATAATCGAAGAACAGGTACGACTGCGGTGGTAGTTGTACTCAGAATCGAGGAAGAAGAATGTACAGCAGTGGTATCGAGGTAAACACGGCCTCACAAGATATAGTCAGTGAATTAATTGACGTGGCTCATGGAATCATGACAAGACTCAGATTACTAAATCCGGGTTGCCGAAAACGGCAAGTGACTGAGTTTGTGCGGAGATCGGTTCGGAGCCAAAAAAGTAGATCTGGCCCAGGCAAGGTCCAGCCTGTGACTTGATCGAATAGGGATCGAATGCGGACGTGATACACAAAGATCTGGCTTGCCCGATGAAGTGGTCCCTTTTTATATGTTCTCCTGCCTTCCATCTCTTTAGGTCCTTTCCTCCCCGCCTTCATCTCCTACAGCCTTTTTTTCATCCTCAATCACTTTTAAATTTAAATGTCCTCAAAGCGTGGTCGCAAGCGCAATGATAACCTCCCTCCTAATAGAGCTAGGGATGTTCAAAGAGCATTTCGTGCAAGGCGAGCTGCTCATCTACAAGTGCGGCATTTTTATCCAACTTCTATTTCCAATCATCATCTAATTTCACTCCTTTTCCAGGCTCTCGAGTTGCGAGTATCGGAGCTCGAGGAAGAGAATAATTGCTTAAGAGCTGCACTCAATCTACCTGCAGCTAACCGCCCATCTCTCGGTAAAGGTCCGACAGGCAAGGATAAATCAAAGTCTCTTGAGACAACGCCTGTTGCTGCACAATCAAACTCTTCTAAAAGCCGAGAGTCATCGCCCGTCGCAGAATCACCTTCTCCGGGTCGTTCAGAATCCGCTTCTCCCTCCGTTGTCAGCGGTAACTTGCGTAGTCCCCCTGTAATGGACGGTCATTGGGAAGAAAGTTTTATGATGAGTGATCAGCAGTCGCAGGGCTCTCATGTATCATCTTCGTCGTCCGCTTCCTATAGTCTTCGCCCAGTTCCTCCGGCTATGTCCCAGAAAAGTTCCCATCAATTCACTTTTTCAAATCCGATGCCGCCTCCTCGCTCTATGATTTCAAGTAGCGTCCCTGCGCACTCTATTCAACCAAACTATGCACATACAGCCGATAGGCCCGTTGCAACTGGATATAATGATATGAACTATCTCCTATGCGACGTCCGAGAAAACGCACATTATCCCTACTCATATCAACCCTCCCAGTTCAATCAAGATCATGCCATGTCCCCACCGGCTCAACATCCTATTCATCCATCCCAAAATCATCATCCACAGCGCACGCCCCTGCCGCATACATCAATAACGTACCCACAACGACGTTCAGTTAATGAACCTTCTGGGTTCAGACCGTTAGGCACCGATTTGCACCTGCCGAGCCCCCCGCCGCATTCGCAGGCGGTGCGCCTGGCATCGCCAGCCCCGTCTGCGCAAGATCCACGATCTCATTATACCTCTCACGGCAAGCATCCTAATGCTCTTCGGTGACCTTTCAGTTGTTTATCATTGTCGTCGTCCTGTACTTCTTAATTCCCGTTTTCGTCGTAACTATTCTCATCCTTTGTACTATCAGTCCCTTCCTCGCACGACCTCGAGATTGTCATTGCTCATTGCTAAATGATTTTAACAACGCCTGTATCGCTATCGCTCGCGAACTTTTCTTTAGGCCACCTAGTCAATTTTACAATAGATGTATACACAGCTATCTGGTAAACTATTCTTTCCATGTAATAGCTTTAATTCTGCCTGTCATGCTGGCAATTCCGATGCTCGGACATTATCCAGCACGAGCCATTGCGTTTGAGTCGGTTCGAATCGACGATGAGTCACTCATAACTGAACCAAATTTACCAGATTTCCTCTTTAAGCGATTAAGGTGACAGGCACCGTACAGCCACTGGGCGGGTACGACCATATTTGATAGCCAAATATAGTCCTTACATAAAGATCCCGTGCCAAGGTAACCTTTTCTTGTTTTGTGCATTTGCTGGCGACCGCGCCTCCGACGACGCATCATGGGACTATCGCATGAGTCGTACCGGAACAGAGCACCCTCTGTCACCCTATCTGATGGTGGCGTTCATTTTTTTTTGGCGCCAGTTTATCTGATACAAGGTGACGGGGTATCCATGGGCATGGGCATGTGATTAATATTGTGATCGATTGTGGGAACTCGCGAGATCTGTACAAACAGATTATGCATAAATATTGTACTCAGACGTGTTGCGTCCTAGTTTCTCCCGCTATATCGTCGGGACTCACTAGCAAAAACTACGCAATGTATACAATGCGTCTCCCGTAGGTATATTAACAAGGTTGGTATATTATGCTTTCCATGCGTTCAATTAATCCAGATTGCACCAGTCGACTTTGCCTTGAGGTCCATACTTCTTCTCCAGCCAGCCATTCGCAGCCTTGAAATGTCCATTGCCCAGAAAACCCTTATGAGCACTAAAGGGCGAAGGGTGCTATTTCGGAAGTCAGTCAAGAATCCCACCAAACACAAGCATTCGAGGACGCACGGCACTAGTAAGAATCAAGTGTTTTGTCTGGGCGTTCCTAGTCAGCGCTCGAACGCCACCGATGGGGCCTTGATGAACTTACCTTGCTGAGTTTAGCCACACGCTTTGCGGCCCATGACCCCCAAGCCAAGAATACCACTCCACGCCCAATCCCGTTCATGTCGGAATCACCGCCGGACGAAAGATTGGCACCGCCATACTTATCAACTACGTCCACAACTTTGTCAGTAAATTCTTCCCAGCCCTTGCCGGAATGAGACCCTGCTTTGTTTGCCTTCACAGTAAGACAGGTGTTTAACATGAGGACACCATTATCAGCCCACGCTGTGAGGTTACTGGTTATTATTCACAAGTCCATGTTAGTACATACATAATTCGGACTCATCCACCTTATCTGATGCTTACCCATGCTTAGGAGGTTCGAATTCGGGGTACTCGGCCTTTATCTCAGCATAGATCTAGAAATGCAAGAATGAGGCGTGATGATCAATTACCAGTGAGAGATTGCGCACGTTTTTCAAGGAAGGCGGCACAGTGACGCCCTTGGGGACGGAGAAACAGAGGCCTAAAAGTCGCGTGACGCCCATTAACCTGGGATCAAGAGCGGTATAGGAACGGCTCACCATGAGCTTGATTCGGACCGTGGTAGGGGTCCTGGCCAATGATTACGACCTTCACCTTTCCGAGGGGCGTGTTAGACCACGCATAAATATCTTTTGCTGCTCACGGGCTCAGTTACTCGGCTGGCTAGTTCTCTTCGCGAAAGGAAACATACGTGAAGGGTACACTTTGAGATTTTTAGCACTCTCATCAGGGCCATGGACTCCTTCCTCCCACAGGAACTTCTTCAATGAGATAAAATATGGCTTTTTGATCTCTTCCTTTAGAAGTTTCAACCTGAAGAACGGTTCGGCGTCAGCGGGAAAATGATCAACACGGTGTCTTATCAGAACAGAACATAACACGGCGTTGTTATGTGAACAGCCCGTACGCACCAGCTCTTGCCCATGCATTCGGATTCTAGCTTTAGCAAATGTTTTTGATCCTGCGGAATTGATTCGACGTATTGAGACAGAGAGAAAGGTATCGCATTCAAACGCTGAACTCCGGCGACCGTAATTTTAGCAGAGTCGGGGCCTGACGACGAGGCGCCTAGCTTCAGTTTCTTAGCCGCGGGCTTTGCACTTTTGCAATCCTGTGTTCCAGATAGCATATCCATGAGAGTTCTCTGCCTTTTCAAGGTGCCTGTCGCCTGTGTTGCGGTAACTGTGGCCTTGGCTGGGCCATCTTGTGATTTTGAACTAGGTGATTCGGAGGCTTTTTCCGCGTCAGAAGTCGAAACTACTGCGGTGTCGACATCTTCCAGGTAGACGACGCGTTGTTCATCCGACATGACACTGAGAGGTTATGGAAGAGAAGAAAAAACGCGAGAGTCTAGTCCCGCGAGCGGTCGCGACATGAACCCCTTCCCGGGGGAGTCCACATTTTAATTGCTAATTTATGTAAATACCATAACAGGTTTCGGTGTCTTTTGCTTGTCCTTGTTTTCTTCACTCACGAAGTCGCCTCTATATTCGAAACGTGCCAAATTCATAGTTCTGCCTTAGGATTTCGCCAAACTGCCGCGTTCAAACTCTTCACCTTCGCCGCCGTCTGCAAGAAATGCATCTGGGCGTGCGGACTTGTCCAGAAGACAATTCTTGAGTTCTAGGCCTGCAAAACGTCACCTAGGCCCGTTTGGGGCCACAGCGGCAGCTGTTCAACCAGATCATACTAATGTGGAATTGAGTTCAACCTATCACGCAGGGTCTTCAAGGTAGGAATTATGCCAGCTCACCGAGTATAAGGGAGCTCATGCTGCGTATTCAATTTAGCGAACAGTCAAGTAGTGAAACAACCGAGGAGGATTCGGATGACGAGCCTCATGATATTCGAGGACGCCGTCCTTCTCAAAAGGGCTTGCAAAGGGATGCTCGAGATGCTATCAGGAAAAGGCGGCACGCGACATCTCCATCCCAACAGAGATCTGGCCCCATCCCTCCTGATCACTCTAACGATGCCAAGCACATTGGATCCTTGCCACGAAGAATGTCATTCACTCGTTCACGCTCGCCCCATCCACGGACCTTCGACAATGCAACTAATGCAGCACACCTACCTTCTGGAGCTTCTTCATTTCCTCAGCGGCACAAATTGCTTCCAGTTGCGCACACTCTATTGCCAGCAATGATCTCTGGCAGCCTTTCCCTCCCTTACCTTGGAACTTGGACATTCTGCATGGACACTAGATATATGGGAGAATCACTTCTCCTGATCGGATCTTTAGCTTGTTTCAACAAGAAATTCTCTGATGACACTCATGACATCATTGACTTGTCAATATCCACAGGTGAATATAATTTTCACACATGTGCAAAATTTTATCTCGGTACTAATTCTCGACTGCAGAGATGTATGTCCTCCTTATCATAGCTATACTCTACATTATACGTGCACACATTATACTACCGCACTCCAACGCCGCTGCACCTACTGCTCAAGAGTCTCGCCATATAGCGTCCCCTCGTACTGAGACTCGTGAAATTAGGCGCAGTGGCTCTCAGTTGAGCCCTGCAATAAAACCACGTTTTAGTTTCATTTGGATGAGTGTCCCAAAGAATTACAGGCATGTCAATTTCCTAGGCGTTCGTGTTCACTGGAATGAACTCCCCACAGGGAGTCTCCGAACGATGGCGTCCTCACAGGGCTCCTACTCCCACCTATGATTGCGCTAGCACTATTATACTCGGCCTTGCGGCAGGTTCACTCCCCTTCTTCTGATCCCAATCTTCCTCCACCTCATTGGTTGATAGAAGCCCCCAGTGTACTCCATAACCCTCGATCACCTGATTCCGCGATCGATGCTCTCATACAATCTCGTCGTGGCCTAGTGGACTATTCCACAATGTGTTCGTTTATATTACTGGCCCAAGTATGTTCGTCGTGGATCATTGAGACACGCTATCGCGGACGTCCTAGCGTCCCTGAGGGAGAGCGGGGCTCTGTTCCTCGTAGTGAAATGCGTAGAACATGGCTTTACGTGCTCTTCACTTTCGTCATGACCATGTTGGCCATGACTGTTCGATACCTTTTTGCGCTGGTGGAGATTCCTATATGGCGAAGTGAATCAATTTATTTTTTAATTCTCCTGAGATGTTTACACCTTGATTACCCAGATATTAGCTATCTCGATATTGCCATCGGCTCGTTGTTCTACCAACTTTGCTTATATAGCGCCCTTCGCCTAGCGCATGGTGGGTTCACGCTAGGTGAATTGGCCCTTGTCTGCTTTGGCGGGCTGTCCTTGGCTACGGAGCTGCTGGGATTGACTAGAGCGAGGGTCTGTTGGGCTTTTGCTTCAAAATATTCATGCTGATTTCTCGTTAAGATATGGCCGAAAACAGCACCATTCATCGAGACCTACCGCCTGCCAACACCCCTGTTGATTTTCCAGATTGCGCTGATCGCAGGTTCTTTCATTACTGGCTTCCTACTTTCTCCTCTTCTCGCCCTATCACGGCATATCGCGCAACGACCGGTGAGGCGTCTTCGACTTCCACAGGAGAAGCAACAGCATCGACGAGCTCTTGCCGCGGGTTTTTACATTGGAACGATAATCATTGTCGTTGGTCTTATTGGTTGGTGGACGTGGTGGAACCTCGGACGTAGAAATCCGTGGTTTTGGGCTATCCTTTGGCTTCTTGAGGGGCGTAAGAAGTGGAGTCGGCCCATGCTTCTTGCCTACTGGGGCCTTCTCGGAAGCATCAGCGTTGCCGGATGGAACCGACAGCTATCGAGGTCAAGGCGGTACAGACATAGAAACACGAGTGGGGGTACGCAAGATAATGTGATCGTTCCATTTGCTGTGAACTCGAATCAGAAACCACAAACGGAGATATCTTCACCCACTCCCACCACTACACTTGGGCTTACATTCCCCAACTTGGCTAATCTCTCTAATCTGTCCAATGGTTCGCAAGTCGCCACAGAATTATTGGATGCCGCGGATAAGCACGTTCCTACACTCGGTATCAACGCGAGGCGCAAGTTCTTCCACGCGTTGGCAGTTGTTATGTTTCTACCTGGTGTGGCTGTTGACGTCAGTAGCCTTCTACCATCCATGCTATCAGTAGTCTCACGAGTATCTCTAGCCTGCATTCACTCACTTGTCCTTCAGTGCAGCATTTGCGCTCTTCATCTTTGCAGAGTATGTTAGATACTTCGCCATTTATCCTTTTGGTGCGGCTGTGCACCTGTTCATGAACGAGTTCCTTGAGCAAAAGGACAGTGGAACTGCCATCCTCAGTCACTTTTATCTGCTTACTGGTTGCGCGGGCCCATTGTGGCTTGAAGAGTACGTCTTTGACATAGATAAAGTCCCAAGCAGGATCTAAATCATTGTAGCCCATCGCAGTTGCTGCAATACACCGGTATCCTCGCTTTGGGTATTGGCGATGCTCTGGTTAGTTTCCTTTCTGTCGGTGCGGATTTTGAAAATTATCAATTGAATTGGACGTTTTTGTCAGGCATCTATTATTGGGAAACGTGTTGGTCGGCACCGTTGGTCTTCATCGTCCTCTAAAACCCTAGAAGGTAGTGCTGCATTTGTGATGTCCCTCGTGGGTTGCGCGTGGCTTTTGAGACTTTGCGGACTTACGGAAGAATTTTCGGTGAGTTCGTCCGCTTCTGGTGCCCCTAATCTAACACAACCCTGAAACCGCAGACATTGCGCTATTCTATCGTGGTCTCTCTCTCATGTGCACTTGAGGCCCTGTCAGACCAGAATGACAACTTGACTCTTCCGTTGTATATGTGGAGTTTACTTGTAGCTGTCGATGTGTAGTGGGGTTGCTATACTAGAATTTTTTTTTGATCGCGGACATAGCATGGCGGGCTGGCGGAATACACTTGTGCTCCATCCTAATTTTCATTAATGTTTCCACTAAATTCACAAGAAAAAGAATGTAAACAAAAATGGAAGGCCTACCTGGTGCCTGACGTCAAATGAGGCACGGGGTTGTGTTGGTGGGGCGCTTAGTAAGCATGCCAATAACCCTTCTTCGATGAAGGCGACCGACTTCACAAAGATTCCTCTCTACTCTACCATCACCACCGACGGCACTGGGCATTTTGTCCTCAACCTCCCTACTGGTGCTGTAGTTTGTTGATATTATTGATTGCTTCATTTGAATTGTGGTTAACTTCCCATTTCAGCATCCTCCGGGTAATGACCACAGCTCCAATCAGTGATCGTCGCGTAGCTGTACCTAGTAATTGTTTCACGACTACTGAAAGGATACACTGCATTCGTACTGCATAAACACTTCGGACTACTACCATGCAATCCTCGACAATAGCAGATACAGCTCTAGATTCACTTCCATCGTCTCTATCTCTCGCAAAGCCTTTTTCTTTGCCACCAACGTTTCAAATGCCCATTCCACGTTTGCCCAAGGTGAGGCAGCGAAGTCCTCGACTGCCGCGACCAGCGACTGCCTCTATGGCAGAGGGCACTCAATCATACCTACCCCCTGCGCCCCAGGTGGCATGTTTACACGATAGTCACATCCCCAGGAGCCTGGATCCTCGTGTAAGTCTCTTTTTTGGATACACGTAGGGTCACTGCACTACTATGACAGTTTTCTTCAAAGGATGTAGATGATACTCGAGACACCGATGCTTTATCCATGAAGTCATTCGAAGTACGCACTGCAGACTTGGGTGTGTGCCTCCCCGTTCTGATCAGCGTAAATTCTGAGCATCCTCTTTACCCTATTGGCTCATTCAGCTCCATCTGGTAGTCCTTATGAAACACTTGCGGCCGCGGCAAGTACTCTTTGTGCTACCCGACCCGACATCGATGCAGCCGAGCACGACTGGGCTACCTTCATGACTGCATACGCATTGGGTCAGTGGCACCCTCATCAAACGCCTCGTCATCCGCGTTCAATGATGTCAACTCTTATCATGCGAGAGAGTTCTCCGCGAGACAATTTTGCGTTGAGACATGATCCTGCACCGATCATAATCGAATCACGGCAGCATTCGCCCCCTGTATCACCTGCTTACCACACTTTTATTTCTTCCTCGGTTTCCAATTGCAGTAGCAATGAGACAGAGTTCAAGCCCGCTGCAGAGAAAGCGGTGATGGTCTCTGATTTTCCCTCATTCATCTATCCTGACAAACTATTGTCAAAGATTACACCAAAGTCATCGTCGCTTAGTGGCCGCAGGTTCCGCAAGTCATTCACAGATCTGCGACACGCAACAGGAGGGCAGCCAATGCATCTCCCTTTAGATGGGACACAAAGTTTTAGCATTAGTCCGGAGGCAACTGCTGCGGCTGCAACCATGCGATGGGCAGCAGCACGCGTTAATTTGTCTCCTCTTGCGTTGCCCTCTCCTGAGCATGAGCTAACAGATCCAATGCGAGGTGTACATGCAGCAATACCAGGATCACATCCGGCTACCAGTAGTCCCCCTGCCCATCCGACAACGCCCGGCATGTCTCGCATCCGCGCAGGCAGCTTCTGGGAGGGCACACAAGATGTGGAAGATGAATCAACGGTGCCCACCCTACCCGGATCATTACCCAGAACACCCCTGCGCAACATAGCTGAGGGAGAGTTATATGTGTCTCTTCCCCCGCCAGCATCTGTTCCATTGCAGCGTAATTATTCACCTGAGCCGACAGAGGAAGGCGATTACTTCACCGCAGTCAGTACATCCGCTTCAGAGCCATTTCCCATGACCCCCGACCCCGCTCAACTTTGGCAGGAGTACGTAACCCACAGACGTGAATCTGGGCCAATGGAACTCAACGTTTGTACGGCACCACCCCTTCCACGAAGGATTTGTTTAACAAGGCAAACATCTTCGCCCCTACCCGACAGCAACGGCAGAGATCGTGGCTTACCAGGCGGAAGATCAGTATGCGACTCCGTCAATAGCTTTCGTGCTGGTCGGTCTGCGAAGGAGGAGCAGATGTTCCTAGATCTTGGCTATTTAGCGCCGCCGAACCCTCCGGACGAGCTCGAGCGAAGGCGCGCTCTATACAAGTATATCCGTTTTTCACCTTTGAAGGTCATCTCAGAGAGCGTGTAAAATAGGTTTAACCTCTGGAACACCGGGCCCGACATCAACTTCGATCGCATTGCACATCTGGTCAAACTTGTGTTCAACACGAAATGCGTTTACATATCCCTCATCGATGGCACAGATCAGTGAGTATTAGTTGGAGTTCAACGCAAAGTTGTTGGTAATCACCACTACAGATGGTTCAAATCACAGTGTATGGTGCTTAATTCCTGACATTCTCGTATATCTCCAATCTTTTGCAGGTGGGATGACTCTAAAGCGCAGTGCAAGATTGACGTCCTTCTGTGCACACGCTATATTGCAAAGGTGTGGATATTTTTCCCCTGAGAACTTCAATCTTACTGTCCGCAGGGGTGATGAACCAACTGTTATCCTGGACACGAAGTTAGATTGGCGGTTTGCTAAGAATGTTAGTGCACCTTGATGTGAAAGTTCATCTGACGAATATACTGAATGGTGTAGCCTCTGGTTACCGGATTTCCAAACGTTCGCTTTTATGCTGCGGCTCCTTTGAGAACCTCCGATGGATTCAACATTGGCAGGTAACACGAGTCGCTATCTACGCGACATACTCAGTTGACATACCGCCTACCTCAGTCTTTCTTTGATAGACGATTCACCCCGGCAGGATTTCGCCCCGCGTCAACGACACACTCTGAAGGAATTTGCGGTACTTGGGTTATAATTTAATCCTCCTCATTCTGTTAACACAAGCTCTAGGCTGTTGTGATGCGTGAGATGGAATTGTGGCGTGATAAAGTGAGCTAGGTTAGCTGTTGTGCTTCCCCCCATGAACTAACCAACCCAGATCCAACTGCGCATACGAGACAAAATCCAGACCTCCGTGAGCACTGTCTGCCTCAGTACCATCCGCTGTACGTTGACTCACTGCATCTCAGATGGAGCAATTTAGTCGAGAGTGCCTTGAGATCGACCAGAAAGATGCAAATATGGATGACGACCCTTACGCTAACGCATCCATGGACAGAGTGTATGATCGTGCAGCCAGACTTGTGAAGCGCACTTTAGATGTCGAGGAGGTGGTGGTAATGGATGTTTCACACTGCGAAGTACTGGAGACTCTCAGTGCCGAAGCAACGATATCTGTTGTCATGCATCGCGGGGATCCACAACCCCGATCAACATCTCGCACACTGACAGCTGATGAATACCACAAGCTAAACGTGTTCTTTGATCAATACCCTGACGGCAAAATATCTGAAGGCATTTTACCAGTCTGCTTCCGTCCCTTCATCCCAACGCACATACAGTATGCACTCAGTATGTCTTTTCTATCTTGACGTTCTTCTATTCCACTGATGATATTTGCTAAGCTGTTCCTGTTTTCAATATCGACAAAAGGCCATTTGCCTTGATTTGTGCTTACAATGCCACTGATTCATCGCGGCGATTTGTAAGGATTCGGCTAGTTCAGTTAGACACCTCCATCTTAACTTTATTTTCAGCTCGAGGGACACGAACTCTCTTATCTTCGTGCTATAGGTTGGTTCCCCGACTTTCGTCTAAATAATCACTGAGAGAGAATAGGTGTCATCATTCTCTCTGCTGTCCTCAAGAGGAGGATGATGCTAGCCGACCAAGCAAAGAGTTTATTTATATCCAAGTTTGGTGCATGCTTCGTTTTCATGGGTAACATGACTAATTTCTCTCAAAAAAAGCATATCTCACGAGCTTCGTACTCCTTTGCATGGGGTAAGGATTGACATATTTGCTAGGATGTCTTCCTCCTAATGGCTTCGTGTAGATTCTCGCTGCGGCTGAATTACTTTCCGATACATCGTTAAGCCATAGCCAGACTTCATTCCTGCACACCGTCCAGGCGTGCGGGACATCACTTGTTGAAACGGTGAACCACGTTCTCGACTTTACGAAACTTAGCGGCAATATGAAATCAGGTGGCGTGGACAATGCCATTACGAGAAGCATGTGAGCTGGGATGGCTTTTATGCATGTTGTTGCTTATGGTTGACACAGTGTGGATCTCGAGCAACTTGTTGAAGAGGCAATCGACGGATCGTGGATTGGATATTGTGCTCGTACATCTGCCATTCGCGAGTCGGAAATCGGGAGTGTTTATGCTCCAGCACTGGAGCAACGATCCTCGAGTGTCATGGCTGCTCCAGCCTCTTCGAAGCATGTGGAGATTATTGTCGATATCGACCGACGAGAAGGCGTAAGTCCTCCAAGCCATTCCTTCCTGTTGACCGCTGACTGTCGTATAGGGATGGATTCTGAAGTGCGATAAAGGTGGTATTCGAAGGGTGTTGATGAATCTTTTTGGAAACAGCCTGAAGTTCACGACCGTAAGTATGACTCGATGCTTCTTGAGCGTGGTTCCTAATGACTGCGCAGGATGGTTACGTTCACGTATCTTTACGCCAAGTATCTGCGCCAAATGAAGAGCCTAGCATGGTGGAGTTATGTGTCAGTGATACGGGAAAGGTATTAAACTGGGTGCGGTAGTTCGTTCAAGGCTGACACGTGGTACAGGGAATCAGCCAAAATTTTCTGAAGGTGACGGGTTCGCCAGACCAGTGGTCATCGGTTACTAACAAAAAATTCAGAATCACTTGTTCCATCCTTTTTCTCAAGAGAACCCTCTACAAGCTGGGACAGGTTTAGGCCTTGCGATTGTCAACAGCATCGTCCAGTCTCCAAGCGTGGGCGGGAAAGTGGAAGTATCCAGCGAAGAAAACGTTGGTACTGATATCAAGATCACCTTCCAAGCAGAATCTTTGGAAGATGGCGCAAGTGCTCTTCAAACTCCTTTCATGTTTGATAGTGCTATCCCCACCGTCACCTTCCTCGGGTTCAAGCAGAAGAGCAAAGGTGTTCAGATGCTCAGTGATGTACTTCGCAAGTACCTCCAGGACTGGTGGGGATTCAGAGTGCAGACTGACGGAGGTGAGTTGAGCGACATCGTGATCATAAACGAAGACTCGTCACCTGTTGTTACCGCTCTTGAGAAAATGGACTACCGTCGGTCGTTCATCATCTTGTCTTCAAGTAGAGGTAGCCCGAGGGCCATGGGGATTTGCAGTTCTTACGAGAGCCTTGGTGGTTTCTGTCGCATTGTTCACAAACCAGGAGGGCCTTTCCGATTGCGCGCTGCGCTGAAACAACTACTTCGAGCCAGGCAAAGACGTCAACAACGTCTGCCAAGCTTTGCCAGCTCAGTGACCGGGATCTCAGATGATAGCATCTCTCTGCACTCCTGCATGCTTACAGACGACTTAACGAATCCAGACCGGCATCGCCGAACGAGCATTGACTGGGGTTCACACAGTCGCTCAGCTCTCGCATTTCCTAACTCCCCACCTGAAATGCCTGCATCGCCGGATGTCGAGGAAGCGTCATCTTCTCCGGAGAACACTGAGTCTGACAGCACATCCTCGAGCACGTCGAATTCAACAGTAACCATCGGTACGGACGGAATACTCTTGGAGTCATCAATCCGGACACTGGATTTGAATCGCCCTCGTCCGAAAATTTTGGTGGTTGAAGACAACAACATTTTGCGAAGCTTACTGTGCGTGAATCAAGCCAGCTATGTTTTCAGTGACTCATGCGCTCATCTCCCAGTATTAAGTGGTTGATGAAGAAGGTAATGTCACCTATCTGCTAGCTCAATCAACTTACTCATTTTCACAAGGGATTTGAATATCGCGAGGCAGTCGATGGTCGACAAGGAGTCGAAACATTTGAATCTGAAGGACCCTTTGAGTGGGACTATATTTTTACATGGTTACAACTAGCTCATTACTCGAATTCAGCGTCGTTCTTCTTGATCTGTCCATGCCTATCCTCGATGGTGTGCTTAGTACCTGACTCGTTCAAAGACTGTTCTCACATTTTTCATAGGGCTGGGTGCCACCGTCGAGATTCGCCAGCTTGAAAAAGTTCGAGAAAGTCGGCAGCCGAGCGTCATCCTAGCTTTAACTGGGATGTCATCCCTCGAAGACAAACGCAGGGCGTTCGAGGCTGGCATGAGCGGATAGTAAGCATGGTCGAATTTCCAAATTTCCCACTAATTAACATTAACATCACCTTCGCACCAGCCTTGTCAAGCCCGTAGCATTCAAAACGCTCGAAGAGATGTTCCGCAAGATAGGGCTCTCGTGACCACTCATGCAAATCTGTCTGCTCGTCTACAGACTTGCTTCACGTATATACCTTACACAGCCTAATGGCATAATCACACGATCGCATGATATCCACGTTCCTCTGATGACATCGACAATTGTTTTCGTTCAGCTCTTTTACACAGCACGCCCCAACTTCACATTCTTCCGCTTACTGATTGCATGTTTCATTTTTCTTGAATCGGTTATTATCTAGACCATGTATTATATCAAGCCTGGCAGTGTGTTACGATTGAATGCGGTGCATTTCACCCTGTTTTGTATAGATGCATGGAGATCAGTGTCGTCGACCATGGTGGGTTGCACATATCCCATGCGTTTTATGCCTCGGTATCTGTAAAACCTGTTTAATCGTGTGATGCTCAAAGTATGGTGATGAAGGAGACTTTTCTGGTAGTGTTTCTGATAGCGACCCCCTGACCTAGAATGATGATGCTCTCATATTCTTCGGCATGCAATGGCTATTCTGATAGAACAACTACAACAAGTCGAGGATATGCAAAGAACCAACGAGTTGAACACGCCAATTCGTCCTGCTGCAAATTCTTGTGTGAAGGTATCAAAAGATCCCACCACTACCATCTGCTGTCTTCCGACACTATATCACATCATTGAAAACGCAAAATGAAGAGTGGAAAGCAAGAAATCACTGATTGACGTCCTTCACAGGTCGTGATGCCCGTCAAAGTCAGCAGATAACCCTTTGGCATGCTAAATCGATGGAAGAAGTTTCGGTTTTGAGGGCAGCTTGCACCCAAGTTGACCAGTTATATAGACGTCTCATGATGTGGTGGACCCTAGTTTTCCTGCTAATTGAGTTGAAAAAGATATTGCAACGGCAGAGGCAATTCACCTGCGGATGATGGATGCCGACAATATGATTACTATAGGGAGACTCAGATGACGCGACGTTCGCAGCGTGTTTCAGCATGGACGCCTTGGCAGTTTATGTCGCAGTATGGCATAGCGCATTTTTTGCATTTGTATGTGCCCTTGTACCCGCACACGGAGCATAAAAGACGTGGGGGCAATTGAGGGGGAGGAGCAGCAGCTGTTAAATATGTTGGAACGTGACAAGGAAGACTTGCTATACGCTGGGGATGTTTTGGTATGTAGGAAGAGTCTGGACAAGGAGATGAGCTTACCGATTCCTCGATTAGGGTAGCAAGATTCTTGCGATATAGGAGAGCGGTCCGAACTTTCATGGATGACTTTTTCTTCTTCGCATTAGGGTCATTCAAGTGACGTTTATCTGAAACGATCTGGCGGACGCGGTTCTTTCCGCTGATGGCGCCCTCGTCATTATCGTCGAAGGTGATTGAAGGCTCTGTATAATTTGAACGCTGTGGAATGAATGTTCAGGTCTGACGATGACACGTGAATATGAGCTGTCACCTCGAGCTCTTCTAGGTGGCGTTTAGTCCGTTTTATGATTATATCTGAAGGAAGTGTCTGCTTCGTGGCATTGACGTGTCTCGGAGCTTGCCAGTGAGTGGTATGAAATCTGAATGAACCTCAAAAAGACAGCAAAGCGTACCTTGCTCTCTTGCTCTCTTTGGTGCCATGAAAGTCGGTTGCTGACAAGTTACAACAAGCAACGCCCGCAAACACTGCGTGATGCTTATATAATCTGATTAGCTCTGATACGCTGCCAGCGCTGAGCGAAACATGTATGGTGGTGTAGAATACATCAACTACACGGTAAGTACACTACAAGCTCGTATGCACAATGAGTGAGTTGCTTGCAAGTTCTCCGGAAGTACTTGCAAGCTGAGAAAGCCTCTCCGCTAAGACCTTGGCTGGATGTCGAGGAAATGGATTGTCCGAAAGTATGTCATTTTCGATAAGCGGTCTCCCTATATCAATTGTGTTGATGTATCATTCTAGAACCGAGAATGTTAGAAATGGGAACACTGTTGCGCTGCTGTCTATCTACATCCTCTTTTGGTGGTAACACGTCTGTGGCTCATCTTGCTCTAGTCTGATGCCACGACCAAGCTGACACCTAAATCATGGATAATACAACCGTTTCTTCATTTACCAATATTTCTCGTACCAGACATACGTGTATCTCCAGGAAATGAACGATGACTTTATTGTTGATGTTCGATATGTAGGTTTGCCTCTGAGATTAGCATTGTGGTGGTCCCAATGCCATCGTGGGAATGAAATTGAGTGCAAGCACGCCATAGTCCTTTTATAGAAAGTATATTCGTCAGTATTCATAAAAATGATGAATTCGGGACCGAATAAGGAAAATATAGAGGCACGTGATGAAAGTGGTCTCATAGATCACCTTTGAGGCCATGTTAAGTATAAGTCATCTGCTGATCGTTAGTCACTCACTACTTTTCTCTCTCTGACCATGGATTTGACCAATCCTAAAATGTTCTTACAAGACATTCCAACACCAGAGCCAGAAACACCTTTTAGGCCGCGCCAGCCTTACCGGTTCTCGACCCTCTGCGCTACAGTCGAGAATCCTTCTCAAAAGGATCAATATGGTTCTAGCTCTGTACCAATATACCAAACTGCCACCTTTAAGGGTGTTAATGGACAGTATGATTACACTCGCAGTGGAAATCCAACACGCAGTCATTTAGGTCGGTGTCATCTCATCGTATGCTCCCTAATAGCCTTATTGTACTCTCTAGAACATCATCTTGCCAAGATATCATCTGCTACTCATGCTTTTGCTGTATCTTCTGGCATGGCCGCCCTCGACACGATCTTGCGTATGCTCAAGCCTGGTGATGAAGTCATCGCAGGAGATGACCTTTACGGCGGTACTAACCGCATCCTTGCTTATCTCAAGACACACGGCGGCGTCACCGTACATCATGTAGACACCACCAAACCTGACACTCTTCTTCCTTACATTAATCCTGAAAAGACCGCTATGGTTCTCCTCGAGAGTCCAACTAACCCTCTGCTCAAAATAGTCGATCTTGCCCGCATAGCTGCTGATATCAAGGAACGCGCCCCCAATGCCGTCATCGTCGTCGATAACACCATGATGAGTCCTTACTTGCAACGCCCTCTCGAGCATGGCGCAGATATTGTGTACGACAGCGCTACCAAATATCTCAGTGGGCATCATGACCTTATGGCCGGTGTAATTACCTGCAACAGGGATGACCTTGCTAAGGTATGCGATTCGTCTTTGGCTTACTCCCCTTTTCTCATACTCGAATCAGCAAATGGGATTCGTCATCAATGCTGCTGGCAATGCGCTCACTCCATTCGACTGTTTCCTCCTTCTGCGAGGATCGAAGACCCTTGCCATTCGCATGGATCGCCAGCAAGCTACTTCCATGCTCGTCGCTCAGATGCTCGACCACCTTGGTTTCAAGGTCCACTACCCCGGTCTTGCAGAGCACCCTAACCGTGATGTACACGAGCGAATTGCAGACGGATATGGTGCCGTCCTCAGCTTCACTACTGGCGATAAGGCTCTAAGTGAGCGCATCGTCGGCGCGACACGTCTATGGGGGATTAGCGTCAGTTTTGGTTGTGTCAACTCGTTAATCAGCATGCCATGCGTCATGTCGTATGTCATGTCTGTCTTATTTTCCTCGATCGTTTTATTGATGTTTCCTTAGACATGCGTCTATTGATCCTGCTACCCGTGCTGCGCGGGGCCTGCCAGAAGACCTGATCCGACTTTGCGTTGGTATCGAAGACCCAGCTGACCTTCTCGACGACCTCGAACGTGCTCTTCTGGAGGCTGGCGCAATCACCCTCACCGCAGGCGGGGACTCGCACCAATGCTATGTTCGGACGATCCCGTCAGAGGGCACTGCGATCTCCCGTGCCGTCCAGAAACTTGCGTTCAACGGGTCTGCAGAATACACGACAGAGCACAATGATGACAGGGAGTGGTTCGTCAGCGCACCTGGAAAAGTAATTCTCTTTGGTGAACATGCTGTTGTACACGGTGTCGTGAGTTTCCTCTTTTATTATCTACTCTGCGCATTAACAGATCCTTTCAGACAGCAGTGGCTGCAAGCGTGGATCTTCGGTGCTATGGTGTTACGACACCTCGTCACGATGGTAAAGTCAGCGTGCACTTCATCGATATTGATAGCTTCACGCAAGAGTGGAAAGTGGATGACCTCCCTTGGGATGCAGTCACTCCCGTGCGGGTCGGCGATTTCCACCCTGATACTCTGGACCACAAGCTTGTTGATGCGATTACTACTCGTGCATTGTCTCCCGAGGTTCTTGCAAAGCCGAGTGCACGGCAGGCGTGTATTGCGTTCCTGTACATGTACATGATCATGGCACATGGCGGGAGAAGGTGAGCCCTCCGCTAACTAGACTTTATCCGATGGTTTATCAAAGGCCGTTAGACCATCCTTTAACTTCTCCGCTCGCGCCACACTTCCTGTCGGCGCAGGCCTCGGTTCCTCCGCATCATTCTCCGCCTGCGCAGCCACTGCTCTCTTACTGTTGTACTCCCGTATCCAACTCCCAGCACAGCCCGCCCCTACCACCGAGGGTCACGTCCACGTCTCTCACGGGGGTCGGCGTGCAATACCGCCAGCACTTGCTGAGGAAGTCAACCGATGGGCATTCGTGAGCGAGAAAATCTTGCACGGTAATCCTAGTGGCGTAGATAACTCTGTTTCGGTTTTTGGTGGCGCACTTTCGTATACCAGACCAGGATTCGGCAGAAAAGCAGGCATGATTCCCATTCAGGGGTATGTTTAGTACCGCTGACGTTTGTTGGTGGATTACTGATCTGCTTTGCAGTTTCAAGTCTCTCAGATTCCTCTTGACGGACTCGAGGGTACCAAGGAACACAAAGCAGCTTGTGGCTGGTGTGGCTGCGATGAAGGAGCAAGAGCCCGAGTTTGTGAATGGGCTGCTTAGTGCAATACAATACATCAGCGACGAGGCGCAGCGTGCGCTTGCTGATCCCCAATTATCACGGCAAACACTACTGTCAGCTCTATCGGTACGTTCCTCTTTTTTGTCTGTTTCTGGAATACTCAGGAAATATACTCTTTCAGGCTCTCATCGATGAGAACCATGGCTACCTCGTAAAACTTGGTGTATCACATCCATCTCTCGAAGCCATCCGCTCCAAGACTGCCTCCCCTCAATATGCACTCAGTACAAAACTCACTGGTGCAGGAGGTGGAGGTTGTGCAGTAACTCTCGTCCCTGATGGTAAGTACCCTCTACACATGTTTGATCTTCACTCACTTACTCGCTCTCAAGACCTGTCGGAATCCAGTCTTCGCGAACTGATGGCAGCATTGTCCGGGGATAGCTTCGTTCCCTACCTCACGTCAGTCGGCGGCAGCGGTCTCGGCATCCTCTCACCGTACAACCAGCCTCAACTGCTGGCGACGCCCCCCGAATCGCCTTGTGAGAGCGAGGCCCGTGCTGGAGCTGTTGAATCATTGAGCGATACTTTTGCTGGTAAGGCGACAGCAGATCTCACAGCGTGGGCAGATAATCTGGGACGATGGCTTTTTGTTTGAACGTGAATCGAGGTTATGCTGTGTTTATGAGTACGATGAGTGTATGTATAGAACGTTCTTGTATGATAGATGCTGTAGCAAGGTTTCAATGACGTAGGTGCGTAAAGACGTGCGTCGATGTGGGCCACAAAAAACTGCGCTTATTCACAAGAGTAGAGCATAAGATAGTATTGTTATGACACAGACGGATTTTGATTGCGATGTTAACCAATGCACTGCGTTCACTTTCTCTCTGAACCTTGTCGGAAATTTCCTATTCGGGATTCATGGCCTTGCAACGGGTTGCAAGGATCCAATGACGAGCCCAGGTTCCAAGGTGTTACAATAAAAGAGCATTATGTTACAATTTATGTCACAAGCTGGTTGCAATCGTGCCTTTCAACGAAAGTTTCAACCCAATTAGTAATATTAGCCGTCGGCTGCAAGTCGGCTTGCAACAATTGAAGCTGATTTCATTAAATATTGTTCAGTTTGAAGTCAATTCAAACATCATTGAAACCAACAAAATCAGATTACAATGAGCACTAATCTGACTGCATACTACTGTAATATATTCTAGCTCTTTCTCTGAGATCGTGTTTCTCGCTGCTCTGCTGACAATGATATAGCCACTAGCCCACCCCTCTTTCCCCTTCCACGGCCCCGTCAACCAGAGGATGAAGCTGCTGGTGGCAGCATTTCCACACTGTCAGGTACATCAGGAACTGGAGGGGTTTCATCAGCTGTGAGCGCAACTGGAGCAGCAGGGGTTACAGTGACAGTGACAGTAGTCTGGACAGCGGGGGTGATGGCTGGTGCTAGTGCAGTGAGGGGAAAGGCAGGTGGTGCAGCCAGAGCGAGTGTCGGCGAACTGGGGGGAACCGGAGAAACACAGTGATCATCAGTAGTTGGAGAGTCAGATTCTGGATCTTTGCGCCCTGCATTGGTGAGGGCCAATGTCATATCCTGCGTTCCGGACCCGGACCTATCACACTTATCATTTCCGGATTTCCGGATCCGGCCGACTTCTATGTATCATCCGGATCTGACCCGCGTCTAACTTCCGTGCCTTATCCCTTTGGTATTTCCCTTATCAGTTAGTACGCTTTATTTTCCGTCCCTTATTCATTTCTGTCTTCATTTTACTAAGTTCCGATAGACTAGTGATAGTCGTCCCATATGTTTTCTTCATAGCTTTACATAGCTTCGCACTGCACTTACTGTTCTCCGTTATGTCCTCAGTAGTATATAAACCCCTGTACAATCTCTGTAGTTTCCTCAGTTCGAATATCATATTAGACTCTGCTCATTCTCTCCTCCGTCCGACTTGAGTTTCTCTCTCGTCGACCTCCGCTCGTCTTAGGATCGACTCCTATAGACTTGTCACCTCCGCCTCTACCTCTGGTAGTCCTCCGCTGTTTCCTTTCTAGTTCGGACTTCGTCCAGATTAGTCTTATCTCTTGTTTCTGAACGTCCGCCGGAATTCCCGCGCATCGGACATCGCCCGACGCTCTCCGGACATCGTCCGGTAACCTTCGGACATCGTTCGACAACCCTCGGAAGTTAGGGGCACGTACTCGGGTAAGGGGCGCAGCGCACGAGCTGAAGCCAAGCCCTTCGGATCCGACCCTTGAGCACGTTCTTAACAGCCAAGCACATTAGATCAGATGTCAAATCCTCGCCTTCAGCATCTGAAGTCGCAATATTGGAAGATGATGTTGACTGCCAGACATGGCAATCAATTTGTCGGCGGATTGACAGAATGCGTGGCTCTTCCCAAAGTGTCACCCACAACTGTTTGTAGGCTGTGAATATTGCCGCATATGGTAGACAAGACTTTGCGCCAACTCCATCTTTGGTGAATGAAGTGTCAGGGGACAGAATGAAGATTAACTAAAGAAATGTTAGATACTGTGAATTGATTGTAGTGAAGGCTTAAAGAACTCACTGCAACCCAACCCCAGGCAAGAAGACCAGGGGTGCATGAGGTGATGCCCCATTTTCAAGCATTGCACTTGGCATGAGGCCATCCAGCAATATCTAGCGAATTTTTTCCAAACATCATGATCCTGATTGCTTAGGTGAATTTGGACCAGACAGCATAAGAATAGATTCAGACAGTGATAAATAAAACAAGTACCTTTGAGAGCGGCTCCCAATTTTTGAAAACCATGGACATCGTAGGGTCCCTTTCTTGCATTGTAAAAAGGACAGGTGGGAACTTCGACAATGTTGAATGACTACCTGGACCAGTCATACCGAGCATCTTCTGGATTTCAGGGATTGTATCTCAATTTGTAAAACCAATGTCGAAGTACGACAGATTGAGACTGAAAATTTGACCTGCCATCACCCTTAACTTGCCGATTTCGCTCGAGCGACCGCCTTGAAGTTGTTGTTCTAGCTGCAGTACATATTAATAATCATTGTTAGGTCACACAACATAATAGACTGACGTACCAACAATTGAAAATGTGAAGTCTTCACAAACTGATGGAGATGGTCTGGAAGAAGTGAGTATAGCTCAGTCATGAGACCAAGCTCTTCGGCACTTTTGCTGGCATAGCGACTCCTGGATATGATTGCAGATGGAGGGTTTGGCACAGGGAGTTTGAGGATACGATGCTCAGGTGGGAACATATCCGCAACAATTCCGTACTTGTGGGAAAAGGTTGAGAGCTCGACATCGAAAACTTTCAGCTCATCTGGAACTTGAGCGCTTGAATGCCAGCGTTGATTAGATGACAAAGTCTTGTTCTTCTCGCCCAGAGTGCAGTTATCATTCTTGAGTGCCTGGTTTTCCAACTGCAAGCGCCGAACAATCTTAAGACATGAGAATCAGTATATTGAATAGTTGCAAGCATGACATGACTACAATACCTCAATGTCCCCATGCAACTGTTGCCTGTGGCTGTTGGAGGCTGTTTCAGATGACTGATGACTAGCAGTTGATGAGATCCCTGCTGTAATAGATGGAGAGTCCAAATCGTCGAAGTCCAATTCAGACTAGTGATGTGCACAGCCTGGCCTCAGGCTGTGGGCCAGCCAAAGCCAGGCCTGTATAGGCCAGGCCCAGCCAGGCCAAAGCTTTGGTCAGGCCGCAACTTTGGCCTGGTGTCATATCCCATATTCCGGACCTACATCCGACAATATTCCCACGCCTCATCCGGACCTTCGGACGCCCTATCCATGTCTCCAGTCCTCTATCCATCCGGATCCCTGCACCCCTGCACATCCACATCCACATCCACATCCACATCCACATCCACATCCCTTTACCTCCATACCTCAGCTAGCCTGCATCAGTCATCCTTTGTTCCCATCACCCTCATGTCTATCCACGCGTCACATCTGATCCGATCCGGTCCAGTCCGGTCCGATGTATAGATCTGCTTCCGATCCGATATACGATAAGCTTCTTAATTCATTCCTGTGCATATAATGTTAACACAGCCTATTCCTCTATTCAGTATTCCTTGTCCTCGGTATCTCGGTTATACTTACTACCGGTACACTTACTGATCCGTTGTAGAGACTCATGCCTCTCATGGTGTGATATGGCACTTTTCACTAGGGAGTTCATTGCACGAACTTGCAGCACCATTCTGTGTGCTATCTGCAGCTATCCCTATATGAGGCGCAGCTATCCCGCGCAACGCGCGCCATGCGCGCACCATTCCCACGCTTTACGATGTATACGCGCGCGCGCTTTCCCGCGCTTGATCGCCCTATAGCGCCAGCCTTCCGGAAGCATCCATCCACTGTCCACCAAGCTCTCTAGTGCGTGTATTTCCATTTCCCTTATTTACATATCATTCCACCTTTATTTATATCATGGACCCTTACTTACATACATATATCTTTACATACCTTACTCGGTAGCGATTCGGCTCCGCATGACAGCGCTTAGGCGCCATATAAGCACCAACATCACGGACCACTAGGAGATTACTGGACCTCCCACTTACCCACTTACTACCTAGCAGAGTATAGTTGCAATCTATTCCTTGGCACCTCGCACTCACATCTCTTGTCTTGCATCATATCACCACTTAAGCAAACTCACTCTTACTCTCACTTGTTTCCGCTCACGCGCGTACCTTCGCTTTCCCGCGCTTCACATCAGCCGACCAGTAGCACCTTCGGTGCGCACTACTAGATCCTTGCTGCACTCGCTTCCCCTTTAGGGTCGAACGCACTTGTCATCTCAAGTATAGCAGACTAGGCAACGCGCTGTAGGGATTCATTTCTGGCTGGGCTTGTAGAGACTGTTTTTACCTTACCTTATGTTGGCACTTTTGTAGCTTACATAAGAAGTTATCTTTTCACCAGTTACCAGTAGGAGTCAGAGTCTTCAGTAGTTTTCTATCATATTTCCTCTTCTCTGAGCCTTGAGCCTGGTCCAGAAACCCTTTAGGGTCGAATAGCAGCTAGGTTCTGCAAGACCCAACATTGTTCAGACTCACTCTCTGAATTGTTGTACCTTCAGCGCGACCTTACAACATTTACAGATACAGTCTGGAGCATCATTAGTTCCTCTCGGTATTGTTGTTTCTACACCGTTAACCTATGCTTCATTTCCGACTCGCGCTTGATAACTTTGCTTATGCTTCATACATAGCCTCGGACACTTGCTTACTGATCTTTACATTATTTCCTTAGTATATAAACTCTTGTATATGTCCTGTAGTTCCTCAGTCTGAATATCATATTAGTCCTCACACTAGTCTTCACACTAAGTCCTCGTATCAGTTCTAGTCTTCCGACTTAGTCAATATCCATCTCAGGCCTAGGGAGGAATTCCCTAGGCCGGAACTCTGCTTATCCGATACTCTGCTCATCTGCTCATCCGATCCTCCGAAGTTTCCGGAAGTTCATCCGGATCTTTCCCATGGTCCTCCGGACCTATTCTGCTTCGGACTTTGTCCTTGCAGCCTTTCCTCTGTTTGCTTCTACTTAGGACTTGTCCTAAGTAGCCATTACACGTATTCATATCAGGATGAAACCTCATCATAATTTCCGGAAGTTCCTCCGGAACTTTCCTGCACTTGTCCGGAAGTTACTTGCACTTGTCCAGAAAGTCCTTCCGAACTTTCCTGCACTTCAGATGTCCTTCGGATGTCCTTGGACTTTCTTTGGACATCATTCTGAAATTAAGGGCACATACTTGGGTAAGGGGCGCAGCGCACGAGCTGAAGCCAAGCCCCTCAGAATCAGTCCTACCCTTTGTGCACGGTCTTAACACCTGGCCTATGGTTCTGAAAAGCCAGGGGCCATGGCTTTGCGCACTATTTGGTGAGATGTTTACCAAAAAAAAATAGAATGTGTATTCAAGCCAAAATTGGTTTCAGCATCTGGCACAATGTTCTCCGGCTTCGATCTTGCTCCCAACATGTGCACTCAGGTGTCTCAAATTCATCAACATTTCAAATATACTTCCAGGAACATGGTATGTCTCTGTCCCCTCTGCAATATCAGGCATCTGAACATCCAAAACAAAGTCTCAAACTTGTCAAAATTTCGAATATATCAATATTTAACTCTAGGAACATGGTATGTCTCTGTTCTCTCTGCAATATTAGGCATCTGATCATCGAAAATGACCAAACTAGCTACAAAAAGACCAGCAATATAATATGAGGTGAGATACTCGTCTTCCCCTTGTTGAACTGACCCTATGCTGCCCACTATTCTCTCAGATGACAAGGGCGAAACTCATGTTGCTGTACGTCCAGTCCACAAAACCAAACCTACTGCAGCACTCCTTCATTCAGCGGAACTGGCAACTCTTTACCTCGGACAAGGACGAAGACATTCCGACAATAGTGCCGTCAACTTGGGCTAAACCATGGCAGGCCGATTTCATGAACTATATTGACACATTTGAGGCACCACCTTTGCCTGGCACGAGCATGATCCAATGGTGGGGTGTATGTTCATTTTTTTACTATCTGTTTCATATTCCTCACCTTTGAACAAGATTAATGGTCAAAGATATGGGCCAGTATGGTCCTCGATTGCGCGTGACTATCTATCTATTATGGCATTGTCTGTTTTGAGCGAGCATGCATTTTCTCAAGGTGGAATAACTATCAGCAAACGATGCAACTGGCTCAAAGGGGATGTCATTGAGGCCCTTCAATGTGTCAAATGTGCTATCCGCCACGATCTTCTGTTCCGTGAACCAGGGCCATTGTCTGTTGTGGAGGATGAACTTCAAGTTGACGAGTTCGAAATTGAGGATGGATTGGCAGAGAAGAGTGAAGATGCAGAGAAGGCTAAAGATGTGGGTTGGGATTGTCTATTGCTTGATGATGATGGTGATTCGGATTCAGAATCTAATAGTACTGACATCGAAACCTAGTACATATGTTTGTTACATTTCTTGCACCAAAATTTCACATTTCATGTACTCAGGCCATGGCTCAAGCCAAAGCCAGGCCGAAGCCAGCCGTCAATCATGGCTTTGACCTGGCCTGAAGATTCTATGGGCCAGAGCCTTGAAAAGCTGGGCCAAAGCCACGGCTTTTGAGCCAAGCCAGGCCAGAATAACACTAATAATTTAATTTCAGACGCATCAGATTGAATGATGTGATGGGGAGCCTGCTGGGGCATAATGTTAATGAGAGAGATATCTGCAGTGGGTTGAAAGACTCAGTGGTCATAAAAAATACGATGGGGTGGACAACTTATAGGTGCAATAGTTGACGGGCAATGTCGGAACAAAAGGAACACATGGTCATACATGAGGTAGCTTGATATTGCAGTATAGCACCAATAATCAAACAAATTAGCCTCATGGCTTGATGGGAGGCAGAGAAAACGATGTAACTTACCTGTAGACACGGCGACATGAGTCATAGCTGCATCACATTTATGTCGAGAGGTTGTAACTGCCGTTCCATGATCCTTGAAGTATCATCAAACTGAGTCTTGTCGATGTAACAATTACAGTTACAGTGTCAATGAATGATGAAGTTGGTTGAATCTAGGTTGGAA